AACTCTGAAGAAATGTTTTTTAGCTTCTTAAAGGTGACACTGCATTGGTAAATGGAAAATAAGTAATAAAAGTAGCAACAATCACATTATCCTTCCAGAAGTCCCCCCTGCTGAAGGTTTTTTCCTTGAGATCCCGATTGCGATTTCTTTGTCGCTAGTCACAGTTAAAACTTTCCAATGCACTGTTTTGCGGCCAAAAGTCGTGAATTTTCTCCCAAATTGCGAAAACACATGCAGCGATGGTCTTATCGTCACAATTGTCCTGAATTCTTTTTGTGAATGTTGCCATCTTCAGTGCTTTAAATTGTCCTTGATAACAGTCGAGAAAACGTGTTTTTTTTTTAAGTCAGGAGGTCACCAGTGTGATGAAATCTTTTTTTGAATCATCCTTCACTTGATCGGCTCGGCTGGTTGAAAATGATATTTTTGAGGTGTTTTTTTATGTCTCTTTTTTATTGATAATCATTATTAAGTTAATTGCAAATCATTGTTGATTATTTAGTGAAAATCATATGTTGTTCTGATAGCGCTTTAATATTGACCCAGACTTTCCCTTGTATTACATCTTTTTAGTGTTCTTTCCAGAGAGTTGTTTGTCTTTATCAAGCTGTTGTTTCAACCCTATATGCACATTTTCTTCTCTCTTCATTCCCATATTCCCAACGCATACTGTTGCAGTGAGTCTTTAAAGAAGACTCATGTTTGTTATTGCGTTTGGTCTAAACTGTCTTTGCCACTTTCCTAAGTGGGCCTAAGAGAATGCAATATCAAATATTTGGATTTGAATATCCCGAGACAATACCATTTATGTGTTACCCTTATCGCTAGACTCAGGCCCTTTCCATCCCGTGACATTTCTTTACTTTAATTGATACCTTGCAACAGTCCCTCTTTTACAAAGTTGAAAGCTTGACCCCCTAGCTGCAGTATTTTGGTAGAGATCGTGGCTGGGATAGCCCTGCAAAGACCATTGCTTATCCTTTGCATGACTTATTAAAGACTTGTCACACCAATGAAACACTCGGCTGAGTATGAAATCAATTCAAGCCAATTTAAATTCTCGCATTCTCAAGCAAATCAGCCTGCAAAATAGGATAGGATGCCCTGCATGGCAGAACAATGCTAAACGATTGACCAGCCGTAAACTTTGATAGCCTCTCCGCAGTCGCATTCAATCGATTTCATTTCCTCAAAAGGATAAGCACGACTCTGCATAATTGCATTTCTTCACCTCAAACCAGATTTTGGCCTAATTTGAGAGCGTTTTCATTCACTCTATAATACAACGAGATTTATTGAGCGAATGTTGGCGTTTTCGTTTTATCTTGTTAATTTCATTGATTTATTGAGTTGAAATTGCACCGGGGGAATAAAAAGCATCGCTTGTTACTTCGCTGGATTTGCATTTTATCTTTTAGATTAGGCCTAAGATTACTACCAAGTTCCCTTTGTAACTCAGCAACGGGGGTCCTTTCGTATTCCGCACCGTTATAAGCGAATTTATGACAAATCATTTCTTTAAGCAGGCTAGTGTGAATTTATTTAGAATTAACGCTCTTCACAGTTTCGAAATTGCATCGTTGGGCGAGCTTTTTGCTCGAATCGCCAGCTGTTTCAAATACAACAGCCTATAGATCATATCATACCGAATTTCCTTGGCAATGATGGAAGCAAGAAAACCTTGGGATTCCTTGGCAATAGAACAAGTTATCGTGATCTATGTCCCTTCTAAACATATGTGGCATGTGTATAGGTTTAATTTTTTACAGCTTGTTTATGTTAGGCCACGGTTTTTCCTTTAATGATACTGGTTTCAAGTTTTAACTTGACACCTTAGATCCTTTTTAGTATCCCATTTTTCGAAATTATATTTTGAAACGATGATATTTATTAAAACGCGAAAAAATAGAGAAACGTGCTACCAATAGAGTACCGAAGTGTGACGTCATAAAAAATCTATTTTTAGAATTTCTTAAATTTGGCCACATAATTTGAAAAAACGGCATAAAATGCTTCACAACATGCAAAATTAGTTAGATATGTTCCAAATTGGGCGAGATATGGCCAGTGAAAGATTTCAAGTTTGCTAATGGATTATTGTTGTTCTTACCTGGTCCATAAAGATATGACCCAAGACATAATTACAGAGGTTTGATGGGGCAAGACCGAAGGAAGATGGGACTTTAAACAAATCTTTGCCCCTCCTCAAATTCAATGTTGAGTGCATGTTTTTAAAGCCCAAATGATAGAATTACTAACCAAACATTGTTGCTTGGAGAAAGTGGGAATCAAAATTTACAGGGACAACTTTGTCTAGACAATTTTGTTCAGGATTGTAGGTTGTTGGCCGTCGTCTGTAGGTACAGTAACTATGCCCCCTAGTTTCAATGTTTGTAATACCAGTCCAAAAAAATTTTCGACGTCATGAAATTGCCCAAGCCTTGGAACTATACTTTTCTCTTTTTATTTTCAGTTGTTTTGCCTTTTATTGCTTGCCTTTTTATCTATTGTCCATTCTTGTGATATTCTCGACGTCATGAAATTATTACCCAAGTGTAATTTATTACCACACAACGGTTTCGGGTTCAGTTGCAGTAGGATGTAAATATTGGGAGTTCGATTTGGAATCTGCTTTCTGCGGTATTTGAACGTGGCTTATGATCCTATAAACTAAGCTCGACAGCTGCTAAGAAAATCCTGGTAGCGATTTTGAAATTCAACTGTTCAAATTTTCGTATGGTTGGTGTTTAAACAACTGACATTCTGGCCGGGCTGCAATCTGGACGTTTGCCGCCCTTTCCGTATGCGGTGAGTGGGAACAGCTACCCAGCGTCGACTTGAAGTTCAACTGTTCAACAGTGGACAAAATATTATGCGTTATGTCTCATATGTGGACAAAACATTATGCTTTAAAAAGCAATTGAGGTCCATTTGCAAAAAGGCTGGGCAAAAGCTACATGCTCTCTCGAGAATCTCTCACTTTCTTGGCACTGAACAACCAAAGAGAATAATGAAGGCATTTATCTTGTCCTAGTTTAACTACTGTCCTCTTGTTTGGATGTTCTGCGATAGAACACTTAATAGTAAGTTAATCGTATTCACGAACGGGCATTGCGGATAACTTACAAAGATATGAAATCACAGGAATTTACAACTGTTGATGATTGAAATTTATAAAACAAAATGGAAGCTCAATCCTGCTTTCATGAAAGATATCTTTATTGAAAAACACAGTACGTATGGATTGAGAAGCTGCCACAATCTATAACTGCAACAAGCGCGCACTACGTGCTATAGCTTAGAGACGATATCGTTTCTAGGGAGTACGTAGATTGTGGCAGGCACTTCCAATGACATAAAACAATCAGATACCCTCTCCAGCTTTAAAAGGAGAAAAAAATCTTGGAAAGGGGAGGAATGCAACTGTAGACTGTGTAGACCTTTCGTAGCTCAGGGTGGGTTCTTGAAAATGCCAAATATATTGGCATTTTCAGGATAAATGTATTGTATTGTAAATGCCAAAAATGCTATAAAAACATTGTAAAATAATTATATATGTATTTATACTTATTTCTTATGTTAGATATATATGTATTTTTATTTCTTTTTATTTTTAAAAATTTTACTTTGTAGTAGGCTTGAATTAGCTTTTATTTTGTAGCTATTTTTATACGCCTACTTTAATTAAATAGATAATGATAATAATAATAATAATAATAATAAGTCAAAGATCAGGAACAACGTTAAGAACCGTTTGGAAAATGCACCCCGACCTCTTGTCAATCAATCCCAACCCAAACGAGGCATTGCTGATTTTCAGAAGAACGACGCACTCAGCAATTTACAATTAACAACATATGTACGAAATGATTTTTTTGGCAAAAGGGCTTTGGAAAAAAAAATATTCTCAGCCAAAATACTTCCTGCCTTGCTTGGTTCGGAAGAATCCAAAAAGAGAACAAACCTGACCTTAATTGACCGTCTCTCACCTCGTGTGTGATTTTGTGGAACCCGTCATTTCTTGTTAAAGCCCGTAAAGGTTCCGACAATCGTTGTTGGCTTATGAGTCAGACAAACAACCCTTGTTTGAGCAGGTGCTGGCTTGCTATATTTCTTCAACAGCCTATTTTCAAATATTTTCAATTCATTGTGTTTTCCAAGATTGGCGTCCCAAGAAACAGCGTTTACTTTTAGGAGACAAGCGCTCACTGAATAATTTTGTTTGGAAGCAGCGTTTGTTTAGTTTCTTGTCGTAATCTAAATATTCATTTTTCTTATTTGCAGTTCCTATTTTTGTTTGTATGTGTAACTCGCGAAACCGGACGATACGCTCTGAACAGCTTTTGCTAACGTTGTATTGCTGTTGTTGTTGTTGTTATTAGAAGCGCTTTTTTTCTCGCTTTTGTGGTTGTTTGGTAGTGAATGTTGATAGAACGGCAAACAGTTTCATTCCCCTCGTGAAACTGTACACTTTTTTGTATAAGAACCAGTAAATTTAAGTTCAGACTGACTGTTCTTAATTTTTTAAAAAATCTGAGGCTGGATTGTTCTTCATTTGTTCTTAAATTAATAGGCTGAAAGAAGTGCTCTTGCTAACTTTTTCGTAATTTTCACCGAGATAAACACCCACACATGGCTAAAAATCTTCTTTTTTGAGATAAAACGTTGTTCAAAATTGCATTTTACAATCGCGCAGTCTCGGCCTGTTCTTAATTTGTTCTTATCTTTTGACCAATTTTGAGGCTCGTATTCTTATAAAATTGTTCTTATAAAAAAGTGTAATTTAGAATTGAAACAGACTGTTTTTATTTTAGGTTACCTCATTCTTTATCACCAAATTATAGTAATCCCGCAATGATAGCTTGAAATATAGCTTGTTTGGTTTTTAAAATAATCTAGGACTGTCTAAGGTAATGTTTGTTCTGCTAGCTCTGGTTTAGAGTATGTTAAACTGAAAAAAACCTTTCGAAATTTGTTAAAACTGTTAAATTTTTTTGTAGATTCGCCTGCAGTATCTCAGTGGTCAGGGATGACCAATCAAGGTGTGTTTTTTAATCAATCTTCGCTTTGGATCCGGGCGGGCTCAGTCAGTTGGTCCAATGTTTATTGTGTGTGTTCCTGAGAGCAGAAACCGGACCCTAATCTCTGAATCTGGGTTGCGTAAAATGAACCCTTTTCTCTGACTTTGCCAAAATTGTGTAACCCTTTTCACGGAGAATTTTTAAGCTTGAGCAAGTATTTTTGAAACCAATTCATGTAAGAACCATATCTGAACTTATGTCTTATGAACATATAAGAACTTATGTCTGAAGGCATATTAAAGAGCAGATTTCACTAAATTTGATTTTAACAACAAACCCTTGTGGTTCTTTATTTATATTTTAACAAAATGGGACAGTTGTGAAACAATAACTGCAACACAAAACTTACTTCGCAGTTGTGTTCAATGTTTTTAATGAAGAAATGGAAAAGCTGTGTCAAATTCCAAATTTATCCCTGGAAAGAGTACAAACTAGCAAAGACTTGAACAAGAACTTGAATTTCTTATCTTGGATTAGAACAATAGGCAAGGCTAGATGCCACTGCAGAATTTGTTGTACTTCAATAGCCATTGATTTACCATAAAATTATCTGTAACATCATATCAGTAACTTCCTGCCCTTTTTCTGGTTCCTCTGACTGAGTTAAAAAGCAACCCTATGGTCAAGATTCTTTGTCCCAGAATTCTAGCTTTCAGACCACGCTTGTTCAGAGTTTTTCGAAACTCACATGATGTATGTTTGACCAACTGACTGAGCCAGTCGGGCTTTGGCTTCATCTTTCTTTCTATCTCGTTGTCGATTGGTCTATTTGAATTATATTTGCAGTTATGCAGATCACTATGTTTTACGTACAGTTTAATTTTTCATTTTCTGTTCTATAAACGATCAGATGTAATGTTATGGTAAAACAGTGGCCTTTTAGTTTTGTGAAACTCCTGTTTTTTTAGATTCACAGACGCGCCGTATAGAGTGGTCAGCTGTTGTTGACGAAGGTGAGTCTAGCTAGTTATTACCTATCGATAAACAAATCTGGTTTGCATTGAAAAGAGGCTCTAGATGAAAAAGAGTGCTGCCTTGCATTCAGCATCAACTTTTGTTGCAAGAATCACTGGGCTCTGCAGATGTCGAACAAAGCGCCAGTTCCAAGGAAAATTCTGTTAAGAACTTCTTGTGCCTATCCATCTTTCAACGAATCCGATTCATTTCAGAAGATGCCAAGGGGCTTAACGCACATTTTTTGTACGAAGGGCAACAAGCTTCTTAAAAGTCTCGTACACCTTTGGTGGAAATTCCACTTTATTAACTGAGAATCCCTAGAAATCATTCTGCTTTGGTGGAATCTCATAATTTTTGGGAAAAAGTGTTTTGTCCCGCGTGTTTGAACGTTAAGCAGAATCTTCAGGGTTTGCCACAGAGTTGTAGGGTCAAAGTCCCGCGGAGTTGTTGGAAACCGCGGGGTTGCATGCTATTGAGCTATTTTCTTATACGTTAAAACATAATAGTCTGCAAAGTTCGTCTGTCTTTGTTTCTAGACGACAACTGCTTTTTGGACCAAGGAGATGATTATCGTGGAATACTTAACGTGACCGAGTCTTCTTCACCGTGTAAAAGGTGGAGCGAAACAAAATATCATATGACAACCAAGAAATATCCAGAACTTCATGGTGGCCATAACTATTGCCGAAATCCAGGACGAACGATGGAGAGACCATGGTGTATTGTAGACTACAACGGAAAGGATATTGCGCAGTTCTGTAGCGTACCACGATGTGGTAAGTGTGGATATTTTTAGCGTTACCAGATAGAATATCTGGAAACAATTGTCTTCTTCAAATGGTATATTCTACAGATCTAATCAATCTAGCAATTGCGATTCAATAGTCCATTTTCTGAATGTCTTCACGGCTGCTGGTCCTCGATTTCAAACTGAGGCATTTTTTACAGGGAGAATGATTACATGATACCAAGATAAAATAAGGAACTTATTTTATCTTGATGATACTTAAAGGCATTTGACATGCATAAGTACAGCGAATCCAAAAATAACTCGATCAGAGCACGCGCGTTTGAAAGAATTTCGAAACTTCTCACGTGAAACCACTATAGTGTCTCGCCAATTGACAGAAAGGCGGAAATTGTTCACATGTTTTTCTCTGGGCGTAATTCAATTGGTCAACACATGGAGGTCAAGTGGCTGTAAGCCACTTTTATCTGTGTCGAATGCCTTTAACCTTGTTTTTTATTTCTCTTAATGATGTCACATTGTATCTCTTCAATTTAACTCCGATATCCAGGATCATGAAAGCTGTCTTGTAAGAATTTTGAACATTAGCCAAATCTCGATGATAGGCCACCTATGTTACTACCTAAAGCTCCATCTGCTCACTGTTTTAACTAATGATTTGTTGCAGCCCTTCCAAAGAGCGTTGAAGTAGTCAGCATCCTTTGGACGATCATTCCCTGCCTGATATTTGCGCTGGCTTTGTCTCTGGCCATCATCATCATTGCCTGGAGACGACACAAGCAAAACCTATATCGCAGCCCTACGTCTGTTCCAATAACCCCTGTACAACCAAGGGTCAATCCAAAGGTATGCTCTTGTATTGCACCTTTTATCAAAACGCAGAAATTTCATATTTGTTTACCTGCAATGATTTTAGCCATGTTCTTCTAGCCCAAAGAAAATCAAGAAAACCCCCTTTTACATAATTTAGGGCCAAAGTATATGTGCCCTCCTTCCGTTTCCTAGTAGGTATATGTGCCCTCCTTCCGTTTCCTTGGGCCTGGCAAGCTGAAAACTGTGCAAATGGAGAACATTGAAACTTTATTTGGGTTTACATAAAGTACTTCTGATGAACACCATTATTGAGAGATAGATTTTCTTTGAGCTACGATTGAAAACATTATGATTATATACTGTAATATTGAAACATATTTTATATCTAAAGTAAAATCTTTGTCTCAAATGCAATAATCAGTACCGTATCTATCATTGCTTATATGTGCGAGCAATCAGTTTGTCTTCAGTTGAATTTTATGTTTAAAATGTAACGCTTTTTTCAGATTCCAGAGCTAAAACGAGAGGATCTTTGCGACTTCCGGTTAATGGGTGAAGGCAATTTTGGAAGAGTTTACAGTGCTGAAATGATTAGCAACAGAGATGGAAAAACATACACGGCGTCTGTTGCTGTCAAAATTCTCATTGAAAAAGCAACTAACAAACAAACAGAGGACTTCATTCGCGAGGCGGAGACCCGCATCAATTTCAGGCAGGAGAATGTTGCGTCTTTGATTGGGGTTATTATGAAAGAAGAACCTTTTTGCCTGACTTATGAATACACGGAATTCGGGGATTTGCACGAGCATCTGCTTTTGCACTCTCCAAACTTTAGTGGTGCTCACGCCAGCGATGACTGTGAACCACTAGACTATGTCGATCTTGTTGATATTTGCAACCAAATTTGCAGGGGAATGGTTTATTTGTCATCCCAGTCATTTGTCCACAAAGATCTTGCTGCTCGAAATTGTCTTGTTGCGGACAATGGGGTGATAAAGATATGCGATTTTAGCGGACTCCGTGATTTGTATGCTGGTGATTATTACAGGGTTTCTGCACGATTGCCCATTCCAATAAGATGGATGAGTCCGGAAAGTCTCCTTTTGAGCAGCTATTCCTCTGCAAGTGATGTTTGGTCATTTGGTGTAGTCCTGTGGGAAGTCTTCTCTTACGGGCTTCAGCCACATTTTGGTTATAGCAACCAGGAAGTGATTGTCCGTATTCAAAACGGCCAGCACCTGCCTTGTCCAGATGGCTGCTCAATGTCTGTTTATACAGTGATGAAAGAATGTTGGACTGAAGATCCTGCAAAGAGGCCCGGATTTCAGAAGTTACTCGATCACATAAAAGCACTAAATGAACCAGCTAATATATCTCACATGAACAGTCACATTCGGAATGGACCTGTTCCAACTCAATTACCTTACCAGTTAAAAAATGGACATGCTCCTTCTCACCACTCCACTCATTCCGGATCAGGTCACATTTCACCCAGAAGCCACTCACCGTCTGGGCACAGTCTTCCACACAATGGCTCAATTCGCAGCCATTCCCCTTCTGGTCATAGTATTCCTCCACCAGGTTATAACATACACAGTGTTCCTGCATCTTACATCGAGGGTTATTGCCCATCAATGGTAAGCCATCCAGGCACTTTGAATCCGGAGTCCTTATTAAGTCAGCCTGGATCAGTAGCTAGCCATGGTGGTGCAATGAAAAGCTACCCACCTTCAGTTGCCAGTCACCCAGGATCTTACATGAGTCATCCTGGTCAGATGGCTCGTCCAATTTACCACAGCCTTCCTCGATCAATGGTGAGCCAGCCTCCCTCCATGATGCAGTCGCTTCATAGTAGAGCATCATCTGTAGCAAGCCATTCTAGTTCCGGTCACAGCTATGGTTCGTCCGGTCGAAGCTACTGTTCCAGCAACGGTTACACATAACCATTCATGTCCTTTTATGATATGAAAAAGGATATTCTCGCTCAAAGCGCTGATCCCTAACTTCATCCTCAAAGTGCCACATGGATCACTGTGACTGCTGACGGTGATGCCAAGGATGCTTGGCATATAGTTGATATAATTGCCAAAGATATATGGAAGCCGAACTAGTAGAATATTCCTGCATGGCAGCCTTGGATGACTAAGAGCTGCTCGAAAAACGTAGAAAATGCAGTTAATCAGCCAGTTATAGTTTAGAATGCGTGATATTCACCCCCGAAAGTCATCTTGTTTGTTGACATCTTGGTCTCCGCGAATTCGCCAACTTAGAATAATATCGTAAAGTATATGTCAAAGATCTTAATTGCTGTCGGCTAAGCCAATTATGGAGCTCTCCCTTGAAACCTCAGATAAATATCACCATAGAGTTTTTAAAAGACCCACCAACTTTCAAAGGGTAATTGCTTGAATTAGTGGAACTCCATTGATTATTAGCATTCAAAGTACCTCTCGTGGTTGTTTTACTTTCTGTGTGTCAGTCAGGAAGAACTGACAGGGCTTACTTGACATCAGCATGAAAAGTCGATTAAACAGAATCTCCGTCCCTCCGTTCCCAGTTAGCTCCGGTACCAAGACGACTTGTTATAATTGGTAAACGAGGCCAAGTATATTCGTGAGAATCGCCACCTTGCCAGATTCGAAGGAGTGCAGAACATAGCGGTACTGTATCGACCCATTTTGTGCTCAAGGCCTAAATGCAGTCATCTCAAGTTACTTTAAGCCATTTTCATGCCATTTTCATGTCATTTTCATGCCACCCTTTGCTTTAAACTCGTTGGATCCAAGGTTCCACCTAGCTTACTGTACGCTATCCTGTGCGTTGATTTCTCCCACTAAGTATATAAAATTAATGTTTTTATGTTTTAGTATAATTAAGTCAAAGTCGGCTGTATCGAATAGGGAATTGAATCTTACAGGAAATTTATAAATTTTTAGCTATTGAAAATTTTTCTTCACCAAATATACTACTCTCAATCATTCTATTCTCACGGCAGCATTCGTGTTTTATATAGATCAACGGTAAAGAAAAGTTCTTTTCCAATGGTCATAAAACTTTGCAACAATTTTGTATCTAAAAATTTGTGTAAAATCCCTCACAAAATCCCTAAAATGAATGTTATATATTGGCTGTGGTTCTAAAATACCATAAAGCAATGTTTTCTCTGATGCTTCAAGAAATTCAGATAAGTTCTTGTCATGCTGTCGTATATGATCAATCTACGCATGCCCAACAAATTTCCTTTACTTACAGCCCCCCCCCCCCTTTACAACCCCCTCTATCCAAACTATTACTTGTTCATAAAAATATGTAAATACAGAATAATTTCGAGTGCTTAGTTCTTATTGTGAATGTGATTTTAGTTTATAATTTTCTTAACGTTTCCCATCGATGTTGAGTATATGTATAACGAATTTTATACCTCTGGTTTGCTAGATAGAAAAATTTAGAATTTGAAAGAGTAACTGGATTATCACTTTTGAAATCTTTCTTGTCCAGGTTTTCTTTTCCGGACATTATAAAAAGATTCGTCCTGATGCATGGACAGGGTTGGGTATATCCTCACTAATTTTCTTACCTCGACCTCCTAATCCTTCAAATATTTTAAACATTTGTTTTTAACATAGAGTTAATAAAAGCTCTATTAAATGGTTCGGGGAAGATAAAAATATATTTGATTTAGTCTTTTGAATAAAGAAGTGAACCTGAGCTTCAATTCAAATGATAATACCTTAGAAACCTATAATTACGACTTAAAGAACCCAGATGTTCTTCAGGTTTTGGTAGCATGGCTCCTTTCCGCCCGTTGTGCAGTTGAGGCGTATTAGATGTACGAGTTTGGAGTACCGGCAGCAGTTTAAAGCTCGGGTGCTTTTGGGCCTATCTTTATTTTAAATACGAAAAAGAAATTGCTATGACTTTTCGCCATCGATTGTTATGAGAAAACCCTCAGATTATTTTGTTTATAGCACTTTACCCCTGTCTGATACGTGTGAATCGCATACAGTATAATCCGCTAACAAAGTACTTGTGTAAAGCATCTCTGAATATCGTTTTTCGTCAAAATGTCGTTGACTGCTCCGTCAATATTGCTCAAGATCTTCAATGTTTCGTCTGCATTAGACAAATCCAAAATTTAAAAAATCGTTGAGTTTATTCCTATGACGGAAGGCATCTTTGTACAAAAATGATGCAACACCAAAGGAGAAGTACGCTATAACCAAAAGTACGTTATAAACGAGTTCATTGTAAGCGATGTACTTTCTTCATGTAAGAACGGGCCTTTTTGCGGGACTAGGTACACCAGTACGTTATATACGAAAGGACGTTATAAACGAGTACATTATGACCACTACTTTAACCACATGCCCGTGCTTATGGTGTTTACGGTTAGATGTCTATTGTGACAACGCCCTTTTGCTCTCCGGTAACTACCCCTTGTAGTCCAGTCGCTCAAGGTAAAAATAGTGACACACAGCACCAAACTTTTCATGGTGATACCTAGGGGCATGGAAAACATTTCCAGAAGGAGTGCCGGTTTCTATCGATTTCTTCATCATTTTAGTATTTTCGGAAATGAAAAATACTAGCACAATGCAGCTTGACGATGATAAGTATACTTAGAACTTGTTTCTTTATAACCATGTTTGTCTTGTTTGTTCAAAATTCTTGGATATACAAAAGTGAAGCAGTCGATGAAATTACAGCCTGCAGGCTTGGACCTAGCCAAAATTTTGCCCGGTTTCGTGTTTTTTGACCCTTTACAACCCAGTGTGTCAGTGATAAATAAATATTGCTAAGATTTGCGCTGATCATGAAAATTTATGAGGTTAATTTGCCCTCCCTTTATCTAAAATGTCAAATTTTACTCGGTTTACATTGCCTTTGACCCACTTCCTGCATCTTTATTCTAATTTCCATGAATCTTTCCGAGAAAGAAAGACTAGTCCCTCAATACAAGATCTAAGACTCACATTTGCATCCATATTCCATTTCTTATCGTTATGCATCAGAGCATCCACACTTTGTATCTTTCTTAATTTTCACCGATTTCGAGCATCATAAACATAATTTATTTTTTCTAAAGAGAGGTGCGTAAGCTTTCTTGCTCACGTCTGCCTCATAACAACTAATCAATTGTTTTCAAAAGAAGAAATTGCTCTTTCTTTCAGTTGGGCAAGGGGAAGTTTGAGCTTATTCCCACTTGGCCTTCAATCTGGAACTTTGCTTTCATGCCCCAGAGGGAGGAGACAAAGAAATACGTCACTCCCGTGGGATCTTGTATGTCACTACCAGATATTTGAATTTGGTACCAGAGAGGCATTTACGAACTTTGTCACGGTCAGTCCTAGGCAAGACAGATATTGTATGTGGGAACTTCAGGCAGTGAGGTATTCAGGTAGTTAGTGAAGGATTCAGTTTGCAATTCAAGTTCAGTCAAAGGTTTGAGTTTGAGCCGAAGATACACTCATACCTTGAGACTCGACAATAAGACAAGGAAGAAATCACTTAATTTCTTGTTGGAGGTGAGTCAGCTACGAACCTTAGTTGGTATTGCTGTAAATTGTCAGTGTTTGAAAGTTATAAATTGCAAGTATGTCGTATTTTAAAACTTCGGGAATAGGGGTACAGTTGTACTATCTCGTAATTTCGAATCCACGTGGTGCTTATCCTCCATCATGCAAGACCTAAACAGGATTATATTTTAATTTATATACTAACTCCCCTTAGTATAGAAGTTTCGAGAAACAACAGGGTTACAAAAGAAACAATTGTTCCCTTTATATGAACGTAAAATGTAACATTTTGAATGCATTCTCATATGACCTTATTTGAGAAGCCTAGAAACTTTAAAGCTTGCATACATTGAATAAAGACAATGATAAACACGTGGCTGATCCATGGCTCCACCATCGAAACGGTGAGTTGTCGTTATTGAAGCTCAATCCAATTCAATGCCTGACCAATTATCAGAATGACTTTATTTTTCCAAACCTAGAGTTATTAATAGAATAAAAAAATAGAGATTATATAGTATTAGAAAGCATTTCATTGATACAATTAATGATACGTTTGTACTACTGCAAAGTATAGCAATAAACATTTGCTAACATTTATCATTGAAAAATAATGTCTGGTGGCGAAATTAATTATTCGGCAGTTAAAGAGCATTTTCGTTGTTATACACGATAAAATTGACCGATTAGTTAGCACACGATAAAGCCAATAATACAATTAGACATGCGCTTTGGTACCCTCGATACCAGAGCCGCAAAAGTTTTAGGTTGCAAAAAATTCATTATATTTGCAGATGTTCTGTCTACCAAAAGTAACAAGCTTTTATGAAGGGGGATCTATCTCAAAGTGATTTCCCAAAAATTGAGGCAATTACTGGTGCAAGGTACTGAGAAAGCTGAGGGTGGCTTAGGGGCCCCATTGTGCTTTTTAACATACATGTGGGGAACTTATGTTTCCTTTAGAATTATTCCTGTGCTCTTTCAATCTCCAATTCCCAGTGACAACAAATAAACTAACATTGCTACGATCATCGTTTAGTATCTTTGTCACAAATATCTACCTCCTTTTACTCTACTTCTTCCAAACATTAACCATCCGTATTCATACATTTTTCTTACTGATCAAGAATATTCGAGAACTTAGTCATGCTTAATACGTTTGTTCTTTTCTTGTCATATTGCATCACGATACCGAAAGCTCCACAATTTTCTACCAAATTCTTGATTCTCAAAACGAGGCTAAATGTGAGTTCGGGGTTTTTTGGGCCTAGTCGATATTCGGATAATAAAGATTAATATTTGTTCCAGGTTACTAAACAAAAACCATTAGCAAATAAGGGTAGGATGGTCCTCAGAATGTTTTACCATTGTCAATCATAAGACTGAAGGTGGTGTTCTCTCATCATTTGAACCATTTAATTTTGGGCTGTCGGTGCGCCAATCGCAAAGACGGCCATAAATGAAAACCCCAACCGTTTTTGAGGGGGTTGAGAAGAAGAACAATGGCCTTCTTCCGCCGACTAGCAGCACCTTGTTCATGCAAAAAGTCGCAAGCCATACGGCCATTAACTAATGCACGAAAATAAGTAGAAAGTCAGCATGCATGTAAATAAAAACCCCTGAAAATTTCTAGACAAGGGTTGGGTGGGCAGGGTCGCAAAGGAAAAACCTTCCCTCTCCAAAGTCCAACTTCAAGTTGTCGTGCAACGTGTGAGAATGAAACTGTGCTAAGACAAAGTTTATATACCCAAAGCCAATGCACACTTGCACGCTGGTTGCTTTAGCCGTATAAAATACACAATGTAAAGCTTACTCGAGCACTGCTACAATAAACACGAACTCCACAATTGTGCAATCTGTGCCCAAAAACAAAAGCCCAAGGGGCACCTAAAAGGCGTACCCTGTCACATATTAAACGTGATTAAATTTCATTTAATCAAGCTTTGTAAAGTCAACGATTACTACGAATTACATCTAAGTCAATGATTAAAATTTATTAAAACCAAGGTGAGTTATTCAGCGTTCTCAACATACTTTTATGTCATCTTAATCTTAGCTATCAGCACGTTGAGCACCCAAACCATTTCACCATCCAGTTCATAATAAAGCTGATGTCTCAGTGCTGTCGGAACTAAATTCCTATTGGGGAGAGGCTGCCCAGGACAACTGTTGGGGCTGGGGGCTCTAGCCGGTCCCTGCTTTGAGGTTTTGCCCGAGTGCCCTGAGACATAGTCTATGCCTGAGACATGTACAAAGCAGGCAGAGATCATCTTTAACTGGCAACAGTGGTGGCACCAGGGGAGGGCTAGGGGGGGCTACAGCCCCTCCGTCGGAAGCACCTAGCTCCCCTATCGGAGGAAATTTTAGGTTATTGTCGGAGCAAATTTGACAAAATAACGTACGAAAACTGCTTATTATAGTCATTTTAACCCCCCTGTCGGAAGCTCCAGCCCCTCTGTCTGAAGATTTCTTGTGCCACCTCTGACTGGCAACAGTTGTTTAGCTTGATGTGAGGCCTTCTTTCTATTGACTCTAGACCAAGGGTGTAGAGTTAGGGGGCTCGGGGCTGGGCCTTCTGTTAATGACGAAGATAAGCCAATTTTTTTACTTTTCCTGCTTGTTCGGGAGATGATCATACCCGTCTTCCAGACATGCACTAGCCCCCGTTTTGAGGTCCTTGCACATGCGCATTATCACTTGAAGCCCTGGCAAGTAGTTCAAGAATTGTGTGGTCGCAGACAGAACAGCTGTGTGAATATGCGCATGTGCCATGACCCCGCAACACTGATTGGTTCAAGACAGTATTGTTTCGAAACAAAGGACTGATAGTTTCGTCTCCCGACAACTGCTGTTATTAGCAACAACATGTGCAAGATCCCCCCTTGTTATTTTGATAGACCATTGCTCTAGACGGACTTATCAGTGACAGGCAAGATATTTACCTTTTCAACGTATTCATAACTGTCTACAACATCATCTAAACAGTACCAGTATTCTTCATACACAGCGACAGGATACCCACCTTTTTTCTGATTTGGAGTGAATTCGGGCACATAAAGTTTCTACGGGATCGACCCAAGCGTATGGATTATACCGGGTGGCGTTGTTGTTGAAGAAACACGGATAGTAATAAAATCAGCAAAAAACGACATAGCGGAAAAGAAACAGAAAAATCAATTTGAGGGCTATTAGTAAATAAATCACAATATTCAGTGCTTTTTAGATGCATACAGACTGACAGTTTCCTTCCTGTACCAGGAGTTGATATAATTTATGATCAAAAGCCCGAGATACGACTATAATAGCCATTCGGGGGTTAAAAAATAGCCTTTGGAGGCGCAGGTCTGCTTAGCATCATTCTGCAGTGTATCAATCTACAACAATAGGTGCAGTTCAGTGCGAAAGATTTTTCTTAAAAATCGTCTTGGGAGAAGACATCCCCGTCGCTTTGAGATAACGGCATAAAGTCACTTTGGGATGAAGGTGGACTGAGACTTTCAGAATCGTCGAGGACCGACGACGGGCGTTTTGCTTTAATATCTGTCTCATGAAAAAACACTTTGTTTAAATTGACCGGGATTGGTTCTGCCTTTCTTTTGTCGGGATTTTGCTTCAATGGAGTTTCCTCTGACTGGTAGTTTTCTTCGTCTTGACTTTGCGGATGGCAAAGCACCCCTGTAAAGACAATTGCAAAGTGATAGTAACATGAAGTAACTGTTGCTACAATATATTTCTACCTTTTGTCCTCCTAAGTGAACTGTTCAGGCAGATGTGGATTGAATCCTAGAGATTAGATGAATGACCAACAGAGGTCTCATAATAACGTCATAAACGTACGTCATGCGCAGTGGGGTTGGAAGAAAAACACGAAACGAGGCGAAAAATTTAGATCTGAACAAATAAGCATAATTTCCAATGAAGCTAATCACAACTACATTTGAACGAAAATAAAACAGAAAGTAAACTCTTATTACTTAAGTCAAGTTTCATAAATCATACTACTTGCAGATTTGTCTTGCTTCTTCTCTAAAAAGGCATTATCAAGTACTGTACCTTATTAAAAAGGATCGCAAAGTAAGGCTACCTTATTTGAAAGAGATTGCCAATCTTACTCAGAACAACGGAAAAATTTTCTATTTTCAGTTTTGAAATCTTTCTTTAAAAATGTAACACTTAGATAGTATATAGGCAACCATGTTGAATTTCGGACATGATCAGAAATTTTTCCGACATAGAAGCAGCTTACCTTTACAGGGGGGGGGGCTTTTCGCCCCGTCTGACCCCTTCCCCTCTCTATCTACACCACTGATCATGTGTAATACCAACTAGATTAATTACGAATTGGCTCACAAATTGACAAATCAACAAATTGGGCCTCGTTCAAAGAGGTAGCAACAATCAACAGGTCTAAGTCATAATAAGGGAAAAAAACTTCACCCTTGGCCCTTGGCGCATAAAACAAGATGTGCAAGTAGCGAAAATTTTCTCTGATTGATCAACATAATTCTATATCCTTCATCGTTGTCACTTTTAAAAAAAAAGAGTAGAAGCAGCGTAAAATGCTGATTCAGATATCTTCAAAATTTCGGATAGCTTCCAAAATTAAGTGCAACGAAATATTATATGATGTTTTTTCAGTTAAACTGTAAGGTGTGGTGCCAAAAATTCTGGGGGAGTACCCCTAAACCCCTCGGCTCTCGGCTCGCTTCCCTCACCTACCATCTTCAAACCTTAGGAAAAAGTCTGCCCCCTTGTTAACATCAAGAGAGACTTTTGGGGGGGCCTAGTCCCTCTTAACCAGGGCAAATTTTTTACTTGCCAATGTAAATTATCCCTTTAAATTGCTGTTGATTTTCCATGAATGAACAGTTTCTGTTAACGTTTTAGATTCGGTGCAGTGGCGGATTCAGACCGGGTTCCAAGGGTTCTGGAACCCTGTCAAATTTTCCTAAGGCACATAACATCAGTTTTTCCTTTACTTTCGAATAAATGGCAACGAGTCCCAACGTCAAATGGCCTCTAGTACCACAACCTTTGCTGCTTTCTAAATATGGTATTGTGAAAGAAAGGAGCCCTTTCGTAGCCAAGGCAACTCTTTGTACCATATCGTATTTTTTAAGAAAGGAACCCTGTCGTAGCCATGGCAATCGATTGTCTTATTTTGTTTTTGGCACAGACAAAAGAACCCTCTTGGAACCCATCTCCTGAACTCATTGGAACCAATGAGGTATAATCAAAGCTATTCTTATACCTCATTGATTGGAACTTATTCAAACCGCTGACCATGCATGCGTCCTGTTTTCATAATGGCGACGTGAAGCTGCGAGTGAAGGCTTTGACTGCACGATGACGAGGGGAAGAGACCAGCACCTGGAGATCAATGAAATTTAAGGATCGTATGGAAGAGTGCTATGAATTTTCAACAAAGCTTTTCAAACACGCCTCGCAAACTATTTGCTCATTTTTCTCGACTGGCCTAGCTAACCGGGAGAAGACAGATAACCGCTTTTTTGCTCATGGATCAAGCGAAAAGTCCTTTTCAGATAGTTGTAAAGTGACGTACACGAGGTTTACCTTTATCGACGATTTACTTTATGACGCAATAAGAAGGAGAGAATTCTTGGCAGGAAGCTCAGGAATGTCGAAGACATTTTCTCTTTGACGTGCAAAGTTTATAGAACTCCCATACATAATATATTTATCTATAGAGTGAGAACTTTATCAAGATAAATGAAAAACTTTAGAGAAAGGGGCAAGATGATTTCATATGTCATAATTTGATCTTTTCAATAATTGGGTTTGTTTGCTATATAGGGTAAGAGTCTTCGTCCATCGTTATCCATTTTTGACAATCTTGGTGACTATTTGTAAATTTGTTTATTTTTGGTAACATTTATAGCATGAACTTCACTCAAATCAGACACTCAGTAAGCTTAAGTCCTGCTGTAACCAGCTAGAGGAATTTATTAAGGTCCTCTGTTTGGCAAGAAATTGAAATCATTCTTGTAGAATTCATAGTGACAATTCCTGGCTTGGTTTACAGACTGATTTTTCTTACCTGCCTTGTAATCATGATAATGAAAGATATTATCTTGTCTCAATTAAACTTTACACTTGTGAATCTTAAAAAAAGTGAAAATTGCGTCACCCAATTTTGGACGAAAGTAAAGGGCGTCGCTAGAAAAAATATAGGACCACACCCATGTAGGAACCCAAAAAAAATTTTGTCTAGATCCGCCACTGATTCGGTGGATAGTTTTAGATTTTTAAACAAGGCAAGTAAATAGGATATGAAAATAGTTGTGGCTGCAAGGCATTTCTTATAGCACAGCCCCCTGCCTTACTCATTGCACCCCTGGTTAAGGGTATTTAAGTCACCTTGCTAAAAGCTCTAGAAAATTATCTTGTTTAAAAAATTGAGTGAGAAACTTCAAACCTTCGGTGTTGTCATTTTCAATCGGTCCTCGACGATTTCTCTTTAGTGGTAATGGTGACAATGGAATTCTATTTTTCCGTTTCCCACAGCTCGACTCTGAAATGCGAGGTTGTCGACCATTGTCATCTGTAGATGACGCGCTCTCATTCGAGTTTGTGTTCATCCTTGATATTTCTGAAAAAAGGCATGACAATCTAACAAAGCGTTAGCCCTTTTATACTTCATCATGGGCGTATCTAAAAACGTTTTTAGGGGAGGGGCTGGATGTGTAGTCAGTCAATCTACTGAAAAAGGGATTTCATTATGGGTGTGACCATGTACGTGATTACGGCAAAAGCCTTTAACGATGTACGAAAAACTAATCATAGCAGCAACAATTGTTCTTGAATATAAATTATGCAATTTAGAGTTTTATCATATCAAATGCAATGCTAAAAAGTGACGAATCAATATTGAAAGGTGACGAATCATTTTACAAGTGACACTCATCTTCACGGATGTCTCCCCCTGGGGGGAGGGCGGGTGTTGATGGGGGTACATTAACAAGTTTGAAGGTAGCGGGAGTTGCCGTTATTTAGAGTTACCATTTTTCTGAAATGTGAGGAATTATCGGAATCAGTTATTGATGTATTATATATGCGGAACTATGGGTACCATTTGAAGAAACATGCAAAATTATGGATACCATTTTGGGAAAATATTGTAAGATTATTAGGAGGGGGATTTAGCGTCAACAAAATGAATGTCCAGTTAGAAATGAGAGTATAAAATATATGAATGAGATTTTGGAGCAAAGGACATAAATAATGTGCTTAACAAATGTTACTCGCTTTGCGGAATTATGAGTATAGCTTTTATCATTTTTGTGAAAGTATGTGTCACATTTTTTCAGACATATGCGGAATTATGGGTCAAATTTTTTTTAACCAAATGGCACCTCCCCATCCAAAATCGTGATTAGCTACCCTCCACCACCTAGGTTCTTCCAGCTCCCTTGTGTGTGTGTGATCCTAAAAATACGGTGTGTTCTTAAAAGGTTGTCTTTTAGGGTAAAGGATGAGGGCCACATATAGGTCCATTGAGGTAGATGACGAGGAGAACGTAAAAATAGACAGCAATACCCAGGTAGAAGTAAGGATGAAGTTATAAATATTATTTTAAATATGAATAGAAAAAGTGAATAGAGCAAATGACACCCTAGTGGGCTACCGGGTTGACCACACCAAATGCTCTTGAAAAAAGGAACGCCCTAAAATGAAAATTGTTAATAGATTGTCTCTGAACCAAACAATAAAACACTTGGTTAAAACAGTTTCCGAAAAAGTTTTCAACACACCCTAACCGCATGATCAGTTATGTAAACGGATGATCCGTGTTTAGATCGCTTGACTTTAAGGAAATGATACGAACTAACCCCACCGTTATCCGTCCCCTCAATGTGCCCTTAAATATCTTGGTCTAATCTAATATTCAATTGATTATAACTTACCTCTGGATATTTCTTCATCGGTTTCTCCTTGCCGTACCTTTGTGGGTATTCCCACATCTCTGTTGGAGTCTTCCCCAGAATCAGTAGATTCTAAACGTATTCCTTTGTCACTTTCACTGGAAGACGAATCAAATTTAACGTTTGGTTTCCCTATTCCTGCAAAACGTTTGGGATCCATGTTATTTGGTGCCCTGTGTGGGTGACTGTCCTTCTTGGCAATTGTACTGTAATGAAGACAAATACGAGTCACATCAAACTAAAAAATCCTTTATATATTTAACTTTGCTCTTTAATAAACCTTCTAGTTGCCTGCAATTTGTGTGATTCTGAACCCAAAACGATAATCAAAACATGGACACATTTAAAAATTCAGAGGACTTAACTCACATAAAATCTCACATCGTACAAATTTTTTTATTTTCAAAATTGTATTTGCAAAAAGTGGTGAACCTTTTTTCACTTAGTTTGTGGCGTAGCCAGAGTGGGAAGATTGGGGGGCAAACCAGTAAGAAAAATAGCAGGGGGTCCGTGGTCTTCACCCGGGAAAACTTTTAAGACCATACCCTTTAGAATGCTGGGAAACGGCTCTTTTTAGATGGCTTATAATGAGCTATGCCATTTGCACATGTCAAAGTTTGGTTAATCAAACGTCACAACAACAAAATTTGCATCACAATTCCTCTCAAGTTTTATTTTCTGAATCTTGTCAGGCGAGAAATTTCTATGTTAAAAAACTGTTTTTTAAAGACGCGAGTAAAGTTAGTTGACTTGTACTTCAGTTTCAATATTCTGGTCGTTCAACTTCTACTTATTTTTTGCATTACATTGGATTGCTTCTTATTGTTTTTGCGACATTGACTTCTTTACATTTATTTACCATCAATTTTTCAAAGTTAATTTAATAAGAATTGTTGATAGCATTTTAACGTAGCACGGTTGCTCTATTTTGTTAAAAGGCGCCCTGTCCCACCGGGTTTCGATTGCCATTTAAATTTTCAATTGGTTTGACTATACAAAAGGCATATTCATACGTCCAATTGTCTATCATAAAACGCCACAGAGCCAGAGCCTATTGTTAACTCTATGTATTGCAGATTTGCACTTTTCTCAGAGACCAACGTTCTGAGCATTGGGGGGCGATTGCCCCCCCTTGCCCCCGTCGCTACGTTACTACATTTAGTAAAACTATGGTGAAACTCCACTTTGCCTGTTATTGCTTTTGGCAAAAAACAAGTTGCCCATCACAAGCTACTGCGCATGTCTTGAAGGACATACTAATGTCGTTGATCACAGATTGTAACTTTTCAAGAATGTTGAAAATATCTTTATGGCCTCTAATATAAGTCATTCAAGGTTTGTTTAACTTTTTTCAATAAGCAATTTTGAATAATTTCACTTATAACTTATTACCTATTAAATGATCTTACTGCGCATATTTTTTAGTAAATATACATGTTGATACAACTAAGATTCAGTTGGGAGAATCAACCGGATTTGTGTTTTTGCGGATGAGTGTGTTTGAGAGCACTCCAATACTCTGGAAAGTATCTGAAAAACTATAGGTTTGCTTTGAATTACTGGGCGTTTGGTTATAGATCAATGGACTGAATACGCTAAATTGCTAAATCTCCCAGCTCCAAATGCTCCTTGTAAACAAAAGTACTTGCAAGGGACCATGGATACTCCCATTAAGGCCTGACAGGTGGTCCAGTCTGTTTGTGGGTCTAACCAAAGGCTACCAAATAGCCCATTTTCGATAATAACTCAACTGCTCAGTTTAGCTTGCGATTTTTGATAGATAATGAACAAGATTTATCTTTCCCGAAACGACAACAATCAGTTATGAAGAAATTTGTCAAAAAGGGACCAGGGGAGCACAAAGAAATGGATGCTACCAAGAAAATAATTTCGGTTTTTATGCTACCGTTTGAGGGGTTTTGTCAAAAAGTACTACCATTTGAGGGTAACTTTCTAAAATTTTAGCGTTGGCCCTCTTTGAGCCTGACCGGACCCCCCTGTCAGGCCATAATGGGAGTACCCCCCTGGGTGTGTTTTGCGAACGAGCAAAATAGTGCTTCGTTTGTATGAATTTATTCGAATATTTTTGACAAAAGAAGAGACCTATTTGACAAAAAACTACTAAATCTCTTTTTACATCAAGATACTGTGCTCTGATACTTCCTTTAGGCAGGTGCTCTGTGATCTTTCTTGAATTTCAATCGCTTTCTTTACTTTGAGCTTGATTGACACTTCCATAAGTAAGACTTGGGCAATGGGAGACGTCCCTTGCAAAAAGGGCAGGTGGAAAGCTTTTCAAATCAAAAGTAAAGAAATCACTGGCTCGCATAATCCTTCTGCGTGAATTTTGTCATAATCTTCTTTATTTCTTTATATGAAAAATATCAAGCTTTGAATTTCTTCCTGGGTGCTTATTCAGACCCTTACAGCCAAGGACAGACTTTCCTTATATTTTCCTTATATCAGTTACAAATCATTTGCAAAAGATAGACATCAGCGTGCGGAATTATGATTAGGTATTGAACATGTGCCTAAAACTGTAGACTTGTCCGAAAGATATCTGATAAAATATCTTGGACAAATTAATTCTAAGAGATTTTGCTGCCATCCGTTTTGTGCAAATTGATGATTTCGTACATTGATAGGCTCCTTCCGTATGAGAAACTGTGCGTAGACATGGTGAAAAGGATAGCGAATTTTCTCAAGAAAAAGTACAGTCTCTATTCCGGGAGAGAAATTCTTTAAATTTGAAGAAAGAATGGAAAACTTTAATAGCTAGTTGTAAATTTGAAACCAGTTTTTTTTCAAAAAGCCAGTTTAATTTTCTATTAAATTTTTCAGAAGTTTCTTACATGAGGACATCAATCCTCAAACAGCAAGATGTCTATGAGTTGTTAATTGAATAAAATAGAATAGAAATGAAATAGCTTGCCACAGAAGTCTTGTTCAGAAAGTATTATTGTCTATCATACCTAGAGCAGTTTTCACTATCAAGGGGTAGTTCATGGCCCAAAGAAAAAGGACTATTATTCAAGAGAGACAACACAAGGAATGTGCACATACTACGCAATCAAAAATCGGCAATATTTGAAAAATCCCCTTCTCCCTAAACAACTATTTTAACAAACTTCCACAAAGATCATGAACGTAATAGCCAAAGTTTCCCAATCTTTGCTATTGTTAATTAACAATAAAAAGACAAAATGTTGATCAGCAAATTCTGTAAGATTTGCTGAAAATCTTGTAAAAAACATATTTTGTTATGATAATGACTTTGAAAAAATGAAACATTTTAAACATACAGCTATGTTGTCTGAAACTCCTCAGAGTATAAGATGTCAAAAAATGGTCCAAAAAAAGATGGAAAATTCGATCAACAAATGGGTATTTATTCTTCATCTTGTTCGTTCAGACCTTAATTCTGACATCTATACTGTGAAGAGGTTCAGAAGTTTTTAGTATAGTTAAATTGTTTGCTTTTTTCAAAGCAATTTTCAGATTTGGTAGCGCCAAAAAATTGTTCATATATTGTTTTATTGACAGCAGTAAATGTGGTAGCAGTCAAAAAGCCTACTTTCACTACAAACCTGATTCGCTTGTATTTTTTTAAAGCAAGTATGCCATACATTAATTCGATATCTGTTGAGGGGGTAGTAAGGGATTTCACTAGCTAACTAGCAGACTGTTTGCCAACTGACTAATGACTAAAAATTTTGTGAAACCAGTGACTTATGATTAACCATATTATTTTTTTGACTTATGACTAATGCAAATTATTCCTAGTGCCTGATATCCAATAACCGAGGGCTCACACTTTACTGAGCACTGAAAAATTAACTGAGCACTACCTTATGCTCCTTCCAATCACCATGGTTGTAACTGGATAAAATTATCGATGTGCTGGGTATGGAAAAAATATTGGGTATGGGGACGTTCATATATTACGTAATCAAAGATGGGGAGGGGAGGGGGGACTTGAACAAATGGTATGCAATTGACCTTAATGTGGCTCAACTTAAAGGTGAAGCTAAACTTTTTATGCAAACGTACTTTAGATAGGAGGTCAATTGATGATTGTAATCAATTTTAGTTCTGTGCGAAGATTTTTTGCCTTTTGAAGGTTTTCAAGTTTTTGAAAAAAATAACTTGTGGGGCAGAGGGCGCACCGGGAAATTTCCCGGTGTCCCGGTGGGTCAGTCCGCTTCTGCCCGAAACTACGTTCTTTTGTTAGTGACAATTAAAAGAAAACTGTCATAAAAACAAACCAACCTCGCACATGGAAACCAGCAGATAACCCTACAATGTCCTTTGCAGGATATCGGCAACTTTTTATATTTTCTGCAAAAGGATGCATAGTGTAAACAAAAAGCCTCAATCGTTTACTTTTCTCGTTCTCTCCCGACTGAATCTAAATGACAAGCCCCGGAAATCGATATGAATTTCAGTACTCTCAATTTGACGAAAGATTATTGATAGCCAAAAGAATCATTGACAATATATTATTGATTAAAACGTACCGTTTTCCCGGGCCTATCCCATCAACAACAGTTCCCGATGCAAGGCGAACGTTGGGACGGAGACGGACGCTTCCTGTCAAACTGCGGTTAATCCCCTTTATTGTTTTTTTCAGTCTTTTGTTCATATAGTGTATTGATATTTCGGGCCATTTACTGACGAGACTGCACAACAGTTGCGGCCGGGCCCTTTACGCCTAGGGGGGCCAGCATCAAAATGGCCCCCCTCCGAAACTAACACTATTGTCTTTTTCCTGACAATATTGGCAGTCCAGGGGCGGTGCCAAGAAATTCAAAGTGGGGGAGGGGCTCGAGTTAATAGCTTTACTCGACTAAAAGACGAACATTGGGAAGGGTCGGCGAGAGATTGTCGGAGGCCCTTGGCATAACTCTGAATAGAGGCTTTCTTGCAAGCGTAGCGAGCTGACAATTTTTGCGACCACGCCCTTTAGATAAGCTTAAAATACTTTTCAAAATATTTCTTGCAGTCATTTTCTTGAAATCGTTTAAAAATTCTGCTATTTTTAAGGCATGTTTTTAGTACGTTTGATTAATTCCAGTCTTAAAATGGATTTCATTACTTTGTAATAGGGAAAAACATCCACCCTATCGTTGTATCGTCGAGACAAATTGGTCCTTCCATGAGAAATGAAGCAAAGAGACAAAATCTACTTACCCCCACATGAGCACAGGGACGCAAATAAAATATTTTTTCATGGGGGTGTCAGGACAAGTTGGACCGACTCACGTACAAAATTGACTGTCTCTTAGAAGCCAATCCAAGCAGATAAACTAAATAAAAATGTGTCAAAAACATGTTTGGGGAACTTTCAAGAGACCCTACGATGTGGTAGAATGAGGGTTTTGTTCTTTTTGTAACTGTTGTGTTCATTTGGCACCTTGGAGGGGGATCCAAAGCGCTTGATAAAATATTTACCTTTGTTTTGCTAAACTTGTACATTTGGGGCAGCTTAACAAGCTCAACACATTCATACAACTCAACTAACAGTCAAGGGGCAAATTAGGGGAGTGTAGGGGTAACAAATAATGGAAAGAGTCGGTCCTAGCCAATAAGTGGAGGATTCCAGTTACTCATAAGGCTAGAAAATGCGTTTCTAACATATCTTTGAATGCATCATGTCATTTGATACAAAATGAAGTAAATATTCCATCGAACTTTAAAGAAATATTATTAAAGGCCAAACAAAACGTAACCGTTAAGAAAATTAGGCCCGACCCAACTTTCTTGTCAAAATCAATACATGCCTCTTGAAACAAGCCTGAAGTATCTACGCGTTAGAAACATGAAGTCAATGTTTTGAGTTAAAAGTCATCTGTTTAATTTATCCTTTATGACAAAACCTAATAAGAGCTGGTTTCATTATGTTTTAGCTTTGAATGCACTTTTTAACGTTATTTCTTGTTATCTTGTACACTTAAAACTCTACGTTCGTGGAAGTGTCTTGAGACAAAACATATGGACCAATCTAGGATAAAGCAATTAAACAACCAAATTGTCTGTTAATAAGGTCTCTGAAGGCCACCAGAGCCAAAGATACTCATCAAAAATCAAAATTTTCCCTGGAATTGGGGCATGAGTCCGGACACTCTAAACACAGTCTGTGTGCACTATAAGTGCTGTATTCTCTACATAAAAGAATTAATACTGTTAGTTTCCTAACAATCCTCTAAATAATTGATTAATTTTTTCGCCCCTTGGAACAGTACAAATGTTTTGTCTGGATAATACAGTACCCTAATAAAGTTTTGAATTTTATGGCGTCTCCTTTGTCTCTGCTGACCTCCTAGAGACCTAATAATCAGACAAGTCAGTCGTATCAAACTTTTTTCGAGTTTTCGGCGCCCTATACAAGCTTTGGCGCCCCTATAAAAACGTCAGCTGGGGGCCCTGCCCCCCGGCCCCCCGGCCCCCCGCCCCCCGGCCCCCCTGTCCCCCTGCCAGGCCGCCACTGTTGCACAAGCTGTCTCGAATAAATTCCTTCTTTAGGATCGAGCTATTAATAGCCACCCCCCCCCCCTTATTACTGTCAGATTTTGAAAAACAACTACCAGCCGATTACAACTGACGGCTTGTGCAGTTTGCACCGAATATCTACTTGAAGTTGCATAATATCATATTAGAACTTTTATTCTAGAGTATTTTTTGATGGGATTACATTTCAGTACGTTTTGGGGTCACAAAATTATATTATTTTCGTACAAAGAATTGTTTTATTCCAAAAACTGTAAGAAATATCCAAATAAATTCTAGCTGAAAAGTAGATTACACGCCTCTTAGCTTAGACTGGACGTTACAGTGGCGTAAGGGAGCAGTGTAGGGCCCTTAGTAAAAGTAGTGATTTAGAGACCCTATACTTAAAGGTGAACTGACACGCAAAACTATTTTTTGATATAATGTAGAAAACGATGCATGGAATCTTAATTTCAAGTTTTCGGTTAATTATAATTGTCCGTTTTGACGCAATTCCGCTCTAAATGTCATGAAATTATCGTCGAGTGTTCGACCATTGTCGGCATTTCATGTGACCCAGTACGTGTGACGTCACAAACACCATGTTTTTATTCCTTCAATGGAAATCACACACGACTGGACAGTTCAGTTCATCTTGTTCAGTTACTATTCGATGAGATCTACGTAGCCTTTGATCCAAGATACATGAAAATTCGAGGCTGATTGGCTGATTGAATATACGATGGATATGTGTTGGCTGGTACTATGTTATGTTAGGAGGGAATTTAAGTTTGGAAGGAATAGGCACTTTTAGCTGCTCGAAGAAATTCTCAATTCTGAAGTCAATCATGCGGACGAATGTAAGAATCTTATCATTTTATCATGAATCTAGCTTCTTTTTCGAATAAATTCAATATATTATTACTTCGATATACATCAATATAAATCATGAACGTTATTTTATTTTGGGTTTGCAAACTCATCGGTTCACTCGAGTTACAGGAGGGCAGCGGCCTGGGAGTTGAAAATTTTACTAAGTTGTTTTCCTGCAAATAGCGACTCGATCGTACCAGGTTCGTAACCCCTGAAAAATTGTCATGTGATTGAATAAAAAAACGAAAATGAGTGACTTAAATTCGAAATATTTACTAAATCTTTACTGCGTATTTGAAGATAGCCAGAATCAAAGACCGAAATTAACTGTGGGGGGTGCTGATAAATTAGTCTAACAGCAGACGTACTTAACAAAATAAAAGTGTTTTACTTAGGTTTCCAGAAAATAAAAATCCTGTCAATATATTTATCGCTACCATTATACGATAAGTTGGCCCGCCACACACTGGGTCCTGCAAGCCAGAGGAAAGGCCTCAAACGCATTGAATAATACGATATTCTTGCAAACCTTATTAGGAAAGGTTTGTAAAGGAGTCATAATCTGTTTTCCAATCAGGTTGTCGAAATGGAGCCAAAATCTACACAATCAATGTATCGATGCTCTTCCGCAAAGTCATGAAAGTACGGCCTTCCAGACTGTCATGTTGCTCAAGTGATGTGAACATGGTGTTTGTGACGTCACGATTATGCGGAAGGCTCGGGTGAACTCGTCCGTGCTCGGAAAATGTTCGGTGGCTAACTTTGACGCTCAATAACTCGAAAACTGTGTTAAATATTAAAAAAATAATAATGTATCGGATATTTATGCTCGATATGCTTTCATTTGAGCTCAAGTTAATTTTGCGTGTCAGTTCACCTTTAACTAGATTTGAGTCAAATTTTAGAGCCTAAGTACTCACTTTTCACGGTTTTTTTCACTTTTCAGGGTTTTTTTTGGAAAAAACCGTAAAAATCTTGAAGGATCCTCTTTTTTTACTTTTCCCGTAGGGCTACTACGAAATCCTCTTGCTTGGCCCTGGCACGAATTCGAACTTGTCTGGATTCACCACCACTTGGCATTTGGGGCACTCTGCTATTATCTAGACACAATCCCGAGGTTGCGGAAAATATCCAAAGATAAATAAGCAATGTCATAGAAAGAGACCACTAAGGTAATTAATCCCGTCTGGAAATATCCAAAGATAATAAGGATTGTGAATACTTTCCATTCAGTGCCAGGCACGTCTCACCATTCTAAAAGTAGGTGGGCTGAAACGCTGGAAAACACTGGAAAACGTTGGAAAACGCCGGAAAACGCCTCCTTTAGAAAATACTTCCTACTTTCCGCTTATTTTTCAAAAACAGTTCGATTCAGGGAATTAATTGACTACTATAAAATAGATTTAACAAGATAATACACCAAGAAAATGAACAAAAAAGGGTTCCCATTCCAGAAGAACTGCTACTACTTAGGATCCGTTAAAGTAAACTTTTGTAAAGTTGCGTTAGAGTAAATTTTCTAACCTACAATTGCAAACAAATGGGGGGGGGGGCAAGGGGTTAAAGCACGGTGTCTGTTCAGTGCTATTTAAGAGTAGGTTTTACTATAAAATTTGATATTTCTATGATGCGGTACGATATGTAGGCTTCCAGTTCATGTCCTTTTTCGTGTGGTAAAGATCATACAAACGTTTTATTAACATCAAGAGAGCGATGTACTACAAAAGAAGCTCAAGAGTAGCTTGATTCCATTGCAAAAACAACAGGAATGTTAAACAGCAATGTAGATTCTAAAGCGTTCCAATTTTAACTGGACCTTGAGCCATTTCTCCGTCGCCAACCTATCTTCTCAACGCATTGTTTTCACAACTAGTGGTGTCGTAAAAACATCACGGCCCTAATCTCACTGGCTGGAAGAAGGTTGTAAAAACAAACAAGAATTGAGAAAATTGAAGAAATCATATTGCCTTTTGCTTTTTAAAATACAGTCAGATAAAATAATTAAATAATACAAGACTCTTGTTTTTTAATGTGAATGCGTTTTTAAAAGCTTTGAAAAAACTTCTCAGAGTAAAAAATTTCACAGCGACGCTTAACTTGATTAAATTCGACTAACTTTATTGAGTGCAGCAGAATGTAGTTGGCGCGATTGAACCTGTCGCATTATGCGACTTCACATGGAACCCTCTGGAGCGACTCCAAATTAAACATTGCTTTTAGCAGCTAATTTTTATAAGGCCCCTCTCTTTTTGGGAGCTGTGTACACCACTATTCGCAAGTATAGTTAAAACTTTTAAAACCCGTGGAAGGAAACAGCTGATGAAAAACATTGTTCGAAAATGTGAACCAAGGTTTTACTTTAATGAATTTCCACATCCAACACTATTCAAAATGCATAGTACAACCAGTAAAACGTGCAGCGCCACTACCAAAACGCGGAATATGGAAATTTAGATTTTCGAATATGATCTTAAAAACCATAACAGGCGTTTCAATGAACTCTTTGGAGCATAGGATGCGAGAGATTTGTAGATAGGGTTGTAAATTTCCCTAATTCCAATATTTCACCTTCAGCTTTAACGTTAAAATCCATTTGCTTCCGAGACGCTTTAAAGGCAAAAACTGCAAGAAATATGCAATACAATTTAAGCAATAAAGGCAGATTCAAATGGTCTCCAGATTCCAATCGTATGTGTTCGGTCCTTTCCCTCGTGCAGTACGATCGATCCTATGATGCTTCCCCCATAGCATGCTGGGTAAAGGGGCGTTTTGTCACTACCTCTACACACTTTCATTGATTACTAGTCATTTCAATGTTTCTAGACAATCGCTCGAGGTTTATGCGTAACCTTTCAAGCTGTTCTGTTCCCCTCCGTTGTCTCGGTATCGGAACGGGGTCGGTTTCATCCTGATGTCTGATGCCCAGAATGTCTTTCTGCAGCAGATTCCCCTTCATTTGTCCTTTTGTTTTTGACAAACGCGGGAATGAATTGAACTTCCTACGTCGTCTTGAGAATGCTGGTACTGGGTTCACAGTGCCCGTGGGAAGATAATAGGAAGGCAAACCTTCTGTCTGCTGCCCCAGAGCCGTATCATTAATGTCACTGATAGATTCCATCAATTCTTCAGTGTTCAAGGGATTTTCTGTAGCTGACAATGGTGAAGAAACCCTTCGACCATAAACAGTAGCCCAATTCAAGTTATCCTGTCGGCTTCCTTCTACAGTGAATTCTCTGCTTTTGGAGGGCATAAAGGCTCTCTTCTTGAAATCATTTCCGACCTCAGTTTGAGAGCGAGGTCTTCTTGCGCTTCTCATGGCGTCAATATTCAATTTCCATTGCTGTTCTGAGACTCCACAACTCTTCGCTGTCCCCATGTCCATACTATAACTTCTATGTTTCGATGTTGCTTGCTTTTTAGTGAATTCTTTTCTTTCCATTTTGTGCGAATCACTAATATCCACATTTGGCCATTCATATCCAGATCTGGGTTGGACAGGAGAGCTGTTCCATTGGTCTTGATTCTTTAAAAGCTCATCTTCTTTATTGTTAGTATGAATTTTTGCCCTGAATTCTCTTTCTTCATGTTCCCTTGTTTCTTCAGGTGGTGCATTTTTAAGTTTTTGCACCTCTACATTATTTTTTAGGCCCCTTGAAATAATCCATCGAGAACTACGCTTAATTGCTTTCTTCAAGGTTCCATGTGCTGACCGCCTAAGAAAGAGCTCCTCCCTGCCATTGGCGAAGCTTTTATCCAATGCACAGCAATTTATCTCATTTTGCTTACGGTCAATTGCTTTTGCATTGCTTTTTTCACTCGTTCCATTTATCAAACAAATACTGGGTCGTCTAGTCACAGCTCCGTCAACTCTAGACACTGACTCTTCGTCGTCCTGAGCTGTGCTATTTCGATGGGTTCTTTTGCGGTAAACCAAGTACCCTAGTAGCGGCACTATTATTATGGCAATACCTATCGCAATTCCAGTTAGAATACCAGTAAGATACGTTTCTGATACTGCTTTCTCTTTATCCTTGATGCACTTTTCTGCAGAATAAAGAGAAGTTTTGGTAAAATGTTATATTTGCCTAGTTTTGGTAAAATGATATATAGTTTTGGTAGACGGTCGGGCTAGAGCCCCCCTGCTCCGCGGTGCCTGATATTAGTCCATGACAAAGCTCTAATTCATTAAATGAAAGCTACCGCCCTGCAAAAATGGTCCAGGTTCCCTGTATAGGGGGTTTAAATAAGGTATCTTGAGAAGTAAGGGGCTTGACATCCCGGGGATATTTTGTCAATGAAGACTGAAGAGGCAAGCACTTCTATGTCCTGCTCCGGCAAATGGTTTTCCTGGGTCGACTTTCCCTAAGTGAACTGCCTTTTAATCCAGTCTTAAGCATCCCATAAAATCACCTAATAGCATTCCAAGTAATTTCCCTTTAAATAAACACGAGCATTGGCTTTAATGTAATGCAATATAGGGTAAAAATGCGTTTACAGTCTCATTTACCACGCACTGTTACGAAGTATAGCAAGTATCTTGTCAAATTAGCAGGGTAAAATCTTCAAGTCTGAGCCCGGGCCGGATTTGGGCCCTCGGTTTTCTGGCATACATGTTTATTTTCAGTTATAAGCACACAATTTCTTTTGGCTAACTTGCAGTGAGTTGAAATTAACAGAATAAATTGTTGAAATAAGAATAACTAGTGTCTAATACGGATGTTCCTTGTCGGCGAAGCTCACTTAATGTATACAAGAGATTTTAGGCTCGGTGACCCAAAAATGGCGTCAATATATTTTAGGCCAATAGCCCCTAGACATTAAACCCGGCGCTGCCATATTGTTCTGTTAGCACAAAACTAGCAGCTTTGATCATGTTTTTATATATTAAACTCTGTGCTATTCTAAAATTGTCCCTAGCATGTTAACTTTATTTAAGCTTTACTCACCTATAGTGACACATTCACAGACTCTGATGACATCAGAAGACCAGACCAAAACTGCAAAATAAAGCTGTAAAGAAATAGTTGGTTTTCGCTCGTTCATTGTCGAATGATAAATGCAATCATCCATGTTGTATGTTGCTTCATTTCATATCGTAAGTGACATCTGTTTAATTATAGATAAGAGGATGTTGTATAGTATCATCCATGCAAAACAAAATGAAATGTTGTCGAAAATATCAAGTCGAGCCCAAATGAACACTTATTCACTTTTATTACCATAATTGCTCGCAAACGGTAATTTGCGAATCTATTATTTGTTTACTTAGCTGATATAAAGAAGAGCTTGCGGATTAATGTGCTATTATAGTGTGTGTTCAGTGGGACTTATATTCACTGCTTTCTTTTCAACAAACGACGATCAGTTATGCCTCAGCGGAATTGGTCCAATGTGGCAGGGTGTTTGATCTGTATTCAAGTGTTATTTCTCCTAGGACTTAATGTCTTTGGTGTGAATTGTTGAGTACATTGATTTTTTTTGAACAAAATATCTCCTTTTGTAAAAAACTTCAAAACACCCACATGCCTGCGTAAGCAGAAGGGGCGGACTGGACCGGGTGGCTAGGTGGCGATCGCCACCCAGGCCCCTCAGAATTTCAATAAGCAGAAATTTTGGAGTTTATGTATAAGTCCATATACGTAAAAGTAACTGTAACGTAACGATAAACGTAAAAGTAACTGATTGGAAACTACGGCTATCTCTGGAACCGGAAACTTCAGAGCCACAAAGCTACCCCGGATATAAAGCCCGCCCCTGTTACGCAGGCCTTAATGGCATGGGAAAAACTTCTTCTTTTAATTACAAAATAGAAATAAACTAAGCTAATTCGAATAGCAAAATGATGACCAAACTTTCCGAATTGTAAACTTGACGAAAACTAAAATAGAGCCAGCCTATTGCTTTATCAATCGTTTGAATATGTAAACAGTTTCCGAGGATTTGATCTCTTTTGGTAAACTATTAATTCCATATCTTGGGACCCAAAGATTTAAGACAAAACATTCATTTTTTATAAGAAAGTCACTATAAACAACGAGCTCTGGACCGTCAAAAAAAGTAAGAAGCTTCAGTACTCGTATCAAGCTAATTCAGAAAAAATGAATTTTGAAAAAGCCAAGAAGTCAGAAATTTCGTCGAAATCTATCGTTATGGGTTTGTATAGAACGTTCACAGTTTTAGACAGAGAGAATGAAACTGTACTTCTCCTGCCCTCATAGAATAAGAATGGAATCGAATCTATTAACATTTGTTTGCAGAAACTGTCATGACATCAGCATTTGTTTGCAAATGCGAAAACTCTTCACAACAAGTTTCTGTTGGACAATTTCCTAGCATCTAAAAACTGAATGTTACTGAATGTTCACTGAATGTTTAAATTAATCATAAGTATAATTAAAAAAATCACACTGTCAAAAAAAATAAGCACAATGTCTACAACAAGATTGAGAATGATTGTCTCCTGCATGATTGAGAATAAAAACGGTAATGTACTTCGAGCTAAAAGAATTTTAAATTTAACGAGTTTAAGAAAAACAACGGAATATGCTAAAAATTCAACAAGATTGAGAGGTCTAGTCATCTGAAACTTTCTTGATGACTTATGGAATGAGTTTTATTACTTGTATCTGATAAAGAATTCATCCCCAAAAAACAAACTTACTTGCTTTTTAAACTATTTGATTCTAATGAAATAAATATTTGCAAAATAGAATCGTTTAGCAGTTTTTATTCTGCTTAGTCATGGGCCCAAATATTATTCACCATTTAAGTTTATTGTTTAATTGAAAACGGGCACCTAACGTCAAGCAAAGTTAACCTTCCTATTTTTTCGTTTTGAAAAATTGTCTCATTAGCTTTTGTTATTGTCTCATTCCTTGCTGTTACCAACTTGCAATCCTTATCTTTGTAAGTTGGAGACAAAATGTTTGTGGTTTGTTTTTTCATTTTGTTCAAGATTCGAATTTTTAGTTTTAGTGTTTACACAGCAGCGAGCGGGTGACGGAGGAGCTCCCAGGCTGGATTTCCTCTGAAGAAAGGGCGTGGGATCACATATCCCAGCAGCCTGTGCGCGAAGTTCGCTCTTCTGTTTTCATTCGATTGGAGGTGAGATACCCTTTTTCAGTGAGAATGGAATAATCGCTCGAGATCTCAGCAATCCGAAATGGAACAAGCTGGGGAAGGTGGGGAACCTCCAACTCCAGCAGTAATGACTGCAGATCTTGGGAAAGTTGTGAAATACATTCGCAGTGTCTCCGCTGGAATACTTGATGATGACCCGTCAGGCTCACCTGAACTGGACAAGGCCTTGCAAGACCCGGCAAATGTCGAGTTTATCAAGAAGTTCATCTCAGACCCTCAGACACGCTCTATGCTAGTTTATAGAAATGTCCCCAAGGAAGAAGAAGGAGATTCTGAAGATGGTGCTGGTAGCACACAGACTGTCGCGGCTGAGTATAAAGTTGAGCTCACCGTACAGTTCTTCTCCTCAAAAATCGTCTCTGTAGGCTTTATAAAAAGAGGCCCAGTTTTAGAGGCTGACAAGAAGATTGGCACACAAGTGAGAGTCTTGAATTTCGAATGCGGTTCTCCGTTTGAGACCCTGCATTCGTATGTAAGCAATGCCGTGGCTCCGTTTTTCAAGTCCTATGTGAAGAAGTCTGGAAAATCAGACAGGTAACACCCTTCAGACGTGCATTTGGTAGAGCTGTTAAACATTGTCTTGCAGACACTGCAAAATTATCTCATCCTCAGATTTAACCAAGTTCAAGTACACTTTATGTAAAGTAACATTGATTGTCGGTTTTTGCCAAAAATTTTGGAAAAATTCAGAAATTGAAAAGCAGTCTATAAATTTGAAATGTTTATGCATTGAGATAAAAGCTTATATTTATGCATTGAGATAAAATCAACTGCCATGTTATTTCCTCATTTTAAAAATTTTTGATCACAAAATATATTTTATTTTCTCATCAATAATTTTCTGTTATGTTATCCAGGGAAGGCGACAAAATGATGCCAATGGTCGAAAAAAAGATTGCAGAGTTAGAAATGGGTTTGTTACACCTTCAGCAGAACATTGACATTCCAGAGATCACACTGACCTTCCACCCTTTCGTTGTTGCTGTCGTGAAAAAGTGCAATGGAGAGGGGAGGAAACCAACTCCAGAAGATTTTGCAGATAAAGTTGATGATTCAACGTTTTTGAATGCTTTGCAACATGGAGTAAACAGATGGATAAGGGAAATTCAGAAGGTTTTTTATGATAATTATATATTTTCTAAGTTCAAATTGACATAATCCAAAAAATTTCTTTTCATAAAGTTTTAATGCTACAGTACTCTTTCAAGTTTTATCATGTACAGAAAAAAATTGTATGCCAGTTGAACATGCTTTATTTTAGGATGCTTTGTGAATTTCTTCCGAGCTGCAGAAGCCTTTCATTTAAATAAAAAATCTTCTGCAAGTGGTATCAACTATTAAAAATGATTAACATGAATTTTTCATAAATTTTTGCAAAACACTTTACAATGATTACTAGGAAAGGCAAGTTTCTAAATAATCTCACCTAGTAGGCATGGCTGACCATCTAAAGACATGATCCCTTTATTCTTTGTCACATGACACATTTTTCGAAATTTTTTTTTATCATGAATTTTAACCAGCTGAGCTGTTGAGCCATTTCTGAGCTGTTGCTCTAAAAATTTATAAAGCAAAAGTTCATTTGATATTTTCCAAGTCTTCATCACTGAATGTTTGAATATTCATTGAATTATAAATCATTTTGTACTAGGTAACAAAACTAGACAGAGATTACTCATCAGGAACTGCTTTGCAAGAAATAAGCTTTTGGTTGAATCTTGAGAAAGCTCTGCAGAGAATTCAAGAGAAAAGGGACAGTCAAGAAGTCACATTGACATTGGACATATTGAAATACGCCAAAAGATTTCATGCAACCGTCAGCTTTGATAGTGATACAGGTAAGATCATTTGATTCCTCTCCAAACTAAAGCTGTCTGTGAACTAATGATTTAATTTTTTGTATGATGAAAGTGACTTTGAAAATTCTGCAAATTTTTGTTCCACATCTGTAGTATTTTCCTGAAACAGTCTAATAATGTTGTTTCCCTCGAAGATGCTTTGGATGAAAACAATCAGCATGACATGACTTTTTTACATTTACGATAATCTTTTCCTTGATTTTACACAGTGGCAGATAATTGGGGGGATCTAGGGGGCAGCTGCTCCTCAAATATTTTTGGAAGGCAATTGTCTTTTGTTCTAAAAGAATGGTGAAATGTGATGTAATTTTATAGAAACAATTGGCCTGCCCCCAATATACATTCTGGAAAGCTACCCAATTCCTTAATTTGCCACTTGTAATATTATGACTAGATAACTTCAAAGTTATCTAGTCAAAATGATCAATTTTCAACACATTTTGCAGGGTTGAAGCAAGCATTGACAACTGTAAATGACTATAACCCTTTGATGAAAGATTTCCCATTAGAAGAGCTGCTTTCTGCCACTGAGTTGAGTCGTATCAAAATAGCTCTCATGAGCATATTTGCTCATATGAGAAAAATAAGGAGTACAAGATATCCAGTGCAAAGAGCTTTGAGACTAGTGGAAGCCATATCACGAGATCTCAGTTCGCAGTTCTTAAAGGTTTGCACCATTCTAGAGTATTTTTGAGTCAAAATTATTTTTCCAGCAATAATTCTTTCTAAAATATTTTAGGCTCCTTCCAGTTTGACAGTTTAGAGTAAAGAGGCAATGACATCATAAAGTGTATTTGGAATTTATGAACCTTAATAATTTTCCCTGAAGGAATGTAATGATTTTGCCATGCAGAATAAGTATGATAGTATTCAAATGTAAGTTACTTTCCCTATCCTTACTTCTATGAACCAAGCCTAATCTGCAGTAATCCATTAGTAAGCTTCTTTAGTAGGCTTTCAATGAGCATGAGTAGGCTTTCAATTACCTTTCAATAGTTTGTGGCAAATTTGACCTACATTGCACAGGTTCTATATTGGTCATTTACATGTGGTTTGAATTAAAAAATTCTGAGAGAATTTTTTTTATGTAGTGATTGCTTATATGTTATTCAATGGCAGTGTAGCTCATTAATTAGCATTGAGGGAGTTATTTTTACCAATTATATGCTCTTTAGTGTTAACCTTGTTGTTATAAAATTTTTAGTAAACATGCTTAGATGATCTAAAGGAATTATAGGGTTAACTTAGCTGCTATTGTAATACCAAACCATTGAAAAGTGATTAACTTCCAAGAAAAGTTTACTCTTCTTGCATGCACTTTCCAAAGGGCAGTCATCCTCTCTCCTTGTTCGTTCAAGTCTCCCTTTGTCCTTTCAGATGAGTCCTTATTTACTACAATCACATAATCAAAAAAACTAAGGGGTTACATGGATAAAATATAGTGAAAGTTTCCCTAAAATTGCATCACTGTCTTTGTAGGATAGTGGTACATATCAAATTTTGATATCAGGTGGATGAAAAAAAGGTATAAACGTGCATTAAAGAATTTTCAGCTTGAAATGTTCTTATTTTACAATAAACTATTTTTACTCAGGTTGTTGGGACAAGGAAACTCATGCTTATTAATTATGAAGAATTTGAAAAGGTTTGTTCATGAGTTGAATTTTTCTTTAGATTAAATTTCCAGCATGAATTGTTTTGTTGAAAGTTCTTTAGATTTTAAAAGTGGAAGGATTTTTTAAAATGTCTCAGATTTTGAGAGCTTCTTTAAATGGTCAATTTTAATGCTATAAGCAAGGAAAAACTCTACTTTTCAATTATATTCTTTTTTATTATGTCTGTTAAAACTATTTTTAGCCAACGTATTATGCTATTATAGTAGGCACTGGCATAACATTTAATCCAGGGGAAATGCGCTTTGTTATGAACAGAAGAAATTTTGCTAATCTGCAGAAAGTGCTCCAAAAATACTATCTGTTTTTATCCAATTTTTATCAAAAGTTACTAATCTTGTGGTTAATGTTTCATATGGCATAGAATGCTCTTTAATACTTTTTAATTCCAGTTCAGAAAAACCCTATGAAACATAAAACCAGGAGCCTCATCACTAGGATAATATTAGTTGCAGTCAAACTTACTTTAAGGTAGCAGGAGAAGACCCACACCAGATCAGGCTATTTTCTTATTTTCCTGTTGTTTTTCTTCTTTTGCCCTTTGTCTAGACTCTCTGCACACATTCCTAACTGTTCGAGAAATGTTTAACCAGAGGAATGATGTCTGGTCTTGTTGGTGTACTTTTCTGCAGAGAATCTTGCTGTTGTTGCCCTTTTTCTCTTTTACAATACAAATTTCTGTTTGCCCCCTTTTTGCTAAACAAAGTTCCCTTTGATGGTGACATTAGTTAATTATTTTATAGGTAATGGCAAGCTGCTTTGATGTTTTTGGCACATGGGATGATGAGTATGAAAAGCTTCAATCACTGCTTCGTGATATTGCAAAAAAGAAGAGGGATGAGAGCATGAAGATGGCCTGGAGGATTAACCCAAGCCATAAGAAATTGCAGGATAGATTGAATCAAATGAGAGTGTAGGTTCATTTGTATGATTTCATAACTTTTTCTGTATTTCCATCTTAAAGAACAAATTCATTCAGTTATAAGTTTTAGTCATGTGTTTGCACTGAGTGGTGATTATTGGCTACCAAATCAAGATCAGCACTCTGCTTTGTCATTTGAAATATTTGAGAATATTTAATTACCACCCTTTCCAAGGTTTGTGATGAAGTACCATGTATATACTTTATGATATAAGAATCACATGGGGTATTGTAGATGTTAGTTGTCCAATCATGCTGACCTGTTCATGAATGACAACTTTTCTTTCTACTGTCTCTTCGCAACCAAAAAGATCAGTCACATGGTGTCAGGTGTACAAAGACTTTACATCTAAACAAATTCCAGCATCTTTTGACATGAAAATTGTTGCTTTGTTTCTTTTGCCCCTATATATATTTGTTCACTTTACTTCTGTTGTTAATGCATTTTCACCTCTACAAACAGGTCAGTATGACTTTTTAAACCTTTGTAGAAAATTGTTTTTAATAAGATGTAACTGGGTGTTTCAGGTTTCGCCGTCAACATGAGCAACTTAGAGCTGTGATCATGCGTGTGCTACGGCCTGCTCCATCAGACTCTGGAGCTGGGAGTTCTGCTAGTGAGAACAGGAAGTCTAAAGATGAAGAGGCTATGATTGACATGGCTGATGCTAATGCTGTCAATGAAGTTGATATGGCATATGACAACATGAAAGAAGTTGATGGACTTGACGTTAGCAAAGAAGGTACAGAGGTATGGGAGGCTTCTCTGAAGAGGTGAGAAGAACATATGATAGTTAATGTTGTATCCAATTTTATTATATCCTGTATGCAGCAAGATTCTTACCAGGATGGCTTTATTGACCTAAATGAGCCTGGCTCTGAAAATACAGTTACAAAGAAAGTCAGGTTTTTGAAAACGCTATTATAGCTATAACTGTTTATTGTAAAATTAACAAGCAGATTTCTTATTTAATTCTCAAGGAATTATTTTGCGTATTTGCTAATTAAATTCTTTCTTAGATTTTTAAGGATTAGATTAAAACTGATATAGATTTGAAAACAAATATCTTGCTTTTCTGTGTCTAATTTCATATGCTAATTCCTTCTAGATATGATGAAAAGATTGACCGTGTGGAGACAAGGATCACATCAAGATTGCGTGACCAACTTGGAACAGCAAAGAATGCCAATGAAATGTTCAGAATATTTTCAAGATTCAATGCATTGTTTGTAAGACCAAGGATAAGAGGAGCCATAAGAGAGTATCAAACACAGTTGATTCAGAGAGTGAAGGATGACATTGAAACACTCCATGACAAGTTCAAGGTACCTGAATTAATGGTTGTTTGGTGTTGAAGATATTTTGTTTTAATCTTATCATTTTTTGTTTGTTCCAACCTTAGCGAATATTTTTTAAATAAAGTTAATGAATGCAGTTGGGAAGGGATAATTATTTTCATACTTAGTTAGCCCAAAACTATTTGAACTTAACCAACTTTTCTGGTACTGTAGAGATGGCAAATTTTACTAACTGTGATCTTTTTATGTTACATAGGTTCAGTTTCCACACAGCAAAGCTTGCCGAATGAGCAAAGTGAGGGATCTCCCTCCCATCTCTGGTTCCATCATCTGGGCCAGACAGATTGAAAGACAATTGAAGGCATATTTGCGTCGTGTTGAAGATGTATTGGGCAAGGATTGGGAAAACCATGTCGAGGGACAAAGACTCAAGGCTGATGGAGACAGTTTCAGGCAGAAACTGAGCACACAAGAGCTTTTTGATGACTGGGCGCAACAGGTAATGAGGGCCATCTTAGCTATTTATTTTTGGTTGACACTGATAAAGACATTGAGGACTAATCTACAAATTGAATAAAACTGATCTGAACAAAGATTTTTTTGTGAAGTAAGCAATAGTCCTCTTAAAAGCACCTGTCAGGAGTTTCTGTTTTCATTATTACCTCTGGCAAGATTGGCAAATTGCTTATCGTTTGTTAAATACTTTTCGTAGCTGCGTTTTGGCATTCTTAACCAGGTTGTCTTGGAAAATGGGGTTGCTAAATTCCACTGCCCTCAAGACTCTCTTTACAGGAGGTTGATATTCCACCAATATGTCAAGTTATTTGTAATATGATGTTATTAATTTATATACCGTTGTCCTTTTAGGTTCAGCAAAGAAATCTCGGTGTTGTTGGAAGAATATTTGCCATTGACACCGTTCGCACACGTGGAGGTGGGCCAAGAGCCACCCAGCTGAAATTGAAAGTTAACTTCCAGCCTGATGTTATCACACTAGCTAAAGAGGTTAGAGATTTACACAAGATTAAATGGGCTGTATTTTGTATTTTCATGCAGTACGACATCAGGTCGGTTTTGAAAACATGCCAGTTCTGCCTTTAAGCTCTTGTTCAATGCTTTAAATTCAATGTGTTTTGTTCGGGTTTTCCTGGCTATAAAGTATCACTGTTTGATGTTGGCTTAGCATTGTTCTTAACCTTTTGATAATCTACGGTTCATTAATTGTTATTGCAATTGAAGTACCTTTTATGATGTAGATGTTTTAAGAATGTTACTTATTGCAAATGTGCCATTAAAGTGAAATGAACTGCCAGTTAGTTAAGAAAAAGCCTTCTGAAAGTAAGACTATAAATCTAATGAGGTGAGCTTTATCGATCATGCCAATTTTTTTAACTAACTATGATTTGTATAATCTAGGTGCGAAACTGCAAGTGGCTTGGCTTCAGGGTTCCACTGGCAATTGTGAGACAGGCTAACGATGCCAACCAGTACTACCCCTTTGCCATATCATTGATTGAAAGCGTGCGCACATATGACATGACAAATGACAAGGTAGCTTTGTAAGCAATTCATTGATTTTCCTAAGTATTTTATTCACCAAAGTTCATTTGTACTTCGTTTTGTAACTGAAGATGACATTACAAGAAGAAATTGAGCTAAATACAAAGTACATTAACACCGTCGCATTGTGTTGAAGGTTTAAATCTTGTTAAATGTGCTTGTTTTCCAGCTTTTGTATTTAAATCCTTCTCGCGTTTTATATCATCCAATGTTTCACACTGAGTAAGAAAGACCTTCTGCTGATGTGTGTGAATTGCCCGGATTTTGCGATATTCAAACCAGAAAGGCTTTGGAAAGCTGAACGTGAATTAAGTGGCTTTGAAACTTTCACAAGGAAAGATTTTGAACACATAATTGTCATTCCACATATTATACGTGGCTGATGTACTCTACAGTTAATTTATTGAATTGTTTGTTTATATTAACATTATTGTCATCAGGTGACAGAAAAAATTTCCATTTCACCACTGGTTGCTGGAATCAAGAAGGACATTCAGAATCTTATCAACGAGGTAGAGAATTTTATGATTGTTTATCAAGGCTGATTTTTGTTGATATTATTGTTGATCGGTGCATTTTATTTGTGTTAGACGTAGTTGTGATTTTGTAACTATTTTTGAATAGTTTTTGTTGCTACTGCTGATGCTGTTTTGGTTGTTAACCGTTCTATTGGTGCTCTCTGTTTTAAAGCTAGAGCATAACCTCTCACAATGAGTAATGCGAAGTGAATCCACCTTGTAAAGTTTATGAAGTGTGATCCGACGGCAGATTTCAACCCATCTAATGTAGCAAAATTCTTCTGTTTAACAATATATTGCCCCCCACCTTGGCGGCTCCCAGTCGTCGAAGGATTTGCATTGCTATGCTCTACAACGTTTTAATTTATCCCCTTGATATCTTTCCGCCTGATTATACGTCTCCTAGTTTAGCCACGCTGTTACTACATGAAGTAATTCAGTGAGCCATCTTATTGAATCTTTCGTCTCTAAATGTATTATGTTTTGTTTCTCAGGGAAGTGGTCTTGACTGGCAATCATACAAGTTGATGCCCTACGTGCTGCGTCTGTCAGAAGCTGTGACAAATTATCAGGAAAAGGTATGTCCAGAACAGTCAAAGTTATTTTGCTTCTTGCAAAAGATAGCAGCTTAATTTTCTGTCTGCAAACCGTAACACTGTATTCTTCGTCACCACGAGGTTAAGAACCGGATGACTCCTTCACAAAAATTTGTTTTTGGATTTTTTAAACTTTGACTGCAAAACCTGATAGGTCATGTTGAAATGCCCCTAATTGTGCAAAATCAATCAAATATATAAATAATTGACTAAGTTATGGCCACATTAGCACAGGTTCTGTCCCCCATTGAGTTGCTCCATGAACCAGAGCTTCAATAATCCAGCAGCGAAACTTAGTTTTTAAATTTGCTTTGTCTCAGTCAACTTACAACAGTTCTGCTTTATTTTATATTGTTTTGAGATATTTCATGTTGTTCCCTCAGATATGTCAAAATGGTTAGCCAGAAATTGTAATAATATGTTTATGATGAGGTCACACTTCAGTTCTCTAATGCTATTAAGGAATGCCCTTAGCCTAAGCTTAAATTTTTCGACATGTATCGATTGATTAACCTAACACTTTTCATTTCTGTGCCTTTGCAGGTAGACGAGTTGATTGCTAGCATCGAAAAGATTGATATTGAAGTCAGATCTTTGGAAACTTGTGCTTACAACCGGGAAACATTCAATGAAGTTCTTGGAAAAATACAAAAAGCTGTGGATGATTTGAATTTGCATTCATACTCGAACTTGAGCTCCTGGGTGAAAAGTCTTGATGAAGAGGCATGTAGTTACTTGTGCTAATCAAATTGCTATCTCCCACTGTCTCCTTTTGTTATTAGGTGTAAATTACGAAGTTGCTATTGATAAAGCTACTAATCTGGTAAGCAGATTAGGATATAGGCACCTGGTTATGCGAGTTACTGTGTCGTTGGGTCTCTAATAAAAATTCATTTGGATTTAGCAGTTAGAATATTTGAATGAAATCACCCCAGTTTATAATGAAATCAGCCAGGAAATGGAGATTTCAATTCATTAAACAAACACGAATTTCATGAAATTTTCGTCCACTTTAATCATCCATTCATCCATTTTGCTTTTTCCAGGTTGAGAAAAGGCTTGTTTGCAGATTGCAATCAGGAATCAAAGCCTGGATCCAGTGTCTCAAAGGCGATATTATTGATTTCATTGATGACTCAGATATAGGAGCACATCGTGCTGGCGGGAAACCTGAAATCAAGGTATATTTGTCTTTATGATATAATAACCGCATCACTGTGATTGCTGTCATCAGTGCTATTATCATCAACCATCATTATTTATCAAATATCGCCATCAGCAATAATCATCAATCATATTAAATCATGATCAATCATATTAAATCAGGATCAATCAAAATCAACCATCATCGTCAGTCCTTAAATTACTGTTCAAATTACTATGAGTTATTGAATATATATATACTCCTTGATTAAACTATTATCTATTTTAATTACAAATCATGTACAACAATCTTGTAAGATTTTCTTTAGATAGCTAATTACTTTATGTATCCAACTTTCTTCTAGACATTGCGGCATGAGTTCCGAATTCAAAATCAAGTGATTCACATGCATCCGCCCGTTGAAAAAACGAGAGAGCATTTGTATAACGAGTTGTCAAGCTGGTGTGGAATCATCACTCAGCTGTCCCGAATCCAGAGCCAAAGATACCAGGTAAAATGGGCGTTGACCCGTAGCATTAGTCACTCTAAAGGAAGGTTAACCAAAATGTGAGCTTGGTAGCCGTTTTATGTCCTTTGTCTTAAATTGAATGAACAAACTCATGACCAGGAACAAAGAAACTTTTATGCGCCTCTACCCACATTCTTAAAGGAAAGCGAAGCGCGAGGCTGTTTCTTTTTCAAACAAGACCCAAAACGAGGTTATTACATAATGGTAAGGTTAAGAGAAGTTTGCTACTTGCTTAATGTAGCTCTAAAGAACGTGACAAGCCAGGAAGTCGTTAGAATATGGATTGCTTTTCTTCAATCTGTTGTTGCTTATCAAACAAAAAGTGCTTGCATATGTTTGAGTGTAGCAAGTTCTTTGAATCGCTGCAGTAGCAATGAGCATAATGGCTTTTTAGGTTGGCATAGAACGAGGCGATAGTGAAGGAGAGTCGACGTATCATAAGCTGTTGACCCAAATCACAGACAGCACAGGGACCATTACTGAAGCGTATGGCACTATTCAGGAGCTGGTCAAGGATGTTGAAGACTATTCACAAACTTGGCTAAATTACCAAGCACTTTGGGATATGGAAATGTCAGTAATTGTTGACAGAATGGACAGCCTTGAAAGCTGGATGAACCTCCTAAATCAGATCAGGTAAAATGACCAGGATAAAATGACAAAAGTCTTTCCACATATCAGTTTTATAGCAAAGGCCTTGTAGTAATCATTTGACTGCAAAAATGTCTGCTAGAGTACATGCCTTAGAGTTGCAAGTACGAAAATCGAAGTCGATCTGATAAGCCATACCTACCGAAACAACACGCAGGACTACCTTGATTATCAAATAAAATAACGACTCGTTGTTTTGAAGTAGAAAACTTAACCTTATAGCTTATTCTTAAACCGCCTTTTAGATTCTCATATCACTAGGAAATGAGCATTAATCAAATAACTAACACCTGGTGTTAGTTGGCGTACAATAATTTTGCATATTGGGCAATTTTTTTTCCAGAGAGTCTCGAGTAACATTTGACACGTCAGATACAAAGAAAACGTTTGGACCGATCGTTATTGACTACACCGCCGTGCAGTCTAAAGTAAATTTGAAGTATGACAACATTCAGAAAAGTGTTCTCACCCAATTTGGAAGTCATCTTGGAGACAACATGAACGATTTCTACACTGGTATTGCAAAGGTTCGTGTTCTGTTTGGTTGGCTTGCTATAGAAATGTATGCATTGCGGTAAATGTTGGGCACCCGGGGCAATAAAACTGGCGTTATTGAATTGTTTAGAAAATGAAGGCGCTCACTTTTAGTATAAATAGTTGCCAAATAGGCTTCATTGGAGTTTAGGGAAGCCATTGAAGAGGTTTATATTTTGACATCACTTGGCTTGGCGTGTTGTTCCACCTTCTCTCTCAAAGTAGTGTCCTATATTTTCCAACTAAAGCATCCAAAAGCACAGGATTTTATCGTGTTTATTTACATTATTTATGTCATTTAGCCGAGTCAAACGATGGAGTTGTTGATAGGGGGTTACTTTAAATAGCCAGGGCGCTGTATAGAAGATTTTTTGTCATTATGTTTTCATGTTCATTGTTGTCACCCTGGTCTATTCCCACCAGGCACGTGAAGATCTGGAACAGCAGTCGCTTGAAGTTGCATCAACAGCAGAAGCAGTTAGTTTTATCACAGACGTACAAGCATTGAAAAGGAAAATTAAGAACTGGGAAAGGCAAGTCGAGGTAGGTTGTCTGTGTCAGGTGAATTAATACTGCCGAAGACTGACCGAGCCTCGACGCTACATTTATATTTATCTGAACTTTCTCTGGACTAGCTTTAATCCTTAGGATCTGCTTCCTTTTTAAAACAATTCCAATTCAGGAACCCTTCACAGAAAGGATAATATTCTGAATCTTCTAAATTTTCACTAAAATGATGAAATATTCAGCAAATGATATAATTAGTTTTTTGCTTTTCCGTTTATAATTTTTTCGCTCTAACTATATATTGTTCGAATGCATTTTTAAAAAGTAGTTGAACGTTTTTAAAACACGATTTAATCTGGGCAGTCTTTGAAGCGACTTAACATTTTTGCAGACGTACAGAGATGGGCAAAAGATATTGGAGAGACAGAGATTCCAATTTCCATCCAACTGGCTGTACGCTGACAATGTTGATGGTGAATGGGGTGCCTTCAACGAGATTCTCAAAAGGAAGGATGCATCGATCCAGACGCAGGTTATTCGACTTTGCCTTTTTAATATCTTAAATTTCAGTTTATAGTTTGAAATTCTGCCATTATGATATTCAAGGAATAAAACTTACGAAGGTATTTGTATACAGAAGGCAAAGACAGCATAGTTCTTTGGTGGGCTCAGTCTTTTTTACATCAAATCTTGGTCAGCAAAGATGTGATCTAAGTTTTAAACATGTATTTATATATAAACTATAACCAGTTGTTTTGCGGACTGCGTTAATGTTCACTTCAAATTTAAACACTGAAAGATGTATATATGTTTAGTTGTGTCGATTTGGTGTTTTATCACGGAGCAGCTCAGATCGCTAAATATTGCAATGCATTTGTTGCTGCAGGTTGCATCTCTACAGATGAAAATAGTTTCAGAAGATCAGATTGTCGAGACCCGAACATCAGATTTGCTGTCAGAGTGGGAAAAAGGCAAACCTATTGCTGGGACTACAAAGCCAGATTCAGCATTGAGTTCTCTCGCAATTTACGAGGGAAAATTTTCAAGATTGAAAGAAGACAGGGACAACGTTGCAAAGGCGAAAGAAGCCCTTGAGCTTGTTGATCCTGGTTGGTTGGCTTTATTTCGTTTGCATTTGATGTTTAGAAGATCCATGTATTTTTGTTACAGTGGCTGTCTTTTGCAGTAGATGGACAATGAAAAGACAATATGTTTTAATCAATATCTTTGATTCTCGAATGTATTTCTTCAAGTTGCTTCTTTGACCTATTTAGACATTTATTTCTGCAAAACACGAAGGGTATTTTTGAATTATTGTTTATAAAAGTTATGGAAGTACGAAACACGTAAATTAGTGTAAAGATTTGGTAAATGTCTGTAACGGTAGCTGTGAATATGTTTGGTGTAATTCTTTTCTAAATGTCCAATAAGCTATGAAGAGCTGTCTAAGGACCTACGTGCTTCTCTTGAAGGAACCGTTGCACCTAGTGATGAAAGGGTAGTCGTCGCTTTGGAGGAGCTCCAAGACCTGAAAAGTGTGTGGGTTGAGTTATCAAAGATCTGGGAACAATTGGATAGCCAAAAGGATCAGCCATGGCTGTCTATCCAGCCGAGAAAGGTAGGTTACCGATGGCCTTTTGTATTAGGTTTTCTATTCCTTGGGATTCTTGTTCTGGGGACCGAAGAATTGGGTCGTGGAGTTGTTTATGTTATTATGAATGTAGAGCAGGTTAAGTTTATTATCACCGCAAATCGAAGAAGTTACCGGTTTCCAGCTCCAAAGACCGGTTGCTTATATTGTGTCCAAATACAATATTCTTGTCTTTCGCATCCGTCCAGAATGTATCTTAGCAGTGTTATCCTCCAGTCCCTTGCTCCGCTGATTGGCGGTAAAACCACCAAATGTAAGCCACCTCAGTTTTCTGCGGGCTAACAAAAATTTGTTCATTCCCCTGAATTTATTTTGTATTGTTTTGATATCTTTTTCTCCATAGCTAAGACAGTTCCTTGATGGTATTGCCACACAAATGAAGAACCTCCCCAGCCGTATGCGCCAGTACGCTGCCTATGAGCATCTGCAGAAGACAATCAAAAGCCACCAAAAGGTAGTGTTCCCATTAGTTTGTTCGCGTTGCTTCGTCTGCGTATTTTCTCAGTGGGCAGTCTGCGTTTTTATCATTTCAACACATTTTGGACGATTGAATGATGAAGCCTTGGGAAGCATCTTGAATGCTTTTTGTTGCCTCTTTGTTTTGGATTTTTGTCTGATCAAGAATCTATCCAAACATGCCTCCTTGCTTACTAAAAAATTGCTTGCTCAAAACGTGCCATTTTGTTTAGATTTTATCTTCCCCAGTGTGGTAGCAAAGATAGTGTCAATTTAGAAAAAAAATTCAGATCTAATTGACTGCTAGTTTTTATTAAATTCAACAATGCTATTAATTTTTTCACTCCATTTAAATTGCTCATTGCACATCTCAGTTGGTGACGTCATCCATTTGGACCGACCCTGCCTTTATTTGCCTCATCAATTTTCATCATCAATTCTTTATTTGCCGTCTTTTACAATTTTAAAGCAAGTTTAAATATGTCACTATTTTAATTCGTCAGGTGAATATGTTGATTGTTGAATTGAAATCGGAAGCGTTGAAAGAGAGGCACTGGAAACAGCTGATGAGGAGATTGAGAGTCAACTGGGTCATTTCTGACTTGTCATTGGGTCAGATCTGGGACGCTGACCTGCAGAAGAACGAAGCGATTGTGAGAGACATCATCAATGTAGCACAAGGGGAAATGGCTTTGGAGGAGTTTCTCAAGCAGGTGACGTCATATGTTTTCTTTTCTAATGCTCTGGATGTACTGCTCTAGATGTTACTTACAATTTCTTTTCTTCTTAGGAAGTTGCTACCCTTCTGTTTGTTCTAGTGCTTTTTCACTTGCCTCACCAGTAAGAGGGTTTCCTGCCACAAAACTTTTGTTCTTTGTTTCATTGTACACCTCACTAGACTGGTATTGTCTTTAGACTTAAATTTTAAAAACTCTAAGAGACCACTCATTGCTTTCTAGACTGTAGTTAGAGACATGCCCCTCAGCTTTCGGTGCTTTTTCTTTACCTCAACAGAGAAATTCTTGATGGCTAGAAAATTTGAAAATAATAATGATGATAACAAGCTAATGGTTTTTTGTCATTTGTAAACAATCTAGCAACGTCATATTTTTTAGGTCCGAGAAGCATGGCAGAGCTATGAGCTTGAGCTCACAAACTACCAGAACAAGTGCAAACTGATCAAGGGTTGGGACGATCTCTTTGAAAAAGTTAGAGAGCATATCAACAGTGTATCGGCTATGAAGCTCTCCCCATACTACAAGGTGAACACTCTACAGATCTACGTTGCTATTATACGGTCAGCTATCGAAGTTGATAGGTAAATACCCCAAATTGAGCAAGGGAGATGCGTTCTGGCGGGACTGGAAGATGAGAGAAAGCGTATCTTTTTTACATCTACCCTATCGTTTAATGATATGTCTAACATCAAATTGTGCTGCTTCAGACTAAGATTAGCAACATTAGATGAGGACATATGTTTCCTTATTACAATGCTTTATTTTCAAATGCAATCAGTCGACATGTAGAGCCAGATTGATTGAAAAATTTGCCTGACTTTCTGTGTTAAGTCTCCCCTCGCTTCTTTCCTAAGTTTATACCTGTGTTGGCTGAGATAATATCACCTTAGTTTTGATATATTGATCAACTGCACAATCTGCAACACTTCTTACTTAGCATAGGTTATGTCCAGTCTGCTGGTGAATGATGTAATTTAAAGCTCTGAGACACGTCAGTGAGTTTGTAGCACTAGATAGTATCTGACACCGGCCTGTTCTAAGGATGACATGTAATTAGCCTTTGATAGTCAGGCAACTTTATTCACCTTTCAAACTTTTCCAAACAGGTTTTTGAAGAGGATGCAGTCCAATGGGAGGACAAGTTAAATCGCATCCTCACTTTGTTTGATGTTTGGATTGATGTGCAGAGGCGATGGGTGTATCTTGATGGAATATTCTCAGGAAGTGGTGACATCCAGCATTTGCTTCCAATTGAAACTCAAAGATTTCAAAGGTAATGGACACACCCCTTGGTAATAAAGTCTGGTAATAATGGCTTGATTTTGCTAGATGGAGTGTTTTCCTGTATACTGTAGTATCTTTCTAAGTGGCTGCTGGCAACGTTTGCCATACCTTGGCCATTTTCCATTACTGTGGTCGCGATGAAAATATCTCTTAAATGAAGTGGAATTTTTTCAAAGGTCAGTGACAAAAATTGCAGTTAAAATGTTGCAAAACAGGATTAAATAACACGAGTCAATGTAGGGGAAATGAGAAATTGCAAAGAAAAAATAGTTAAAAATGTGTATTAGAGTGATTCAGAAAGAATTCTTCATTTCTTTGTTCTTCTTTAATGGTAGTTTAAGTATTATGCTATATAAATAGTAAGACGTGTTTTTTAGATATAAAATGCAAAAGTGTTTCAACACCATTTGATTTGATTTTAGCATTAGCACTGAATTCCTCGCACTTATGAAGAAAGTCGCCAAATCTCCTTTGGTGATGGATGTATTGAACATTCCTGCCGTCCAGAGATCATTGGAAAGACTTGCCGATTTGTTAGGGAAAATTCAGAAGGCACTGGGCGAATACCTTGAGAGAGAAAGAGCGTCTTTCCCCAGGTTTGTATTTGCGGCGTAAAAAATACACGTATAGATATCAGATAGATTCAAATATTGTCCAAAAAGACATGTAGTAAATGCGTAATCAAATAAGGGCCTGGCCCTCCTACTAGCCAATTGATTGTGCATGAATAACTGCTCTTTTCAAACTCCTTTGCTGAAGTCCGCAAAGGCTTTTGTTTTACCGAATCATACAGTTCTATTTAGAGAACTCTGTAATTTTGTCCCATGGTAAGCTTTGCTGTTAAGCGGCCCATTACCCCCCCCCCCCGCTGTCACCTCTAACGCAATCTCTTTCAACCAATTTTAGATTCTACTTTGTGGGCGATGAAGATCTTTTGGAGATCATTGGGAACAGCAAAAACGTTGGTAGACTGCAAAAGCATTTCAAAAAGATGTTTGCTGGGATCACGTCAATTATTCTTGAGGAGGAGAAATCATTGATAACCGGAATTTGCAGTAAGGAAGGAGAAGAGGTAAATGGTGTTTTTGTAGTGTCGTATGTTCTGATCTAATGGAAATCGAAGGTTCCTAAAGCAGCTAGCTCTCTCGTATGTATCATAAACGCTTATTAAGATAATTTCTATTGGTATCCAAAAGCTCTTTCTTGAGTGTCGCGCTTAACGGATTTTATCACGAGTCTTAATGGAAAACCTTCACACTCTAATCGATGTTTCACACCCAAATCGCGAGAGACTAAGTGCATGGTTGATTGTCCAAAAAGTGGGTCATCGTTTTCGTCATTCATTATGTGAAAACTTTGAACATCGTTATTAAGCATCAAATACAAAAGGCGTCGTTTTACCTAAAACGCTTGAGTTTCATCTTTGACGACCCTTTTCAAAACATTCAGTAATACAACGGCCACAATTTTGGAGTAATTGTCAACGTTGATTGCAATTGGATACGATTTCCGTTCACTGCTTTCCTTTTTTGTTGTAAATGAAGTTGGAAAACACCATTGTGTATAGACTTGTTCGGAAGGGATTTCAAACCGTAAAGCATAATGTATACTAGCCTATGCTTTTCCGCCCTAGATCCTAAAACCCAGATCCCTAAAACATCTGTAACACCTCTGCGATTAATACTTGGGTACCTCCACTCAACCTTGCTCGATTTCAAAGGCATAATTATGTTAGACGTGTTTGCTAGCATTGGGTTCCTTACATGCTGTATCATTTTTAGGTTATGTTCATGAAACCTGTGAACTTGATTGAGAACCCGAAGATAAACGAGTGGCTCACCATGGTGGAGGAGCAAATGCGACTCACGCTGGCTTGCCTTTTGGCAAAATCCGTCAAAGACATTCAAGAATTCAATTCAACAAACATAGATCCGAAAGCCTATTTGCAATGGGTCGACTCGTACCAGGTGGGTGGATGTACGGCACTTCAGAATAACCAGAGTGCTAAACGCTTTGTATTTATCAAACATTATTGTTATTAGAAATCAATTTAAGAAAGATATAAATGAACGCATGTCAAACCTATGAATCATACAAGTAATGCAAACTCGAGCCACGTTCAAAGACTAGCAATAGAAAAATGGGCTTAAAAAGGCAAACTGAGGCGACTGCACTTGCCATTGTTAGTGAAATAGATCATTCAATCTGTGAATGCAAGTTTGTTTATTTTATTTTAGAAGAGCTTATCTTGTTTTTAACATTTTCTGTGCTCTTCTTAATTGTTTTGATGCTTTGATTTCTTGTGCTAATCTTCTTGTATTTTCCCTAGGCCCAGCTCGTCGTTCTGTCTGCACAAGTGGTCTGGTCTGAGAGCTGCGATAATGCCTTGCAACAGATCGAGAAGACTGAGTCGGCTGATATGGCACCGCTTGAGAATGTGCTAAAGATCGTTGAAGCCACTTTGAATGTTCTTGCTGACTCAGTTTTGCAAGAGCAACCGCCAGTGAGGAGGAGGAAGTTGGAACACCTCGTAAGTTTCGCCAGATAATCCAGTCATTGTGAATTTTTCAATGCTGTTAACTGTTAACTGTTAAACTATTTGCTGGTGAATGATGGAAAATTTGCTTCTGAGATTTGTCCATGAATTTTGCTATGCACTAGATAGTATCTGACACCAGCATTTACGAACACATTGGTTTAAACAATGATCTATAACCTTGTTAAAGAGCTGTTTGGCATTAAGGAACCCGTATTGGCTCCAATGCAGCTGAGCCATTGCAGAAATGGAGTTGTAAAATATTTCATGCAGGCAATTTTTTAAAGAGGATCTCTTTAATGAGTTAAACGTATCCAGGAGAGGAGAAGTGCAAAGGACTAGGGTAACATTCAATACTTGAGGTTGAATGACAGCATTTCTACGACTGGTAATTATTTTTAAAGAAGAAAAATCAGCCACACGTGTTTACATATATACTTGTTATTCATACAAGGAATGAACTTGTTCTGTTTTTACGTATTGTTTATTTTAGATAACAGAGCTTGTACATCAGCGAGATGTGTCCCGTTTGTTGATCAGCTGCAAAGTGTCAAACCCACGGGCATTTGATTGGCTTTGCCAGATGCGTTTCTACTACGACCCGAAACAGAAGGACGTGCTCCAGCAACTGTCTATCAAAATGGCGGACGCTTGCTTCAATTACGGGTTCGAATATCTGGGTGTTCAGGACAAACTTGTCCAAACACCTCTTACAGATCGGTGCTACTTGACCATGACGCAGGCTTTGGAAGCAAGACTCGGAGGCTCTCCTTTTGGTAAGTTAAAGAGAAGAATACTCCATGATAGAATTTAGTAATGCCTAAAATTGCAAGACAGTAAGGGGTCATTTCCCACTGCAAATGGCAAGCGATTTATTTACAATAAGACAGTGCTTATTCTTGTTTTTGTTTTTTGCTGTTAATGGGTTCTGTTTTGAATATGTTAATTGGTTGGCGAATAATCAGGTACTTATATTTTATGTACAGTTCTTAGTTTTTCCCTCACCTTTTGTATCTCTCTCTCTACCAGGTCCTGCGGGAACAGGAAAGACAGAATCAGTCAAAGCCTTGGGTAACCAGCTTGGCAGATTCGTGCTTGTCTTCAACTGTGACGAAACTTTTGATTTTCAGGTATGAAGGGTTTGGATAGCTAATTCACTGAGATTTTTGAATATTTTTCAGTTCTATTGATTTCAGCTGTAGAATATAATTAGTCCATAGAAATATTCACATTTAATCAGTAATATGTATATATATTTATTTATTAGATATGTATTAATCTCTACAGGCAATGGGACGAATCTTTGTTGGTTTGTGCCAAGTTGGAGCCTGGGGCTGTTTCGACGAGTTTAACCGCCTTGAAGAAAGAATTCTATCCGCTGTGTCACAACAGGTTCAAACCATCCAGCAGGCTTTGAAGGAGTTCAGTGCAGAGGAAGGTCAGTCAAACAGACTCTGATTTCGTTTGAACTGCTTTTTTGCAAATAATTAAGTGACAGAAATGTTCAGCCGGTTTTCTATTGAAATGGAGATTGTTCGTGATAAGGCAGTCTTAAAGGAAGATACGGGCCTACAAGTAAGGTAGACATTGATATAAAAGAAGGCGATTCCGAATGCTCATAATTGCAAAATATCAAAAACATAATTCTAAGCAACTGAACGGGAAAGCTGATTTTAAATGATGATGTGAAAGGTATTAAAATGGTAATTTTGTTTTTTCTCTAGGCCCAATCCAAATCGAGCTGATCGGAAAAGACGTGAAAGTTAACAGGGACATGGCAATCTTCATAACAATGAACCCTGGGTACGCTGGAAGGTCAAACCTGCCAGACAACCTGAAGAAGCTGTTCCGTAGTTTAGCAATGACCAAGCCTGACCGCCAGCTTATTGCCCAAGTTATGCTGTATTCTCAAGGTTTCAGGACAGCTGAAAAGCTTGCCAACAAAATCGTCCCGTTCTTCAGGTAGATAATTTTCGTTAGTTTATCACAAACTTGTTCGTTCAGTAGAAAGTGTTGTCATAATTTGAAAATCTTCTTGTCCTGTTTGCCCTTATGCTTTAGAATTTCCCCACGTACTAAAATACCTTAGCACAAGACAGAAGAACCTTTCCAAAAGGGAGACTTAGATTATTTGAAAGTATTTAATGCTCAGCTGTTCGTGGACGATTTTTCCTTATTTCTTTTGTTTTTCTATTTAGGCTTTGCGATGAGCAGTTATCGTCTCAGTCGCATTATGACTTTGGCCTGCGTGCGCTGAAGAGTGTGTTGATCAGCGCTGGCAATGTGAAAAGAGATCGAATCGCATCCATCAAGGAGGCCTTGACAAGCAAAGGAGAAACAGCAGACGAAAGTGCGATTTCGGAGCAGCTCAATGAACAAGAGGTAGGTGGATATCTCCCAAGCTTCTATTCAGGGCAATTTTGGCCATGTCTCGTTTTCTAATTCCATCATCTGTTGTTTTTTCATTGGTTATGTCCGTACACTGACAAAAATGCATCTAATACAAGGGACATAAAGAAGACATCTGTCGGAGTTATCGGAAAGAATTGTTAACCCTGCTTGCAGACGAACGTAGACAAACCTTCATAAAATTTGTTAACAAATCTGTTATAACATTTCTCTACATTCAAATCCGACTAAGCTAATCTCTTCATTTATTTGATTTTTTTAACTTTCTTCTCTTATCTTCAATGTTCAAAGATTCTAACTTGCATTATTTTATCATTTAGCTTTGAGTTCAATTGTTCGTTAGAAAAAATTACAATATTTTAGCTTTAAACTTCAAGCTAAAGAAGGAAATATTTGATCTTTGTGATTACAGATTCTGATCCAGAGTGTGTGTGAGACAATGGTTCCAAAGCTCGTTGCGGAGGACATCCCGTTGCTTCACAGCCTTTTGACAGACGTCTTCCCAGGTGTAGAATACACGAGTGCTGAGATGCGTGCCTTGAAATCCGAATTAAGAAAGGTCTGTGCTGAACACCATTACGTGTTTGGTGAAGGCGAGGAGCTCGGAGCACAGTGGGTAGAAAAAGTATGTAGTAGTTTTTCGATATCATTGTCTTTGTCTGTGTTTGTAATCATTGTAAATGGACAACCTTTGTATACAGCATTTGTAATAGGATTTCAGGCGCAAATAGCCTTGATGGTTGACATTTTTTAATTGCAATCGCTTCTTTATTAAGAATGCCCCGTGCTCTCTCCAACAATTAGATGTGTACGTCAGTTTTGTAGGCGGATTTGATGATAAATGCTCAAGTTTATAAAGTAAGCGGTCGCAGATTGGTAAGAAGAAGGGACCAATCAAGTACGCCATTCTTCCTCTCCCGTTACTTTCGGTTCGCAGCCATATCGATTCCGGCTTTCCTTTTCGTCATTACCTGATGCTCTAAACTTTGAAGACTGCCGGGCGAAAAGCGCTTTCTTTTACTATGTTTCCATTTCCCCTGGCTATTTTCAAAGATTTGTTTATATAAAGGGAAATTCACAAAAAATAACTTTTTCCGAACAATTGTTTCATTCTCTTTTTTACTTAGCATTCAATAATTAACACACTTTATTTTAGATCATTGTATTTTGTTTTTCAACGCAGATACTCCAACTGTATCAAATATCATGTATTCACCATGGTTTAATGATGGTCGGTCCCAGTGGAAGTGGAAAATCGTCAGCATGGAGAGTTCTCTTGAAAGCACTTGAAAGGTTGGAAGGAGGCGAGGGCGTCTGTCACGTGATAAATCCAAAGGTATTGGTTGTTGTGATTGTTTTTCTTTAGTTTTTACTGTCTGACACTTTGATTGAATTTTCCTGGTAACTAGTATTAATTTAGATGACTGGAAGTTTTAGAAATACTTTTGACAAGGAAAGAAACTTTTGTCCAATACAAAGTTTATTTGGATGAGATTTTGTTCAGGGTTCTGCTGTATTTGGAATTTAGAAAACAGTATAGAAGTATCCAGAGAGCAAATATATTGATACTGAAATATCATGTTGTTTTCTAGGCCATCTCAAAAGAAGCATTGTACGGTGTGTTGGATCCAAATACAAGAGAATGGAGTGATGGGCTGTTCACACACGTGCTCAGGAAGTACGCACTTTCTGTTTGCTTATTAAAACATTATCAGAGAAAAAATATTTAATACAGAAACTGAATACTCTATGCGAAAAGATATTATTTTTTCGGACAACGAATGTATCTTGGTTTGAGAATAAGAATATTACCTGAAAAGTTAAACCCCAATTTGGTAAAAGTTTGTCTCCTTTAGTTACACCCAATGTTCCATAATTTTGATGTATTTTATGATGTATTTGTAACTTTATACAGCTTTAAATGTTCCGCAAGGTGCATAAGCTTTCTTACCATCGTGAGATGTCAGGCTTAGCTTTGTCGCTTGAAACGTCTTTGTCTCTTGTTGTTTTTAATCAGGTCTCGTTGAATAGTTGTCTAGACTTTGCTTATCTTGGACCTTACAAAAGCAGCCAAGAGAAGCAAGTACTTATTATGGAAGTTTATTTACTCCGTTGCTGGTTTGTACAATTAGGTCTCGATCAACGGACACCCTCCACTAATGGGCACCTCAAAACAGGGGACCAATACTTATGTCCTAAGGTGCTCTCTTGCTGTCAAAGTCTTCAACAGCCTTCAGCAAACTAGATCCATATAAGGGACACCTGTACAGAAGACGATATTTCTAATACCTCGAGCGTCCACTAAATTCAGTTTTCACTGTGTTACACTGGTGAATGTCGCCATGCGAAAGATTAACGCTGTTTTATTTTTCTCTGCCCCTATCAAAAGATTGTTCAAGTAGATGTTGCAGCTTCAGCGAAATAAGCAAAGTGTTTCTTCCTCACAGGATTATCGACAATGTGCGAGGAGAGCTGGGGAAGAGACAGTGGATCATATTTGACGGTGATGTCGATCCAGAATGGGTTGAAAATCTAAACAGTGTCCTTGATGACAACAAACTATTGACGTTACCAAATGGAGAGCGTTTGAGCATCCCACCCAATGTATGTATTGAACGGGAAAATAAAATGTTTGTTAGATGTCAGAATGTTAACTCGTTGTCTGCTAATTTTGTGACGATGAAAATCTATTTCACAGACAATCTTTGATTGATATGTTTTTGTCTCTTTAGAGAAGTGGGAGAATTTTTACCCTTGAATGTCAAAATATGTACAAGGCATAAGTTAACAAGATAATCAGTTGAGAAGGTAACCTGTTCTAAGTGGCACCCATCTTTCACATGATGTATTTCATCATAGTTGTTAGCTGTGTTCAAGGATATGAAGTTTGTTCTTTTATCTCAAGGTGCGTATCATGTTTGAAGTCCAAGATCTGAAATACGCTACCCTTGCAACAGTCAGTCGCTGCGGAATGGTTTGGTTTAGCGAAGACGTCGTCACACCAGAGATGAACATCGAGCAATACTTGAGCACGCTGAGGTCTATTCCATTAGAAGAATCTGAAGAAGACGTCAGGTCTCGTTTCTCAAAAGCACAGGTTGGAGGTGGTGATTCAGAAGAGAAAGCTTTGTCACCAGTGATGCAGGTAGGTATTCATTTGTAATGCTTAAGCAGTTTGTGTTTTGTTTTTAACTATGATTCCGTTAAACGAACTTCTTTAAAAACAACCTCTTTGTCCAAACATAATCAAACGCAAACCCCACTGTCCAGGATTTGCTTTTCTTGTTCTATGATCATACTGTAAAACGCCTTGTTAGTTGTCTTTGTTTATGTATATTTCCTTAAAAGGACAATGGTTTCATCTAAACGCAATTTGTCTGTCATCGACCTAACGCAGTGAGTTTGTTTGTAATGGAGCCAAATTCCAGGTGCTCGTATAATCGGAGAAATATGTCGGTTGAAAAACTGCAAAAGTTGGGCGAAAGTGAGGTTAATTTGGTCAGCCTTCCTGCCCTTCCGTATGTGAAATGCTACTACGTCACTGCTGAAATTGGAGTTGAAGAATAGAACATTACAATGTCCAATCGCTATTCGTTTGATGTTTGGTTAGGAGCTATGAAGAATGATGATTTGAGACGGGCGGTTTGAGATCGTTCAATGAAACATGTCTCTTGTCTGACTGTCATAAAACCGGATAAGGCTGTTTTCATAGGTTTTTATATTCTATTTGCGATGAATGAATGCAAGGAACTCGCCTTTTGCAGGTTCAGCGTGACTTTGCCGATATTTTGGCTCCATATCTGACATCAGATGGACTTGTCTTGAAGTGTCTGCAACATGCTGCTAAACTAGACCACGTGATGGACTTCACCAAAATGCGGGCTCTCAACTCGTTGTTCTCCATGTTGAACCAAGGAGCAAGAAACGTACTGACATACAATCAGCAGCATCCTGACTTTCCCATGACGGTATACAGCAGTGGCTACTAGTTTTTGACTATATATTAATAGATGATGTTATCTTGTTTCTTGAAAGAAGCGTTTTTTCACTATCCCGTTTTTCTTTATTTGCAACCACTCAAGAATAAAACAGAATTTGCTATAGTGTTTGCTCCTTATTTCAGATGTAGAACTTATCTCAATCAACAGATATGTATGTCTAATTATGCACATTTCTTTATCCTATTTTATGATTAATGTAGAGATTACCTACTTTGATCGAAATGCACGTGCCCTATATAGCGACTGCATTTTCGTACGTCAATACTGATGTGAAAACATTTCCTTTTATATGGTTGTAATGACATCGAATAATTTATTTCTGATTTCAGAGAGACCAAATAGAATCATATGTGCCAAAATATCTGGTTTACAGTTTGCTGTGGTGCATGACTGGCGACGGCAAATTGAAAGACAGAGAAGATATGGGCACATACATCCAGAAGATAACCACTATTCCATTGCCACCATTGTCGTCAATGCCAATCATTGATTTCGAAGTTAGTATCGCAATTGCTTTTGCCAGTTACGTCATTAGTCTGCACCTGTTAATACTATGCCAGTACGGATACCTCTTGAGGAGGTCCATCTGTATCTAGTTCTCCCGAGGCAACGCCCATTAACATTGTATTTGGATTTAGCTGTCTGTATAATATTTTGAATGGTTAGGATGATCACTGAAGTATGAAACTCATTTTTTCATTTCTTCTCTATTGAAATTGTCATTTTAAAATTCTCGCACTATTGAAAAAGATTCGAGGAACGACTATTTCCATCAAAATATATTGGCTCTTTTTCATCAACTCTTCCTTCAATATTAACGTGACATCGCAAATTCACTGTACCTGCCGTATTAGCATTGTTTTAAGTCAGGGCTTGACTAAATGTTTAGTGACTTGTACTGTGTAGTTTCCTTCCGTCTTTTCATTTAGATTCTTTGTATTCAAACTATTAATCTTTTGAATACAGGTTACAACTCAAGGTGAATGGGTGCCGTGGCAGAACAAAGTGCCACAAATTGAAGTCGAGACGCACAGAGTTGCATCGCCAGATGTTGTTGTTCCTACACTTGATACAGTAAGGCACGAGTCGCTTTTGTACACCTGGTTAGCCGAGCACAAACCTCTTGTCCTCTGTGGACCACCTGGTAGTGGAAAAACCATGACGCTCTTTTCAGCTCTTCGTGCCCTGCCTGATATGGAAGTACGTACGATGCTGCCGCTTTTGTATTTCGACTTTCAATTTTGTATTCAGCTTATACGAATTCTTAAAGATTCTTAGTTGAAAGGCTGAAAATCATAGTTGTTGACATGTCATTTATATACTTTATTTGAATTTATATGCAACTGGTCTTTCACACACACTAATGCCATTTTGATTGTCAACCCCTCTTTGCCATCGTGCTTTCATGTTACCCCATTTTTCGCATTTGAACATTCCAACAATCGTCTTTCCTTTTTGTAGGTTGTTGGTTTGAACTTCTCAAGTGCAACAACGCCAGAACTGATATTAAAAACATTTGATCATTACTGCGAATACAGACGAACGCCAAATGGAATTGTGCTAGCACCCATCCAGCTTGGGAAATGGCTAGTCTTGTTCTGTGACGAAATCAACTTGCCAGACATGGACAAATACGGTTAGTTTTCATTAAACATTCACTTTAACGTCACATAAAACCGTGACACAGAAGACTTTGAGATGCATGTCAATTTTTTGCTTTTTGGTTCGAACGTAGTCATGCACTAAATATGAATGATTGAAAGTGGTAAAGAACCGTTGGTAAGTCATCCCCCGTATTCTTAAAAATTCTAGTCATTATTTAGACATGTATTAGTTGGACCAGTGGTGGACACCTAGGGGGGCGACGGGGGTAGTCTTTTGTTCTAAAACAATGCGACGTCATCTTATTAAAACAATAGGCTTGCCCCTTGTTATTTGACCAAGTGTCTGCCCCTGAGTTGGACATGTTCAGACAAAAAAGTTTTTCATTGCTTTGGTTTGGAAGCTATTAAGAATGATGATTTGAGACGGGCGGATTGAGATTATTCCATGAAACATGTCTCCTATCTGACTGATATAGCAGAGGCTTTTTAATTTGTATGCTCATCTGTTACTATAAATATAATATTTGTGGTGAATAAGTACAAGGAAAGTATTTTTTGATTGATACCAAAGTTTAATGGAATGTTCTGATATGTGTAACTGGGCGCAAGGGAAGAAAAATTCGAGAACAACTGTCTAAACCCGACCAGACAGAACCGGACAAAGAAATCTGGACACGCGCTTTTACAGTAATTTTAAGTATTTCATGTTGTCAATTAAGGCTCGATGGATCCTTGCAGAACTCACAGTATCAAGATAACGTGATTTATTCCGATTCATATCATACAACATTGCTATAATTAATGCAGGAACCCAGCGTGTCATCTCATTCATCCGCCAACTCGTTCAGCACAATGGCTTCCATCGCACAAGTGACCAGCAATGGGTTTCACTGGAGAGAATCCAATTCGTAGGAGCTTGCAATCCGCCTACCGATCCGGGAAGAAAGCCACTTACCCACAGGTGATTATCTCCGATTCCTTACTCTTTATAGCAACAGGATAGGACATTCTCCTTGCTATTTCGAACATGATTGACCAAAAAGTTGGTTGGCACGAACATAACCAGTTAGACAGTTGCAAGTGATATACCCTCCATTTCAGCATACTAGAATAAAAAAATCTTGTGAAAGTTCGAAGCTTTACTATTTTTAGCTGCTTTGGGATTCGTTGGGGTCGTAACTACAGTGGACGTATTGGGGAGTTACATGCCTCCTTTTAGCACCTTTTTTGGCAAACCTAGGATCAATTTAGATCTCCTGTGTTCCAAGTTTTGCTACGGCCCGCTGGCCTGGCCAATTTGATATCTGTCCAGTTTAGAATCTTTGCGACTTGTATGAAATAGAAATGACTTCTTGTTCTCAGGTTTTTGCGCCACGTTCCAGTCATTTATGTAGACTACCCTGGCCCAACTTCACTGACACAGATTTATGGGACATTCAACAGAGCCATGCTTAGGGTTGTACCAACACTCAGAGCCTTTGCCCAACCTTTGACAGATGCCATGGTTGAGTTCTATACGATGTCCCAGGTAAGCCGTAACTACTTCCAAAGCATTGCTGTTAGTTGCGGATTTATACAATATATTTTGCCTTGTTGCAAACCATAACAATCCAGACAAAAACTTGGTTTTGAATAGCAGAAAGGTAAAAGTTTCATCTGATTAATCCCTTTAATGTTATAAAAGGGTAAGTGCAAATGTTATAAAAATTATATTTTTGCAAGCCAGCAAAATAAATCTTTTACCAAATAAGAAAATACGAACAAAATGCATTTTCCTGCGATTCAAATTATCAAAATTCTTGCTCGTGCTCTCTTTTGTGTTTTTTCGAAAAATTTTCGAAATATTGACGAAAATTTGTCGTTTTAATGGCATAAACATATTGTATATGTGATATTGATTTCCAGGGAAGATTCACCCAAGACATGCAGCCCCATTACATCTACAGCCCTCGAGAAATGACTCGATGGGTCCGTGGAATATTTGAAGCACTGAAGCCGCTAGAGACTTTAGCAACGGAAGGGCTCGTTAGAATTTGGGCGCACGAAGGGCTGCGACTGTTCCAAGACAGGTAAAGACTGTTGTTGATATGTAGAATGGTAATTGATCATCGTTGTCAATCACTATCATTGAAGATCATAATCGATCACTAATCATCAATCACAAATCATCATCGTGACAAGCCCATCTTCTTTTTGATTGTCATCTTGCTCTGACATCCGACAATATTAGGTAGCACTTATTATTTTCAATGGAGTATTCAAGAAACCATAACGAAATAGCAATCAACAATCCCCTTTGAATATTTGATCTTCTCTGATTTTCTTGAATTATTTCCAGATTGGTGTATGACGAGGAAAGAAAGTGGACTGATTCAAACATCGACATGGTTGCTTTGAAGCATTTCCCTAACATTGATCGCCAAACTGCACTTGGTCGTCCAATCCTTTACAGTAACTGGCTTTCAAAAGATTATATTCCTGTCGATCGAGAGGAACTGAGAGAATTCACAAGAGCAAGACTCAAGGTATTTTGTCACTCACAAGTGAATTGTAAAGCTTTCATTCAAATCTCAACGGAGATTCTATTTAATGTAGCCAAGATTTTGTGATATCCTGGAGTCAGTGTACCATTTACAGTATCTGTGTTTAAAGCTTTTATAATAGTTTGGGAACCATTAAAACCTTTCTATGGCGGTAGATATGTAAGGATTTAGCAAGTAAAATGATAGATGTATGCTTTCATCAATAGGCTGTCTTCTCTAACTTCTCTCGCAAATCTTTTTTCCCCAAAGGTTTTTTACGAAGAAGAGCTCGATGTTCCGTTGGTTCTATTTGACGAAGTTCTTGACCACGTGCTTCGAATTGACAGAATCTTCCGACAGCCACAGGGCCATTTGCTTTTGATTGGAGTGAGCGGGGCTGGCAAGACAACGTTGTCTCGTTTTGTGGCGTGGATGAATGGGTTATCCGTGGTACAGGTCAAGGTAAGCAAGCAATTTTGATGCCTGAACTGTTCTATTGTTTCACTATCAAATAATTTTCCATGACATATTGCAACATGCAATAGGCCAGTTACAAGTGATATTGAAAGAAGTTTTAATGACATGAAATAAACATGCTAGTAACATTTCCCGAGTATGGAGTTTCCAGCAATAGGTTTGCATGGTGGTAAGTCACTTGTGTACTGTGCCTATGTTTTACCACAAGAGCAAGTAAATTTTCTATCTGTAGCCTTCGTTCTCTCTCTCTCTCTCTCTCTCTCTCTCTCTCTCTCTCTCTCTCTCTCTCTCTCTCTCTCTCTCTCTCTCTCTCTCTCTCTCTCTGTGCTCCCATTTAAACGTTCATATGCCTTTGGTGTCCTTATCGAAGCCCGCCAAACAAAGAAACCTTATCAAGTGATGAGAAAAGAGACGGGCGGATTGAGTTTTTCTATGAGAAGTGTCTCTCTCTGATTGGTATGGTCCTTGAAATTCCTATTGCAAGTAAATGCGTTTGATATTTTGTAATGTTGTTTCTCAGTACTGAATTTTGCATCTATATTGCCTAAAATCAACGTGCCCCTGGAAACGTAACATGAACACAAATTTGTTTGATTCAAAGGTCCACAGGAAGTACACTGGTGCCGACTTTGACGAAGATTTGAGAACAGTGCTTCGCCGATCTGGTTGTAGAAATGAGAAGATAGCCTTTATTCTGGACGAAGGTAACATCCTAGAGTCTTCTTTCCTTGAAAGAATGAATACGCTATTAGCAAACGGGGAGGTACCTGGCTTGTTCGAAGGTGACGAATTCACGACACTGATGACCCAATGCAAAGAAGGAGCTCAGAAGGAAGGGCTTATGCTTGATTCTGGAGAAGAGCTTTACAAATGGTTTACTGTTCAGGTAAAATTTGATTATTTTCTTAGCAGCTCCTTCGCGATTGATAGTTATACGTGTTAAATTCTCTGCAAATTTGCTTCACCAGTCGTTCCTATGAAATCAATTTGCAAGCAATGGGTAGATTTCTATCGTAAAGGAGGTCCACGTGTGTAATAGTGGTATGCTGCGACTGTTGCCCCCCTTCCATATTTAATAAAATACTGTTCATTGTATGTTTGTTTTGGTAATGATGAAGAATGATGATTTGAGACGGGCGGTTTGAGATTATTCCATGAAACATGTCTCACTTCTGACTGTCATAATTCAAGCTTAATGTTCAATGCGCCGTGCTTATTTTTAGCCCACGAAAGAGGGTTTGACAGTATAGTAATCGATTAACTAAACTTTCTGACAGAGATTCAGCAAATGTAAGATTATTTTCATGCTGAGTGTAAAAACCTCTAAGACGATATCTTGTTGTTAAATAGTGTATTTTTATTGTGTCTGCCTGTGCAAAATGAAAGGTTATTATTTAGTTTTAAAAAAATAGGAAGGAAAAGGTCGTTTTTTGGGAGACTTCGTTCACAGATACTTCTTCTAGTATCCGCCGTCGAACTGTAAACAGACTGGAAAGCACGAGCATGTTTTGTCAATGAAATTTGCTTTTGTCTACCCAGGTGATTAAAAACCTCCATGTTGTGTTCACCATGAACCCGTCATCTGAAGGGCTGAAAAGCCGCGCAGCAACCTCCCCCGCGTTGTTCAACCGATGCGTGTTGAACTGGTTGGGTGATTGGTCGACTGGAGCTCTTTACCAAGTTGGCTCAGAATTCACCAACAAATTAGACTTAGAAAAGAGCACGGTAAGTTTTATGAAAGGCACTTGACCCTGCGCCGGATGAATTTTATTCTTTTTGTGTATCCGATTGCTATTATGCAAGTCATGAAAGATCTTCGTAACATGTTAAAACAACTTTTACAGTATGCAATCAACCAATGCTCATTCACATTCTTTTAAAAATGTTTTGAATGGCTAATTTGCTAAAAACGAGTGCTAAAATATCACAAGTGAGGCCCATGAGACCCTGAAAACAGCAAGGATGCAGACTGACTGCCTTTGTTATCATCTTAGTTGTATTTCTTATCATTTTTCATCATTGACTGTATCTTAAATAACGCCTTTCACTAAATACCAGATTGCAGTTCTCAAAGTATTTTCCAACTAGGCTTGTGTAATTCCTTCTTTAGTCTCCAAAGATTTTAATTTAATCTTTGCTCTTACCTGTTATATTCAAATTTCAGTACGAGCCCCCGGATTTTATTCCAAAAGTATACGAAAACTTGCCGATGCCGCCAACATACAGGGATGCTATTGTCAATGCCATGGTGTTTGTCCATCAGACCTTGCATCAAGCCAACGCAAAAGTCTCAAAACGAGGTGGAAGAACAATGGCTGTCACACCGAGACACTATCTTGACTTCATTAACCACTATGTAAGGGACTACAGAAGATTTCTTCGGTAACTCTGTCTCGTAGATGACAGTAAGCAGTACAGGGCGTGCCTCTATTACAAAACCCTTCTGTTTTTTTCTGCCAGCTATAATATGCTTTTCTAGGTTATGTTCCTATGTTCTTTGCCCAATTGAAACACAAGGTTTTAAATGCTATGTTTCAAACGTAACGGCTCTTTCGATCCTATCTGAAAATTGTTTGCCTATTCTGAAACAAATGATGAAAGTCACACCTACGCGCTCGAAACTCACATAATGCGAAATATGGCTGTGACTTTTTTAGGTGCAATTATTCAACGAGAAAAGATCTGATCTGGAAGAACAGCAGCTGCATTTGAATGTTGGGTTGAACAAAATCAGGGAAACTGTTGAACAGGTGCGATAACCTAGTTTGTGGGACTTTTCCTTGTCTTTTTTCTAATAATTTGTTAGTTGTGTGGCATAAATTATGTGTTGTTAGTTTATTATAATAAACTCATTGGCGCAGGATGTCCTTTTTGCTGTTATTTGTTGCTTTTATTTACATTAAAGTATTTAGGGATGTACCGGATATCCGGTAGGCCAGATAATCCGGTGCCGGATCGCTGATTTTTTGAAAATCCGGTTCCGGCCGGATTTGTTTCCGAAATCCGGCCAGTTGCCGGATTTTCCAGAACTTTAATCATAACCAAGAAAATTTGGAAAACCAAGTCAGACTCCCTACATACAGTGATTAAAAATGGATTTTCCAGAACTAAACAATATCGACGATAAAACAAGCGCCTTGAAAACAGATTTGAAATGAAAGTGCTCGTCATCACGAAACAGGAAAACTGGATGATATAATTCACAGATTTGGTCCAGGGTTGCCAGATCGGCTTTTTAGGCCAAATTTTTCATTTTTGGTTTTTAGATTTAGATTGCCTGGAAAAATTGTTTTTTGCTTACTACTTAAATTTGACCTTGTTGGCCTTTTCAGCAGACGTCCAAAATTAATAAGTAATCACTACATTCATAGAATAATTAGTAATAAACTACAAAGTATTAACCAAATTTCAAATTTTATCACCCAACCTAAATATTATCTTGATATTAGCAAAGGGTTTTGGAAAAAAGTAAGATTCTTATCAAATTAAGAAATTATCTAACAGGCACAAGCGTAGAAATATAACCAGTGCCTGCTCAACGGATTCTTGCGAGAGTTTTTGATTTGGCCTTTTTATGAGCATTTTGGCTTAAATTGCTCACCAGTCTAGCCTTCTTTTGTAAATTCAATCTGGCAACCCTGAATAGGTCTCTTTGATCTTCTCGCTATACATTTTTTCGCAAAGTGGCTCAAAACTTTTTATTACTGAAAATTCTATAAATGGTCAGATTATCCGGAAGAATCCGGCCGGATATTCCACGAAGAAATCCGGTAAATCCGGTTCCGGCCGGATTCTGAAAATCCTGATCCGGTACACCCCTAAAAGTATTAAGTGGAAACTTTATACAGAAGCGAGGCTTCTAAGCTGATAATAAGGCCACACACATTGCTGAATCAGTTGTAATGTTTTGTTATGAATTTTTAACTGTTTAAAGAAGTGTTTAGAAAAAAATCTAGTAATGTGTTTGCTGATGATCCGTTTAAAAAATTGTAGGTAGAAGAGCTGCAAAAGAGTTTATCTCTGAAGAGCCAAGAACTTGAAGCTAAAAATGCGCTTGCAAACCAGAAGCTCAAGCAAATGGTGAGGCATTTATTCCAATTATAACTACCGTATATCAAAACATTTTTTATTCTGTAGTATTTTGTAGTGTAGAAAGTAATTTCGCAGCAACATCGTCAATATCATTTTTGCATTTTTAGGTAAAAGATCAGCAAGAAGCTGAAAAGAAGAAAGTTACATCAACGGAAATTCAGACTGCATTGAACGTAGGTTTTAGGCTATTTTGTTTCCCAGACATGGGGTTCTGGCTTTTTTGTGTGCTGCGATACTATCAGGCTTGCAAAGTCGTAACAAAACCGTTTCAGATTTCACTACAGAGCATCGAATTTTATGTATATAGTTTATTTAGACCGGAAAGAGTCACGCTTTTATGGTTGTAAATTGCTACCAAAGTTGAAAGCTAATCTTGGAAGAGCTAGGAAGGTGAACGAATAGTCACGTGATGGTATGGCCGCCGATACCAGTCAAGTATAAGCGGCTGCTTTGCATTGCTCCTTCGTGCAGGTTCCTTAACCCAGTAGAATGTTTCTTCATTTTTTCCAAAAATGTTAAGGAATCGAAGCATTTGTTGAAAATACTGTGTAATCGAGCCTAAAATTGTAAAGTTATAAAATATCAGTTTTTTTAGGAAATCGAAGCATTTGTTGATAATACTGTGTAATCGAGACTAAAATTGTAAAGTTATAAAATATCAGTTTTATTGTTGCATTCTAAACACGTTTGTGGTGTTTGTTTGAAACTGAATATGATGAATATGAGACGGGCGGATTGAAAAACTTAATGAAAAGCGTCTCTTAACTGATCAGTTTCGCTTGATTTAAGACATGATTCCTTTTTGCATACGATAAAATATTTTTTCGAGAAATGAGCCGTTACAAACGAGCGTTTCTTGTTCATAAGAAAATGATTTGATGAGTGGAGCGTTGTAGTGAAGTTTGTTGTCTGCATTGAAACGTAGGAGCAAACCCGAAACATCGAAGAAAAGCAAGCTAGTGTCATGACCGAGTTGTCCCAAGTCGAACCAGCTGTCCAAGATGCAAAAATGGGTATGAAATTATTCATGAAGCTTGTTTTACTGGTTTCAGCTACAATCAGACAAATTCTGTATTACGAAGATTGTTCTTAGAGAAGGGATCCTTTTCTGTAAACATGATTTTGGTATTAGAAAGAGTATCTTCTAAACCTCGTCATGTTTCTTAGGGAGTATTTTGGAAGCTAATGATAGGAAAGAGCTAAATGATAAGTTTATTAAAACATCAGCGGGTTCCTAATGAGACATGATCTTGCATGCACTGAGGTATGATTCGAGCATCTTTTGGGTTATAAAGTGTCTGTTGCTAAAAGTTTTGAGAAGAATTATACTGGCCCTTTTTGTTAATCTTTCCGGTTTTGAGTTGCATTTTAAGCCACGTTTTTGTGACTTTATGTAATCTGTGTTGCATTGCATTCTTGGTATTGGTGCCTTTCTCTAGATTAGAGGGCCATGATGAGTAGCGCAGGGGTATTGAACGGCCTAACATGTAGGGTCGAGTAACTGCTGGGATTAGCGGCTACTGAAATCGCGCGTTCTGAGCCTCTGTTCCAATTAATAAGAGTGTGCCCGTAAAGGCTCATGAAGTCATAGAGAAATAGAAACCCTGATAAACATGTACGTTAAACTGTTTTCTTACTTTCATTTTCGTTCAAACCTTCAAAATGTTTCATTTTTTATCATAGCTGTAAAGGGTATCAAGAAACAGCATCTCGTTGAAGTCAGGACAATGGGAAATCCCCCGCCTGTGATTAAACTTGCTTTGGAGTCAATATGCCTGCTTCTGGGGCAACCTGTAGCAGACTGGAAAGAAATTCGTCAGATTTTGATGAAAGACACGTTTATATCAAGCATCGTCAATTTTGACACTGAAGACATAACGTAAGGGACTAACGATTGTTTGACGGTGTTTTAACAAAGCTTGGTTATTGTTGGTAATCTTTTGTTACCTATGTTATGTACCACTGTTCACATGTGGTGATATGCTATAAGTAATAAACCCATTGGTAGGAGGACCCAAGTTGCTAGATTGCAAAAGTAGGGACTGGTTTTAGCTCTGATATTATTGTTGTATCTCTGTGGTGTTTCCTTCACACTTTTACTGCTACGTCCTTATCATTAAATGAAGTACTAGTACCAGTTTCATCAGCATAACAATTTTATCAAAATTTGAATTTTCAGGGAAGACATTCGCAAACAGATGAGAAAACTTTACCTCAGTGATCCGAACTATACATTCGAGAAAGTTAATCGTGCAAGCTTGGCTTGTGGTCCTCTAGTTAAATGGGCCATTGCTCAGGTAGGTCATTTTGCCGTGTTCTCTATCTACAATTCAGCCTATAATGCAATACAGACTATCTTATTTTTTTGCACCCCACCACCCCAATCCAGGTTAATATATCTGTTTTTAGCGATATACATGTCCGACCTGTGTATGTAAAGGATTTTAGTTTGCCAAAGGGGAACGTATCTCAGAGAGGGATTGTATTCATTTTCAAGTTTTGAATCATAATAATTTCGCGACTAGTACTACAGTGACTCACTATTGCGTCTACAGTGACTCACTATCATTTGCATGTTTGGCTAACTGTGGGTGTCTTGATGCATCGATTGATTGATATACTCTAATTAACATTTTCGTAACATGTTTTCAACTGATGTACTAAATTTTTCTATTTCATCTCCAGATCAGTTATGCTGAAATGTTGAGAAAAGTTGAGCCACTTCGCAACGAGCTTGACTCCGTCGGCAAAGAGAAGGACATCAACCAAGCGAAGGTACACAAAAGATTCTTGTTGGTTTGCAAGTCCTCTTGATTGCATTTAGGCAGTTTTCGGCGAAACAGCGCATTGTCTTTTATCTAGCTTTTGTCTCCATGACTTGAGGTGACAACACTCCTGTGGCTGGAATTATGGGAGTTCAGGGTAGGGGCACTGGTTATGCCTCGGATAAAATATTTCTCAAAAAAGAAAATCTTATCTGGGAAATCGAGGAAATGTTGATCGATTAGGTGACAAGGAAATATTCATTCATTTTTTTCAAAAGTAGTTAATTGTGGAGCTATTTCCTGACATAAGCTATGTATACGATCATCTCTGCATTAGCGTATTTTGAACTTGGTATTTTTGACTGTAAGTTTATTATCGTTTTTCTGACTTTCTGGAATATTCATGGTCATAGTTGAAGCCATAGTTGAAAGTTTCCTTGGTAGAGCTGTTTTTTACAATTGAACCAAAAACAAACAGGTCTGTCTATAAGTGCCAACCGCCATCATGCCAGTAAACCAATTGTTGCAAGTTATCACTGTCTGTTTTCTAACTGGTTAACTTAAGCAAATAATGTCCTGTGTTGTAGTTAACGGATGTGGCAAATATGATTGCTGAACTGGAGAAGAGCATTGCCCGATACAAAGAGGAGTATGCTGTTCTTATCAGTGAAGCACAAGCTATCAAGGCAGACCTTGCTGCAGTTGAGGCGAAGGTAACTCTTGTTATATATAAACTCTAGTGACGAATTGTAACCTGTATTACTCACAGTAACCTGTGTATTATTTTTAAATCTCGCGTGGTTCAAGAATCTTCAGAGTTGAATAATTATTTTTTTTTAAATTGTGAATTATAAATTGCCTTGTATCGTATCTAATCATATGATATTACATTCACATGCTCGTAAACATTTTTAGGTATCCAGAAGTACAGCACTGCTGCGTAGCTTAGGCAACGAAAGGCAGCGATGGGAATCAACGAGTTTGGCCTTCCAGACTCAGATGGGAACGATAGCCGGAGACGTCCTTCTCTGTTCTGCATTCCTGGCTTATGGAGGTAACTTTGCCAAATATATTGCAAGACTGTTGCGTTTGTATTGCAGTACAAAGCCCAGGCATTGAAGAAATTTATAAGCCTGTATTCACTCTGGAATTTCAGTGCTACTTCAGATGAATACAATTTCACTTTAGCTTAAGTTCTTGGAGACGGTGGCATGAAATCCTGTCAAAATATCCTGTTTTCAAAAATAGAATCATGCTCTTTAAAGCAAAAACTAGTAAAGGCTGCTTTTTTTATCTAGGTTATCTCCCTTTTTTTAAATCTTATGGTTATTTGAATAAAAATATTATTTTTGCACGGGATTGCAAGAAATTAGGATGCTTTGCTACTTGACAAATAGAAAGATATGGTTGAAAATATTCGGTAATAAAAAAGTACTGCAGAGTTACTTTACCTTAGTAATGAATACTTTAATTTTGTTCTGTCAGGTTACTTCGATCAGCAACTCAGACAAAGTTTATGGTCGGCATGGAGCTCACATCTTGAAAAAGCCGCCATTTTGTTCAAACATGATCTTGCACGCACCGAGGTATGATTCGAGCATCTTTTGGGTTATAAAGTGTCTGTTGCTAAAAGTATGGTTTTCTGTTGCAATCTGTGTTGCATTGCATTCTGGGTATTGGTGCCTTTCTCTAGATTAGAGGGCCATGATGAGTAGCGCAGGGGTATTGAACGGCCTAACATGTAGGGTCGAGTAGCTGCTGGGATTAGCGGCTACTGAAATCGCGCGTTCTGAGCCTCTGTTTCAATTAATATTGAATACACGGGTTTGTAGAATGGTTGGTTTAGTTTTAAATCAAGATTAGGACTATTGGCTTTACCTCGTATGGTTTTAAGTCTTGAACCTCCTTTGTAGTCTTTTGTGAAAATTTGAATTGCAATGAGTGTTGTCGCCTTCCAGATGCATATAGCCTCGCGGTAGACCAAGATAAAATTTACAAGAGCAATGCAACTCCCGACATGTAATTGATAAACTCTCTCTCTCTGCAAGATGAAATTCCTGATGCCAAACTCTTTGAGATTGCTGGTGGATAGATCGGAAGGGTTTTCTATTTGCTTAATTTTCCTTTGCAGTATTTATCAACCGCAGATGAGAGATTGGAATGGCAGGCGAATTCTCTGCCTTCGGATGACCTTTGCATTGAAAACGCAATCATGCTGAAGAGATATAACAGATACCCGCTGATTATTGATCCATCTGGCCAAGCTACCCAGTTCGTAATGAATGAATACAGATCCAAGAAAATCACAAGGACCAGGTACATTTCATATTTGTAGCACACCCTGGTTTTTAGAGCAATGTCATAGAATATCCTTTTTATTCTAAACTTATCAGGGAGTCTCATAAATGTAAGATTTGAGTGTAGGAAACAGAAGCAATTTTTGAGAAAGTAAAGATCTGCTTTGCCCGCTCCTTTGTTTTAGTGGAGCTTTGTTAAGTGGCTGAATTTGATGATGCAGCATCAACGACCGGCAATTGCATCAACCAAAAGATTTTTTCATTATAAGGTTTAAGTCGTTTATTATTTAGTTGTTTATCAGGAAACCTTTTTGATATTATTTCTTCAGGTCCTCTAAGATTGCTCGAAATGGTAGAAACCTTTCTAAGACCTTTGAATCCATATTTTTTGTCAAATTTCACTAATTATAACGAAATTTATACTCTGCGAGAAGATGCTAAATTTTTCCAGTTTTAATTGCTATAGCGATGTATAGCTATGAACTTCTTTGCTATGAAGTTATTGAAGCTCCTTGTAAACTGGCTGTTTTGCTCTCAGCTTTCTCGATGATGCGTTCCGGAAGAATTTGGAGAGTTCCCTCAGGTTTGGAAATCCACTTCTTGTGCAGGATGTTGAGAGCTATGATCCCATCTTGAACCCCGTCCTCAATAAGGAACTGCGCAGGACAGGTGGGCGTGTCCTCATTACCATTGGTGACCAAGACATCGATCTTTCGCCGGCATTCACAATATTTTTATCAACAAGAGACCCCACTGTAAGTCTTTGTTTTATTGCAGAACACTAATGATACCTACCATGCGTATCCATTTTTATTGATATGATAACTGCTTCTCTAAACAGGTTTTGTGGGTACCACTTACACCTAGATTTTATAGCCCCAAGTTTACTTTTATCCCCGGCTGATGGGGCCTTTTTGTAGATTAGAGGGCCATGATGAGTAGCGCAGGGGTATTGAACGGCCTAACATGTAGGGTCGAGTAGCTGCTGGGATTAGCGGCTACTGAAATCGCGCGTTCTGAGCCTCTGTTTCAATTGATATCGAATACGTAACTTCATATGTACGATAGTCACTTGTGCCTTCAACATATAATTGTGATTAAGCAGTGATGTTTGTTGTGGCGGAAGGTAGACCTAGATGCGAACTACAAGCACTGCTGGATCTTGTTCTACTTCTATACTTCATTTTGAAACAACTTCACCTTCGTTCCATACTGTTCTTCCCCCACGCGACGTTGTGGTATAATTGTTGGCTTTTCCCAATAATGTATGCATCAAAATGCACCCTAGTCTTACCTTTATCTCTAGCGATGTAAATGGGGCACAGGAGCTGCACGTTGAAATTTCCCTTTTTCAGGTTGAATTTGCACCAGACCTGTGTTCCCGTGTCACCTTTGTCAACTTCACAGTGACGAGGGGAAGTTTGCAGAGTCAGTGCTTGAATGAAGTATTAAAAGCTGAAAGACCCGAAGTAGACGCAAAGAGGTCTGATCTACTCAAATTGCAAGGTTAGAATGCTTCGAGATACGTTGTAACCAAAGAACTGAATATATCGTATGATGCAGTGCCCTAGCAATCTAGCAATCTAAGCTAGCTTAAAAGTGTGTATTTTATCGGTTCATGCTCTCAAAGACCTTCCGTTTGGAGCAATATCAAAATGTTTCTCATCTACACGTTTAATAATATTACCTATTCTGTTAATGGATCCTACTTCATGCTACTCATTATTAAGATATGTAACAATATGTCTCACCTGAAGAATCAAGCCTCTCAATAGGTTTCGCGTCTTTAAATCCAGTAAGTGTACTTGTGTTTTAGATACAAAAAGCATAATTTTGTCCAGCGCAACGTTTAATGTAATGATGTTTCTTTGAATATGTTAGCGACAATAGCAGTTTAATCACACGTTTGATTCACCAGGTGAATTCCATTTACGTTTACGGCATCTGGAGAAGGAGTTACTCCAAGCACTGAACGATGCTAAAGGAAGAATCCTAGACGATGACAAGTGAGTGACGTTTGTCTTATGTAGCAGAAACTGGACGGTATTGTATGGCTGTGATGAGTCGCGCCAGGGGTATTGAACGATTCGCAATGTGGAGTCGAGTGGTTGATGGCTTTCAGCCGCTAAAAACGCGCATGCTGAGCCAATATATTGCTTCCTTTCCTTGCTATCATCTTATTTTATTCTATGCTTATAGGTTAAAGCTAGGTTTCACCACTGCTTGAAAAACGTTCTCGTTTTATTTAAAATGCATCTCATCTTTCACCTGAAACCTAAATTCACGGCGCTCCCCCCTCCCCCTTATGGTTTTCTGTTGCAAACAGGCTTAAGAGGGAATAGAGTATCCAGGTGCTTTGCACATCATTTAAAAACATTTGAAATTTATGTTGATATTGTAATGGACGAGTAGCACATCGTTTGTATTATGTAAAGGACAGAGTAGTTTGGTACGAAAGTTTGTAAACAAAAGTATTTGATAATTTTTTCAGGATCATCGGTTCGCTGGAAACGCTAAAGAAAGAAGCTGCCGAAGTGACAAAGAAAGTCGAAGAGACAGATTTGATTATGGCTGAAGTCGAGAGCGTGTCTGAGCAATATCGTCCACTGTCAGCTGCATGTAGCAGCATCTACTTTACACTTGAGTCGTTGAATATGGTAAACAGCTGCTTTTCAATATTAAATTGCATTTGTACCACGTTTTGTACCACGTTGCAATTTCCCCCACCTTGTCTACCAACGTGCGACAATTCATACATTGTCATGTAGCGTTGTTTGATGTTTAGGCTCCCCTAAAGGAAGGCATTAGACTCTGAATAAACACTTTAGCAAGCTGTTAAGCTTGTTTGTTGAAAAAGGAAGGCTGTTGTGAAAATTTCCCTGGGAAAGGATTTATTAATAATGAAAGAACACACACAGGTGAAGCACAGGTGATACCCCCAACCTAATGAAAGCCAGTTAATTATTTTAATACAATAAAAGGTTATCTCGGAAGGACACCTTGTTACTTAAAGATTTAAGGAATTTTATTATTTGGAAATTATTTGTGTTTATTAAAATATTTTTCATTTTCAGATCCACTTTCTGTATCAGTATTCGCTGAAATTCTTCTTGGACATTTTCCAATCTGTGCTCTATGAAAATCCACACCTGAAGGACGTTAGAGATCCCATTTCCAGGCTAAAGATATTAACAGAAGATCTGTTCCAGGTCAGTTTGCTGTTATAATCTGAATCTGTTTTATAAGTAGAAAGTCCTACAGAATCTTATTCACGATTTAGGGGCAATCATGTTTTCTTTAAATCTATGATTCGACATTTTGTTTTCTTATCTTCCCAATAGTACACCATAAACAATGTGTATCTCTAATCTTTTTTAACATAACTGTACGACGAGAACATGATATTTTCTTTAATATTCCAGTGACACTGAAAATCTGTTGTGAATTTTTTATCCTTTAAGTAACTGTTAGTTACTGTGATTCAAAAATGCTGTTTATTCTGCAGATCGTGTACAATCGGGTGGCACGTGGCATGCTACATGATGACAGAATTACATTCGCAGTTTTGCTGTGTCGAATCAGAATGAGAGGCTGGACGGGGTTAGTAACTTTCCATGACAGTTTTTTTTTCTCGCTCAATTCTCTTTTTAATTCAGTGAAAAGACATTTCAAACTACTTGCTTGAACTTTTTGTCATTTGAAAGGAAATTGCATTTTATTGTTTTTTCTTTTGCTCCTCAGAGAACCTCAGTATGATGCTGAATTTGACCATCTATTACGTGGAAAGGAGGCTGTAATTGGTGGAAGCACAAAGCGGCTGTTCCCAGAATTCACTTCGTCACAGGTAGCCACAATCGCGTATATTAAACGCTTTAATCTCCTTTGCATTTTCTTAGAGCGGTGTATAAGTGTGGAGACAATAAGCTATTTTTCGAAATTTACATCATCTAGTATTATATTTTATGTTTGTGAATCGTCAATGTGTTTTATATCTGCTTAAAAATGGAATTAAACTGTTTTTGTTTCTTAGAATGATGCTTTGGTTCAGCTCTTAAAACTCGAACCTTTCGCCAAGCTGGCCGACTTCATTGGTGCAAATAAGCCCGTAAGGAAGTATTAACTTTTGTTTTTATACATAAACCGACGCCAATGAATTTTGAATGGTTTATTTTTCTTGTGGCGCATTCGGTATTTGTGTCGAACAATCTATCAGACACATTGAAAGGAAGGTACAAATTTCGGCTGTCCATTTAATTTGCGCGCTATGTTTTCAGTTTTGAAATATTCTACATATCCTTTTCCAACCCTTGACTTTGTGAAGTATATGCAATTAATAGCTAAGATATGTGTCGATTATAATCTGTTAGTTAGAAGCAAAAAGATTTCAGGCTCGATCTATCTTTTCGTTATTTTGACTGTATGTCGTAATGTAGGAAAATTTGCAAGATATTTTATTTTGTGATATTTTCTGATTAGCTAGCAGTGTATATTCATTATATTCTGTTGTGTTTTTTAACTTTTTGTGAATTTTTACTTTCGGAGGTAAAGCTTCTTGTAAAAATGGAGTTTCACTCCTGAATCCACGAGTCGTTATTTCCAACCATGTTTTTCTAATTGCCTTCCACCATAACCTTTATCGTGTATCTTTGTTGTTTATTTATAAATAGCTTCATTTATTTTATTTAACTTCAATCTTACGCAGGACTAATGCCCTTCTGTTATTTTTAGGGTTTTGTAAGCTGGGTTCAGTCCCAGAATGCTGCCGAGAATGTTCCAGTCTGTTGGAATGTGCCCCAGCCTCTTTGTGAGTGACCTTTACTCTCTTTTTTTACTGTAAACAATATTTTCAAGTATACACTGATTCATACTCCCAACATCGAATGGAAACTTTATAGAATGTTATTATTACTCAATGTGCTTTTGCTAAACGAATTTAATTTATTGGAGAGATACAGTTTATGTCTTGTCTGTGAAATGAGTTATGGTGTAACATACTTATTGATTCAAATTGCGTGTATAACTTATTGATCCTTAAATAACAGACTTTTCTCCTTGTTTTTCGTGTTCCTTATTTTCAACCTTCAATTGAACCAAATAGCGTTCTATACACTCCCACGACCTAAAATCTCGGTTGTCCCGTGTAAGATCTTAGGACAAGTGTTTCAAATATTATTTTTATATCATTTTTATTCTTGATAGTTATTTATGAAACCTTTTTCATTACCCTTTTATGAAATTTTTTGTATATAATTTATCAAATTTTCTTTTCAGCTCCAATCGGTGTTGCATTGTACGAAATGATCCTTTTGCACGCGTTCAGACCAGACAATCTTATTAATTCAACCCAAAAGTTTGTTGCCGCCGTCATGGGAGAGAGCTACACGCATGAAGCTGAGCAGGAGCTTGACCTGGCCTATGTTGTTGAGCACGAAGTCAAAGCCAACACTCCAGTGCTTCTTTGCTCTGTTCCTGGTTATGATGCAAGTGGGAGGGTTGACGATCTTGTTGCACTGACCAACAAGCCGTGCACTTCTATTGCCATAGGTGTGCTTAAGCGCTTTTGTCGAATAGCTGCAACATTTCTTACATCGGCTGGCTTCTTGCTTATCCAAAGAGACCATATCGGAGTTCGCGACACCACGACACCAGTGGGGCAAAAACTGCAATAAATACAATAAATACAATGGCGGCCTATATTATCGATATTTGTACATACTTCTGTGGCTCAAACAAAGTCTATTGTTAATCAACGAAATTCAGATTTTCATTCTTAAAAGTTTTTTCTCTATTCTAAAGAGGTTTCTCGGCCGAAAAAAATAGAATGGCCACTATCCACCACGAATTTTTGCTGGTTGGCCCCCACTTGAGGGATTGGAACTAGCTATAGAACAATTGAATCCCATCATGGCGTCACGAACTCCGAGATGGTCTACCCAAGTACAGCAACATTCTGCGCTTGTTCTGTGCGAGATCTGTACCCGTCGAAAACATATCACTCATTTCCTATTTTGATATTGCTTACGTCGTCACCAATTGGCTGTCTGAATGTGTGTGAGTTGAATGTACTCAGCCGCAAATTTGTGCCCAGTGTTTTACTGGGCCTCTTTTGCAAACACGTTCTACTTGCAGCCATAAAACAACGAAAGTATCATAGTACTGCCTATCATTTCCATTGATCTGCAGCCTCCATTCACTCCAACAGTTTCAGTGTAGGAATGAATCATTAAAAGGACTAAAAATACAAAGTCAGAACTACTGTTAGTCGTCAGAATTCTATATAGAAACAACCCAACATTGGCAATTCCATACTGCAAACATAAGCTCTCAATTTTCTTTTTACTTTTCGGCAATTTACCGTCGATTGAATATGAAGAAGCATGACACTTCTAGATAGAATCGGGACTATGAAACTAATGGTTTAGTATTATTATAGCTTACTTTTTATTTACATTCTTCAGCGATACTGATTTCTGATTACGAAAATCCTTAGGTTCTGCTGAGGGATTCAGTCAAGCAGAGAAGGCAATCAACTCATCTGTCAAGTCCGGACGGTACGTTCTTGTTTTATTTGCACAACACTTGTTCCAGTTACTTTTTACTAATACTGGATGCATTGTCAGATATTCTAGATTCGTGCTACCGTAAGCAATGGCTACGAGCCTTATAGTGTAAGCAAATATTTTGAGTAATAGTTTCTACTTATAAAGGAGTCAGTTAGTGACCTAATCAAGTACGTCTGTTCTGCAGATGGGTATTGCTGAAAAACGTACATCTTGCGCCGAGTTGGCTGGTGACTGTTGAGAAGAAGTTGCATACACTGACACCCCATCCTTCGTTCCGATTGTTCATGACCATGGAAATTACGCCCAAGGTATGCCTTGAAGTTTTCCTTGGTAGATATTGCATTTCAATTGAGATGTTATTGTTAAGGAAAACCCCAAAAAAAATTTCTTCCAACTATCTTATTTCAAAGCTCTAGTATGGTTCAATAAAGGTAACTTTGCAATGGGAACCTGTAAACATTCGTATCAACAGTTGGTAATTATCTCTTGAATTTTCGATGGAGGTATATATGTTATGTTTATACAGTCAAGTTTTGAAAATCGTGACAAATTCTACAATACTTCCTTCACTTTGTAATACTACATATAAGTGTTATGTGATGTTTTTTTTATGTGATGTTATCATTTTCTGTCCTCTACGGTTATTCTTTGTTAATATTCTTATGTATTTGCTGTATATATTGTATTATACAATCCACTGAATAACTGTATTTATTAGTCCAATCCATTTACTTCTCCTTAACTCAGTTCGTTTCCCATTCCCAGGTCCCAGTCAATCTCCTGCGAGCGTCCAGGGCTTTCGTCTACGAGCCTCCACCTGGTATCAAAGCAAACATATTACGGACCTTTAGTACCATCCCGTCTGCAAGAATGTGCAGTGTATGTAAATTCCATTACTACCAGCAGCTCTCTATACCTTTTTTAATTTCCGTTTACTTAACGCGCGTTAATCCTTTTACCAATCAATAAGTCTTGCTAATGCTTGTCTTTTCACCTGCGATTCTCTTCCTTTTAGGCGCCTGGCGAGAGGGCAAGAATGTATTTCCTGCTGGCCTGGTTTCACGCCATTGTTCAAGAGCGCCTTAGATACGCTCCCCTCGGCTGGTCAAAAGTTTATGAGTTCAGTGAGTCTGACCTGAGAATGGCTTGTGACACACTCGATGCATGGATTGACTCTATAAGCCAGGTATTGTGCCTGTTCGGTCTTCCTTACAAAATATCCCTTTTAAGTCGTCTCCAGCCGCAATGTTTAATCGCTTTTGTTGGCCCAAATCACGTTAGTTTTAATGAATATTTTTTGTTCATGTATAGCTTAAAGAAATGGTTTCGCTATTCGTCTTTTGTAGGGTCGTTCAAATATCAGACCAGAGAAACTACCTTGGGATGCTATTCGTACATTGCTTGGCCAGTCTATCTATGGTGGAAGAATTGACAACGATTTTGACCAGGTACGTAGGTTACAACGACATTTCTGGCCCTAGTGATCGTTGAAGTAACATTATAGCGGACACTTTGTCACCATTAGTCAATCGCTACTACTACTGTTATAATTTGTGCCATTTTATATTTGTCCCATTGTTCATTATTTTCCAGCTTAAAACATTGTAACCGCTCCTCAGTGTAATCGTTTGCAGAACGTGATTTTAATATGACTAGATTAGTTACAATTCAGCATCACAGCTCATTATCACACATAAAACCTCTTTAGATGTATTTATGACCACCAATGCTGTTGATTTTTGCTAAGAATTAAAATTTTTAGTTCCACCCAAAACATGAAATTCTTCCAGTTGAATTCAATGAAATGTTCTAAAGTGCAGAAGATATTCATCCAGTTTTCACATATTCAGTTGCTAGCAGCCAAATGCCCTATTTTCATATGATTTTTACTTCTTTCTCAGCGACTTCTGCAATCATTCGTAAGCAGAATTTTTACTGCAAAAAGCTTTGAATCCGACTTCCCACTTGTTATCGACGTTGACGGGCAGAAAGGAAAAAATGTCAAAGTTCCTGATGGCATTAGGTTCGTAAGAAGAGCATATGTTTCTGTTCCTAGATACTTGAGATATATTTTCCTTTTTTCTGACTTTTATTGTTTCTGTTGTACTTTGTATTGTTCCTCAATTATCTAATGCGATAAACTCACGTAAAATACCCAAATTCGTCTCAAGATATGCTTTTACGTGCATGAAAAATTGTTTTAGAATTTTCAGGGATGAACAGCACCAATAGAAATGGTCTATTTGGTAAATTATAACTTGCAACACAATGAAAGAAAGTTGCATATGTGTTAACTCTTCTATTAACGTGGTCAGGATTTTTTGCATTGTAAAAATCGTCTGTATTGTTATTTACTTTCATTTTCAGGCGAGAGCAGTTCCTGCAATGGGCGGAGGGATTGCCAGACTACCAAAGTCCATCTTGGCTTGGTCTCCCTAACAACGCAGAAAAAGTCATTCTCACCACCCTTGGTAAAATTCTTGATACTCTTAGATGTATTACAAGTCATTAAATCGTAGAAATTCCCAAACAATCCACTTTGAAAGTGGCCCTGAAAGCCAAAGGAGGAGCTAGAATAAACGAGGATACCAGGATATAGACAATTGTAGAGAACAATGATAGGAGCCTTATTTGGTCGTCTTAGAGGCTAGCAAAATTTTAGAATGCTTGATAATGTGTTTATGGGCATGTTGATAAAAAGTTAAGACTTGGGTCATGATAAGCTACATGGTTAAAATGAAAAGAATCAATAATCTTTCGAAGTGAAAAGCAGATTTCAACAGGTGTGTGAAAATTCCAGTTTACCAGAGTTTTGTTGGTTCAGTGAATTTAGGTTAATGCTCGGTTAACAAAAATGATACCTTGTGACAGCGTTCTGTTTGATATGATAACTAATGTTCTGTTTACTCGTGATACAAGAGCTTGTTTGCTGGCAACTCCATCGAACCTCTAAACTTGAAGCTTGCCTCTTTTCATATATATCTTGCCGATTAACTTATTTTTACAAATATCTTTTAGGCGACCAGATGCTGGTCAAGATTCTCAAAATGCAAATGATGAGTGAGGAAGACGAGCTGGCCTACACCCCTGAAATCAGGTATGATGGATAGTTAAAAAGGCCCAATAACAAATCCAGTGCTGTGACGTTTAAAACGATTCGACTACAATTGGACAGTCAAAACGTCGGAAGTAATTAAGAGGCTTCAGTTGATTAAAAAATCTACCATTTTGTTTATACTATTTACGTAACAAAAGATCCACAACTAACAACAAGTCTTATCTTTTAGTGGAAAGAAGGAAGCTCAAGAAGGAGATGTTAGACCAAGCTGGATGAAAACATTGGCCACGTCAGTCAAAAACTGGCTATCTTTCTTGCCTGAGGTAGGACCCATTCAAGTTGCAAATGCTTGCGATTCTTGCTGTTAATTAATTAAGCATTTTCACCCGAATCGACATTTTTATTCAGACTGTTAACTTGATTCATCTTTGTGTTTTAGAAACTCTCCCCAATGAAGAGAACACTGGAAAACATTAAAGATCCGCTCTTCCGATTTTTTGAACGTGAGGTAATGCTTAGATGATTTTTGTTGCAAAAGTTGCTCTAAAATTATTTTGTTAACTCCCCATTTATTCAGAGTGTCGCGCACCCTATCACCCTATTGCTCACCCTTTTCGCTCACCCTTTTCGCTTACCCATTTCGCTTACCCTTTTTGCTCACCCTTTTCGCTCACCCTTTTCGCTTACCCATTTCGCTTACCCTTTTTGCTTACCCATTTCGCATACTCTTTTCGCTTACCCTATCAGCCCCTATGACTCTAGCCCTAGGTACGTCTCTGATTTCCAGGCGGACGTAGTTTCCCTAAGGTTTGCAATTCAGAGTATGTCTGTTTTTTAGGTGAATGCAGGAGCAAGGTTACTGCATGATATCTTGGTTGACTTGCATGACATTGTACTGGTTTGTACTGGATCAAAGAAGCAAACAAATCATCTCCGAACATTGATGGAGGCATTGGTCAAAGGTTAGTCACATGTGAAGATAGTTCGTTAAACATTTTGCATTCAGAACCTTATCCTAGGTTAAGCCTGATACAACGATATTGACCAGTTATCAGTCATCGATCATCGTCATCAGTCATCGATCATGATTGTCAATCATTGATCACAATCATTAATCATTTTCAATCATCATCATAGTCATTGCCATTATTTATGATCAATCAACAGAATCATCATAACAAAATCAGAATTAAACATGATAATTTTGATTGTTATTATTTCTTTCAAGGCGTGATCCCAAAACACTGGAACCGGTACACAATTCCAAACGATCTGACCGTCATTAGATGGATTGCCGACTTTGCAGAAAGAGTCAAACAGTTGCAAACAATCTCTCAAGCCGCAAACAGTGGAGGAGCTAAAGAGCTTAAGGTGCCAGCATGGAGCTACTTTGAAACGCCGCCTTAGGCTAATACATTTTATTGCCTTTGTCTGGTTGCTTGCATCTTAACCTTCAATATATCAGTTTATGTCGTCTGATTGTGCCTTTGAAGGCGTATTTGATGATTCAGACCACTAAACGCATTGCAAAAGTAGAAAACATAGTAGCTGCAATTGCATTTACTGAAAAATCATTACTGTGGCTCCGATGTTGTTATATAATCAGTCTTCTGTTGCTTCAAGGGCAGATGATCGGTTGTGTGACTTTTTCGCTTTGACTATCATCGGAAGTTGTTTTCATCATGGTGGGGGTTGAAAACAGAATTTTTAAAATGCATGACAAAAGTACTTGGGACACTCAACCAAGTTCAATCAACTCTAGATCTATTTCTCAGAGCTAAGTATCCTCCTTTACCAAAAAATGTTGGAAAAGGACCTCAGCCATCCTAGTTGTAAAATTACAAATTTCGTTCGAATAGTGTAGTTCTACGGACAATAATCTTGCATTGTTTGAAAAAAGATAGGGGAAACTGCGACTGGGATAAAAATGCTGTTGGTTTTTCAAAACTTTTAGCTGGCATTGTAGATGGAGAGACCCGGTTATAACATTTGCTAAAATTGATTTTTGTGCTTGCTTCTACAATGAACTGTTTGAAAAGTTGCAAGTGTTGTTCAGAAAATGTAGTTGTACAATGGTGTGCACATTGGCAGCGCTTTCTGCCAAAAGCTTTCATTTATGTTGTAATGTCTGATGCTACAAGAAGCCCATGGTACTAAAAAATCTAACTGTATATTGATTAACAATTGTAGAGAGACTGATTGTAGCTTTAGAGAATCTCTCCTAACGGGTGTTATCTGTTTTAGAATGTGACCGTATGGCTCGGTGGCTTGTTTATCCCCGAGGCCTACATCACTGCCACACGACAATTCGTTGCACAGGCAAACCATTGGTCGCTCGAGGAGCTCAAACTTCAGGTAGGTGCTCCTACCCCGATGCCTTGGTAATGCGAAAGTTATGCCTTAGTGAAGGGCAAGATATCGCAAAGTTATCTGCCTGACGGGTGGCATATCATTACGTTTATCTAGAGTTGAAAATAACAACGATTAGGTATTTGTAGTTATTGCATCCTGATGATAGTACCAAGACAAAGAACAACATGTGCACATGCTACTGATAAAGTTAACACAATATTTTCATAAGTGTTTTTCTCGTTAGTCCAGACAGATAATTCTCATTCTTCTGACTCATTCATAGAAACTCATTCATTCATTCTGACTCATTCTCATTCATAAAAACTCAACTTCTCATTCCTTTTTTTAACACAAAACATTGGTTTTCTTATGCTCTGTGTGTTTAAGTTTTCAATATTTTTGTTTGTTTGTTACCATAATCCTTATTTATTGCAAGATTATTTATTGTTTTGTTCGATTGCTTATTCTGATTTCAGTGGTTTTAATATAAGTGTCTCTATGGATTGTAAGTTAGAACATCTTAGCAATTTTGATCCTCTATTTCAAACCGCTGTCCCGCAATCACTGACATTTTAGCGAAACTCATTATTGAATTGTAGGTAACTACTCGCGCACGGCAGCTGGCTCGTCTCCCAATCAATGTTACTTGATCCGCGTTAATTGGTCAGACCATCTGCCTCTGCTAAAATATCGCAAAATATCCGTAGTATCCACAGGCGCGGTTTTCTCTACGAATGCTTGTTTTTCTATCTACACCTGCATAAGCTTCTTTAGCTCTGCATTTAGAAGGAAAACAATTTGCGTGAAAAAATTTTCTTCCTTTGTGTGTCTTCAACGACCACATGATCACATATCGACCCTCGAGTTCCACTTACACGGATTCATAGTTTTTCACCCCTATTTAGTAATAGTTTAAACTAAACTTTTCAAGGGAGGGATGAAAAACACTTTTTTCTTCAGTTTCTAAGGTCATCCTGACATTTCTAGAAGAAAGACAGTAATCACATTTATAACTTCTAGTATTTTGGCGGATTTTTCATGCTTTGCGCGCATTTTTAATCGCACAAGTTTGCTATGCGGTAAATTTTTTGTCTATTCCTAGGTCACTATTGCTGAGAGAAATGCAGGGACTTTGAAACTAGATGATTGCAGCTTCATCATAAAAGGTGAAATGATTTTGCTATTCTTCGATACCGTCTCTTGCTAAATTTCGCTGGTGCGATAATCAAGATCGGCTTACTGCTGTAGTGTGTTGCCGGTATCCGCGACCAACACTAGAAATGTTGAATTGTACAGGGTCAAAGAAGTATCAATAGTCATCAATCACATAATTAATCAATCATAATCAGCAATCATAATCATCAATCATTCATCGTCATCAATTGTGATTATAAATCATTTAAAGCAATCATGAATGTGTCTTCCATCCTGGTGTGTATGCAAAAGTTGCACCGTGTTATTTTTCGTTTGTTGCCATAAAGTTCTAACTGGGACGTGATGAAAATATGTTTTTAGAATTTTGACTGTTGACCACACATTATAAAAGAACACTATGAAATAACTCTGGGTGAAATATTACGAATTGGGTGAGATCTGGCCAATGAAAGTTTTTGGTTTGCTAACAGTTATTTTGGCTTGGTTGGTAATGTCATGAACTACAAGGCTACAATGATTTTATAGGAAAAGAGCTAATACTCAAGTGGCCATATCTCAGCTAATTTTAGCATTTTTAACTGATTATGCGTAGATAGATGTTTCTAATGAAGCTCTTTCAGATTCTGTAATCCAATTAATAGATTCGTCAAATATTTTTGGTGACGTCATCACGTATTACAGACATTTACAATTCCCCCCTTTTGAAGTCTACTTAACCTTAATCTTTTGAAGTAACAAACTTCTGAGAATATTTTGACGCAAACTTTTATTTCGTGGTTGCAAAACGATTCATTTTATTTCCTGTGGGAGATAACAGAAAATATTCCAGCGCAGACTGGACATTTTTATGGTTTATCGAGAATGTTTCTGTATCACGGCGTATCTTGTCATATCCTCAAAAATAGAATTGGTGACCATTATCTGCAGAAATATTTGCCTTTTTGTATGGAACTACACATTTCGGGAATAGTATTTGGTTGAGCTAGTTTAAGGGAATGTCATCAATGTTCTTGCATTAATTGTGTTTGTGAAACTGTTATTCTGTGAGTTGAAGTTTTTACTGATTTTACGAACTCAACATAAAGACCATCAAGATGATAAGCCATTCAATTTAAGGATGATTCTTCTGAATTTTGGGGGGTACCTAAAGTAGTCATGGAGGAAAAATGTGTTTAGAGCGGGTTGACAAGAAGAGCAAGTTAATTGATTAACATTTCTTATAACCGCGGACCGATCATTTAGCCTCTTTTTTATAAACAAATCTTCTTAATGATGCTATCTGTAGTAGCGACTATTTCTGGGTAACGCTAGTGAGTTTTACGATATTTTGTCAGGCTTTTGCTTTGTTAGAAAGTAAGAAATGGTCAAACATAAATAGAAACACTCCTTTTAATGTTGTTGGGAAATATTAGAAATAGGTGCAAAAAGACCGTGCTTTTTATCTAAAACATTTTTAACTTTCATTATCCTATGGCAATTATGTCTCATCTTCGATTAAGATTTTTGATCATCTCAGAAATTTCACTACTCGGTTTCCTTGTCAAGTTTTTTTTGAGAAAAAAAGCTTGCTTTGTATCGAGATTTAATCTTGCTTGTTATTCTGTAGGACTGAAACTGCAAGGAGCTGAGTGTGCCAAGAACAAACTCTCTCTGTGCAACACGATCACCACAGACCTTCCGGATACATGCCTGACTTGGAAGCATATCGTTCCGGGCGAGACTGTGGACGAAACGAATGTTGTTCAGTTGCCTGTGTACTTAAACCAAACACGTGTCGAACTTCTGTTCACAGTGGATATTACGACAACAGGAGAGGTGCCTTCAAGGTCATTCTATGAGCGTGGTGTAGCATTTTTGTCTTCTTTCCTGACTGGATGATCCAATAGACAGTTTTTGAGACTATACTCTTATTCTTTCGATTAAAATATTTTGAAGCTTTCTTACTGATGCATTGAGCTGAAGTAAACAAGCATCTGTAGTTGGCTTATTTCCCCTATGGAAACAGCCTTTCGTTACTGGGTGTGGCATATCAGCAATCATTCCAGCAAACCATTCATCACAACTAAAAAATCTGCAGTTCGTTTCAAGGTTTGATAGTTGACAGGACAAAACATATGGTATTAAATTTTTAACCATCATGAAATAGAAGGAAATTCAACAGCGTGAAAAGGGTTGGTGGTAATGTTGATTTCTGCCTGCTTTTAACCTTGATGTTTGCAGTGAAAATAAATTATTTTGGCAGATATGAGTTTTGTATTCAATAACCCAACTTCCAGTACGCCAATTTGATTTTTGCTCAAGTTGGAGTTACTGCTGAAATGCCCATTCTCCTTTAGGCCAACCTTGATAATGTTACTCTAGCATAACAATGTGTCTCAAAATCAACCGTTTCTTTTTTGAATTAAAATTCTATTTTGGTCGAAGAATTGTCAAACTTTCTGACTTTTTAACTATACATCGTTTGATAAAGGTTCTTAAATCAGGGGAATAATTAAAGAATTATTTCTCGAAAAGCAGAAAAGTATTAACAATATTGGGCTCTACGGGAAGCTTTGAAGTCATGAAAGAGTAAAGTCCTCCGTAAAAAAGCAGTGACTGAAATGCACCGAAGCTGTGTGCTGCCAGCAAACTATTTTCCTGTGTCTTAAAAGAAGTTTTATGGCTTTTAACTATTTTAGGAATAAAAAACGAAAAGTCTTTCGTTTCTTGAAAGTCTAGAACCAGTCTAGACCTTTGAAAAGCGACAAATATTGGTAGTCAACCAAATGTCTAGAGATTTGAAAGTTTTATAAACCAATTGCACTTTGTTTCATAAAAGCTGACAAGGCCTTCAACAGGTACTCTTGTAAGTTTGTTATGCACTGTGATGAGGTTTTCGTAGAAATAGGCCTATGTATTGAAAGCGAGCGATGTGGTTGTGGTTACGGTCGTGTTATCATGCAGTCACTGGTACATGCCTTCGCTGCAAGGTTACCTCAAGACGGCGTCAATATACAGCGCGTCCATTGAGCGCAACAATGAGATTTTCGATAAGAGTATCGAGCCTCGTCATTTCGTATGAATAAGTCATTTGAGCTCACCACAATGTCATTTCGACCACTTTCTTTTCAAGTGCTCTCTGATTGTCATTCACTTTTGGCGATTTTATGCCTTCCAAAACATCGCTTGTTATATAAACGCCGGGTAGGTAGGCGGTAATGATGAACGTTGCGTTGATTCAAGACAAAGGCGCTTATTTTCAGCAAAGTTAGAGTGATTTGTTATCAGCATTGTTCAAGAACTCGTTTGTTTAAATAACGCGTTTCCTTCACTTCATATTGCATGTTTATTCTTCGCGTACCGTTCTGCGTCCAAGGGTGATACGCAAAACTTCATTCACCTGAGAATATCACTTCTTGATTAGTAGACAGGAGGAGTGGTGATGACGTCACCGTTTTGTTTTGACTACATCCCCATTTTAATACGGTTTTAAGCTGCTGTTTTTGAAATGAACGAAGAAGAAAAGTCCTTCGTGTGTGATTATTCACTGTGATCTGATCATTAATTCGAAATTCTATGAAGATTTCAACTGCCCTTCTTTCAAACAAGATCTCTTTGACCTGCCTCGTTAATCCCGCTAAACACGGTCAACGTCTTACTGTAGTGGCTAGGCCAGTTTTTCATAGGCCTTAATGGGATCTGCACCTAATTAATTCGTCCGTTTCTAACTCGCTGCTCGCATGGCGTGCGAATGCGAGCCTAGCCGAGATGATGAGGAGCACACGAAACGAAGCTCGTTAAGTTATTATTAATAATAGCATGAATAAAAATAAATGACCAATCAATTATGATTGAAGGTTAAAGACATTAGGTTGAAGATCCGATTGATTCTGTCGAAACTGAGCAGTTGGTCTTGCTAGCGGTCATTTGTTCGGCTCCTTTCACAGGCTGTTCTAGGAGCGACGCAGCAATAAGTGACAAATTTAAAACAATTTTGCACATTTATTAGTTTTTGAGACACTACGTACAGTGAAGAAATCATTTACACAAAAACAGACTGGTGAATAACCTTTGTATGAATCTGCCTAGTGTATTGTTCGGGGATGTTTTATTCAGCAAAATAAAGCCAAGTCTCTTATAACCAAGATTTTTATAGGCAGTACTTGACTGTATAGAGATGAAGGAGTTTTTTCATTTTTGATTCCTTTCTTACATACATTTGAATAATGTTTTCTTTGAAACAGACAATTTTTTCTAATCTTTATGAATGAGGCTACTTGCATATTTTGCAGATTTTATTAGAAGAACCTCCCAGCTCTTAGCAAGAAATGGTTTACCTAATCCTAAAAGTGAATAAAAATTGTTGCATAGGGGCCAGTAATGTGACAGCTGCAAGTGGAATATAGTGCATAACATTGGTGAAATAAAGTCGTTCAAAGCATGGCGTGGTATTGAAAAATTGCGAAAGGGGACAATTCTTTAATACTGGTAGACCGCTCTCTGTAATTTTTCCATAGGCCTTCTACCACCTACTGCGGAGTTTGGCGCAATGCAACCATTGTTTCGTTTGATTAATTCCACTCCTAAAACGGAGTTCATCACTTAAAGAGGTCCCCTGGACCTCGAGGCCCCAGGGTAGTATGCTTCCCTGCCTCCTTTTGGCCGCCCAGCTCTCGAATATATTAGTTCTTTCAAAGGTAACTAAGCATAAAAGATGATAACTGCGCACGCGCACGCTCGTCAAGGTGACCAAACGATTCGATTTTCATTCGACGACACCATTTTCACTTGACTTTTTTGATAGAGATCAAACTTCACTCGACGCCATTCGACTCGCTCGACAAGGTGGCCAAACGACTCAATTTTTCATTCGATTTCTTGTTGAGTGAAGTGATCGAGTGAAAAATCGAGTCTTTTGGCCGGGGCTTAACATGTAGAGGAACAATTTTCTCCTTCCTCCTTTTGTTTTTGAGAAATTTTGGGACAGGGGCACCCCTTTAAGGGTAAATTCACACAGTATGAGTGTTCATAACTATGCTGCCATCATCAGTACAACAGTTGGATCATGGCATATACGAAACAAGAAAGCAATAAGCAATACTGATACATCAACATAAAAATATGACTGTTAGCTTTCAGTTTTATTTATCTTGATAAATAACAAAACAAATATCTTCTTCAACTTGTTGTATATTGAAAAGTTGACTTGTTGCTTATTAAAAAGTCATAGGCGAAGCCAAAAAATTTTGGAGGGGGTACAGAACTGCTTTTTGCCGACAAAATAGTGTTTCTCACTATTTAAGGGTGTAGTCAAAAGATAAATACTCTTATATGCTGCTTTTATGCATTTCTGTTTCAATGTTCATACTTTAGTTCCATACTTTTAAAGTTCAGTTACTACAGAAATGTTAATACATCAAAATTGTTGCAAAAATGTTACAGGGTGAGAGCAAAAGCTGCTTTTTTTGCCCGGCAAAATCCCTTAATGTGCCGACGGATAAATTGTTCGGGGGGTGCCGCCTTTCCCGCACCCCTTTTGGGGACGCCCCTGTAAAAAGTATGTAGAGGATCTTTTGGAAAATCCTGTTTCTAATTCTTCAGAAATGGAATGAAAACATCCATGTATACAGGGGCAATAACGAGTTGCAGCATTCTGTCCTGAGTTGTCTTCAAGCTGCCCCTTTTTGAGCTTTCAAGTGCCTTTTTTTAAATTTAACCATCTTGAACTGGGCCCTCCTGGGAGGTTAGACTTTAAGACAATATTGATGAGGCAAACTGTCATGATGCACGAAAATAATTGTTATAGACAAATGATGAAACGTCCCCCCCCCCCCTTAATAATAAATCAAGTATAGAGTTATTACGAAGGGGATGGGAGTGTTTTCAAAATCTTTTGAAGAACAAAAGGTTTTGATTTTACAACAGCATGTTTTTAGAGATAATTCATTAAAAATTCCATGTCTTTGTTTTCTTCTTCAACAGGTCTTATGCGATTGACTCACGCAAGTTTTATGCGATTCGTATGGAATATTTCAACCTCACCAGAAAGCTGCTCCCGTTTTCATATCATACCAAAAGTCTTTCCCCGGATTTTTATATTTCACATTGGTATAGATGTGCTGGATTGTATTTTGAAGAGCGAAAAATCCCAAATCCCTCAAATCAATTTTTCGAAAGTAAGGAAGTCGATTGTTTCAAAAGAATAATTCAGATCTCAATAGGATTTCCACATATGAATGAATTGAGAGCTAATTCAAAGTTTTTTGTCTTGGTGACAAAGAAGTTTTGGAGACAAACAAGACGAATTTGTAATCTGTTATTCTCAGGAAACCTATATGTGCACGAACAGTGATGCAACACGTATAATTCTCTTTATACCGTCAACAATTAGACAGGAAAATAATTCTAAAGTTTCAAAGGTGGTTTTTACATAGTCATTGTTACTGATGCCAGAAAATTTTTCATATTTTTCAAAGTTATTTCATTGTTTCACACAAAGCATCTCTAAGCACAGCATAAATCCCTATGATGTTCAAAATGGTTTCACATGCAGCCGAAATTGCTTATAAATTTGTATTTGTTTTAGCGTAACGAGATAAATTGTGTTAAAGAATATTCTTTCACAAAAACTCACTTTAAAAAAAACCTCATATTGTCTCCCTTACCACAAAAGACGAAAATTACTAACATTGGTTTTTTTCTCAACATTGCTCTAATCCCCTCCACAATCTCTTTTAGTCTGTTATCATCAGCGTCTCCTTAACATGGCAAAATAGCACTCTAAAATCTCTGAGCGGCGCAAAATTTGCACACCATATAAATGAACGAAAAGAGTTACTTTCATGACTAGTATTTTGGTGATTCAGCCCACTCTATTGACCTGCAAGTACGTCAGTGGAGTTTAACAAATGATGCATTGCAGTATCTTATTTTTCGTTTATTAAATGCAACCTGTTTCCTACTTGTAATCATACTATCTTTATTTTGTTTTGAAACTTGAAAACACCTTTTTTTAATATAATGCATATCTTTTCCCAAGGAGATTCAGCTAGGGAGTGGAAGAGATGGTCAACTAGTGGTGGAGATAGAACCTTTCGAGTGGTGGGTCAGGAGGGTTAGGGCAATTAACTTTTCTGTTTCTTGTTAGAGCCGCAATTTCCTTTCTATTCCTCTTATAAAATTCCCCATTTCGAGGAAATTTTCCAAGCCTTGTCAGTTGGTAGGGGAGGGGGGCACAATTTCTGCCATAAGCCTTTGGCTATTAAAAAGGGAAAACAGCTTTTAACAAAGAAAGTTCGCCGTAGCTGGAGGCAGTTGCCCCCCCCCCCAAAGCTTGCATGCTTTATCCTTTATAACCACGGAAATTGTTGTTCCGGTTACTATCCTTCATGCATTTCAACATATCCTATCCTATCCAACAATTTTCCAGGATATAGCCTAAAGTTGAGGTACTTTCACTTAAAAGATAGAATATTTTCAATCAAAAATTTTATTCAGTATGACCGAATATACGACTGTTAAACGTGAAGCAAGAATCCTTGTAGACCCTCCTGGAAATAAGGAATGACGTCATTGAACTTGCGGTTTCTGTTCCGCGACCTACCCTGAGTGAGTCTTGTACCCAGGTTATTCCGGACCCTGCCCAGCTGACTATTTTAGGTGCAATTCTAGGAAGAGCTACTGGATAATTGGATGATAGTCATGTGATGACGCACAGCCCTGCCGTGTTTGTTTACAGATTTTTTGCGAATGTCAACCATTTCTTGTCCATTCTTGTCAACCATTTGGGAATGTGAACCATGTCGAGTAGGGGCTTTCCCATGAAAGAGGCAGTTGGATAACGTCACCTCACAACTTTCTGCCCTACCCAATGCCAACAGTAAAATGTTTCCTTTGTAAAGTGCTTATCATTGTTAAGTTTTTCTACAATTTGAAATATATTGCAAGAATTGATGCTTCTTTGATATGCAATAAATGTTTAACATGGGCTCCGACAAAGGTTGAAAAGTGGGGGGGGGCAAGGGAAAATTTAACACCCATAACAAAAGATTTTGAAAGAAACTCTATTGTTTTTCAAAAATATGGGGGCAAGGCCCTCCGCCCCCCTTCGTCGGAGGCCCTGTTTAAAATCAAAACGAAATCATGGTTTCTACAGCCTCGCCTTACTATGGGAGTGACCCAAGAGTATTGGGGAAATGCCAGTAAAAACCGCAGGTGGCTCAGTTCAACCCTTTTCTATTTCTGTTCTGTGGTTCAACAACAGCTTTTCTATATTTGGTATTTTGGTCCCATTATGTTATTTCCAGGTCACGTTCAACTGCTTTCAACTCTTTTAATGTCTATAAATTCATACTAGCGAAAATTATTGGCTATTTCCTACTATGTGGCTATTCCCAAGTCTTTTTACAGGATTAATAGATAATTTCCACATTTCTATTTCCAAATTAGAATATATTTCTATTTCGAACGAGGTAAACATAGATGAGTCGGGGAGAAGCCTAGAAATCCCAGGAATGGCCAAATTTTTAATAAACTGCGATTAAAAATTTATTCAGGGCATCGAACTACCCCTTCCGGGAGTGATCCTACTCAATTCCTCGTGCCACATGAAATTATAGCCCATTATTTTAACACATTTTTGCAGAATTTTGGCTTCAAACCATTCTAACTACACACCAGATACTTCTTCCTAAAGTGAAGCGTTCTGGAAAAGCTTGAAATCTTGTTTAACAAGAAGAGGTTAATTTTTAATTCAGTATACATATCACGTCCCAAACAAGATCACCAGACAGAAATGTTAGGCCTTTCGAGAAAGATTATTGAATCACAATAAATCCTTTTGTATTCGGACAATAGACAAAGGAAGGATTAACCAATGAAATCTAGCAACTCAGGGATTTGGAAACAATAGTTATGCAAATGAACGAAATCATCGTGAATTCAGTCCAGACGAGGTTGTGATCCGGAACCGAAGTAAGGCGGAGAGGCGAGTTTATCCAAGTATTTCGTACTTCAGTTCCGTTAAAAATTGCTAATAATTAATTGGAGAGTTGTTTTGAAACTTATTTTTACACTTAGAATATTCGTAGCAAATCTGGCAAATTTGATGAATCGATTACGTGGATTCGAAGCTGCGCTAAACTAGTCCATCTCTTCAGACCGTCGTTGACGCACCGAATTGGTTAAACACAAGTTTGTTGCTTACAGCTGGGATGTTATTTCGAAGTCTGTGATATACAACGAAAGGACTGAAAGTCGTACTGTGATAGTTTCTACATGAGTGTTATACGTTAATTTGCGAAACATACTTCCAAATATATTCGGATCGAATAATACGGTGGGAAGACGAAGTGTAAATGTTCTGTTCGTATTAACAAAGCTTATTGAAATTTGTCAACATTTTTTATTGCGCTATGGATTTTTAAACGTTTCGAATTGATTGGTTCGTTATGAGGAGAAAGAAAGTACCTCTTCGTTCCTGGGCGCCAAAGATGATGCTTTTTGTCGTTTATTTGCTTTGTCATGGACTTGGGGTTATCACTGTCACAGGTATGTTGCCATTCAAGCGTCCTTTGAGTTCAACCTCTCTTATTTTTGTATTTCAACTGTTTTTGATACATAATTTAGTCCACAATAAGGCGTTGTCAGATTTCTGCACAAAGGTCCTTTATTATTTCATGTACCGTCTCTTATCTTCTGCCAACATCCAAAACCTCTTCACGGGACCAACGGGATAAAACCTTTTTCAGAGAAAAAGTCGTAAAATTTGGGGCTGTGATTTTCTCATAGTATTTTCTAATTTTTTGGGCAAATTTACTACGTTTTTCCTCACTCCGGTTAATATCATCCCTTCTTTAAAGTTTCCAAATCTGTCTGTCTGTTTACAGACCCTTTTGTCATGTAAAATAGCCAATATTGGTTTAATGCAATTGTCCGTGACAAGTAGATTTAGAAAACACTAGTACCTTTTTCAAGCTTGAAAGGCTGAGTTTTGTATTTGGTCTTATTAAACGAAGAGTTTTTACTGTCTACCAATTTGACGAGGAACCTGAGATATAAGCAGGCAGCTTGAGTTATTGATCGCATCCGGAATCATAAACTATTTCCTGGTATATATTAAAGGTACCAAAGCCAGTGAATGCCCGTTTCTCGAAAACTTCGCTTAGAAACATTTCATTCAAACACGTAATGATATATAGATTATTTCTGTATAAATTGTTAATGTTACTAATCAAAAAAGGGTTGGAAGCTGGAGCTATTATAAGTAAAGCAAATAATATCTTCTGACGAATTTTTTTTAATCATTTTAAATAATTATGGCAAGTATAGTGATCATTGACCAGTATAGTATAGTTTTCACAGTTTTTATGCATAGTTGAAGAGAGCTTGAGTATAATTTTGTTTTTTACCTTACAAAGGCACAATTGTTTTTGTCATCAAGAACTGGAGTTTTGCCAACTGAAAGTCTCTCAATATCTACATAAAGGGGTTTCTTTAAACAAAAACAGCAAAATATGCCAGTCAAAAGCAGAGGCTGGTTCCAAGATTGTTTAAAAGTTTTAAAAAATAATCATGTCCCTTAATTACCTTGAAATGTGGCATGAAATAAAAAACAGTTTTGTTTGAGTCTGGGATATTTTTAGGTGTTGAATAAAATTGGAAAGAGACAATGCCTTAGAAGCCAGGATAGATATAATGTTTTTTAAAACTGTACCAAAAAACAGTTATGCACTTGCCTTTGATTTGCCTTGTCAATTTTACTTGTAAATTTCTCAAGGCTGTTTCTCAGGTTTGTGCCAACTTGATTATAGATGCTTGAAGGTAGACTGGATGTTAAAGGAACATCTACTGTTTTGTATCAGTTTTGAAGTCAGCCTTAAAACTTAAAGCCAGGAAAGATTTTCCCTCTAAAATATATAAAAGAAACTGGCAATATTGCACAAGGAGAACTTCATGGTGGACATAGCGAATCTAGATAGAGATTATGTATTTCTGGATGTCATATTTGTAGGAGAGCCTTCCCTGACCCTAGACCACCTGTGATTGTTAATACAGTCAAAAACTGCTTAAGGTGTATGTGATGAGGTTAATTGGATTATCTTATCTGGATTCTATAGTTTTGCCAACATCATAACCCTCTGCTAAATTCTTCATATTTTCTTTACTAATTTCTTGTACAAGTTTTGGGGGCCTTTATAAAGAAGAGGGCCTATTTCAAGTTTCTGCTGGTAAAGGGGGCTTATATAAGGTCTCTTTGTGCAGCAAAATTCTCTGTTTTCCCCTTTTCGGGGAAATCTGTTGTAAAAAACAATAAAAATTGTTTATATCATTCTCATTTACTAAGATCATGCAGTTTTTCATTTTTGCTAAACTCAAATTATTCAGTCATGAATTAATTAAAAATCTGCAATGAAAAATATGTTTTCTGCATTTAGTCAATTATATATGCATAAAAGCAGGTATTGTCCAATCGGATTTACTCCTAACAACAGGATTTAAGACTGTTTAATCCATAATCATCATATTGCTTTTCTTTATGTGCACTGAATCCCATTTCTCATAACTTTACAAAAGTTGGACATCAATGTAAGGCAGTGTTTTCTTGTGTGGTGATGGACTTCTATGTAAAAACCTCTTTGTTATCACACCTGCTTAAATTTCACCTGCAGTTTTTGAAATCTTGTCATTCAATTTTTGTTTTGTCCTTATGTTTTGTTGTTAATTGTATTCACTAGATGTATTTGAATTGTTAGTTTTTATTTGTGTAAGGTATTTGAATTAATTTTAACCTGTTCTTGAGCATGTCATTGAATACCTACAATGAGTAGGGTTCTTGTGAAAATCTTTTCTACCTTTACACACTATACTTGACACTGGGAATAATAGTTTTTTTAAGATCTATCTAGAAGCCTTATTGTATGGAAGGTAATCAGGTTCAGGTTCAGGTTCATTATATTTTAAATTCCACAACATACATTCCACAAAATACTAAATAAAAATACAGCAATATCAAATATCAAACAATCATTATAACAATAAGATAAGGAACCTAATAATCACGGCATCTCCTAACCATTGAACACATTTGGAGCCTGAATTTTGTCTCTAATTGATGTTATTTTCTATTTCTCTGCACATTTTCAACAAATAAAGAAGTATTATTTTTGGATGCTTTTAAGCAAAGTTAACTAAAGCTGCTGGATGCAAAGGCTATCGCTAGTTGTCAAGGTGGGACATGGGACAGACCACTGTGGGTCCTTAGTTGAGGAAATCCCAAATTACTCTGGATAAATTTGAACATTTTTTTAATGGTTATAGCAGCTTCTGCTTTATCAAATACTTCGTTTGGAAGATGCTTTACACAATCACAATTGAAATAAAATGTACTTCTGCTTCATGCTATAATTCTTTCAATTGATTGCTAAATGATGGAAAAAACTATACATCACTATCACATGAATTTTAGGCAAAGAAGGAAGCAGCCCTCTACCAATACAGGTCAAAATTGGAGACACAGCAAATTTTACTTGGTATTACGGCAAATATTCTGTTAATCCTAATGAAGGAACAATTAAGGTTGGAAGATCTGAAGATGGTATTGTCCTCTCTTTTGTAATGGCTGGCAAGTTTGGTAACCAAGAACCAAGCATCTCTACACAACTGAGTGAAGCTGAAAGAGCTAGAATTTTGTTTGAGGTAGACACCAAGGCAGCAACTGCCTCATTTTATTTGAAGAATATCCAGAAAGAAGATGAAAATAAAATATATGGAATAGAAATGGAATTTGGTGGCACATTGACGAAGGAATGGAACATTATTAACATAGTTGGTGAGTGTTTTTGTGTACTTTTTATCATTCCTCAAATCATTCATTTTTGTCATTCCTTTCAGGAATTTGAGAAGTTTGTTTGACTTAAATTAAGTACATTGTTCAAATTTAGAGTATTCATATGTAGGAAAAAATATTTGATTATTTTTATTGAAAAGATTTCTACATCTATCTCATTGAAAAGATTTTAAATACACAAAGACAAAGAATGAATTTTCGTTATTGCTTAACATAATTGATGGTTACAAAATCTACTTTTCAAAGTTCCAAATTTTAAGTTCAAGCATTTCAAGAGTTTTTAAAAAGGTTGTTTGCATTTTTTTATAAATGGCCTATTTTCAACATCTCTAATGTCTGGTTCAAAAGTTTATGATATGAATAATGTTTGTATCAAGTTTTCATCTGAAAAATGTTGTAAAAACGCTGGCTGTTAAATGCAGGTTAAAAATGCCAAAGAATCCAAGTGCAATATTGAACATAATTTTTCGGACGATGGCAAGCTTTTAAGTTGTGTTTGCAATATCGAAGATTTTCTTCAACGTTACGTTAATGACGAGTAATTAATAAGAGCTACAAACCATTTCGATAAGTGGCGATAAAAAAGTGGAGTCTTGCCTCGCAAAGCTCGAATTTCTTTCAAAAAATTAGCCACATAGATTTTTGCTTTTCGTGAAGAATATTTAAATTTTAAACTATTCGTTTTGGCAGTTTTAGCCTCTTAAGAGCATGTTTTTTAATCAATATACTGGAAGCAAAATCCATTTCCTTATAATTCCCGCCGCAGTTTAAAAATTTATTATGAGATTTGAGAAGAGCACGAAAAATGGCGCTATTTTAGTTACACGTTCAGCATTAAGGTTAGATTTTTCTTGTTTTCTAGTTTGTAGTTAAGACAAGATTAAAACGCCGAACTTTTCCCTAAGGAGGTGGATCATGTTATTTGTAAACACAAATAATTTACACCAAAGTATTACAAATTCAAAGAAATGAAAGATCTCTTGTAATCTTTTTCCTTTCTGAAAAAATAAGGTATTAGAATGAAAATCCTGCATTAAAAAATCTGCATTTTTCAGACATAAATGTATGGTTTTCTCTTAACACCTTATTATAATATAAACCTATTTACGGGGAGTTTTTAATGATTGTCGTTCTCGCGTAACCAAGTAAGATGTCGAGGATTAGTGATGACATCACCGCTCTAGGATACTTTGTAAATCCATGGCTCAAGAAGCCCTCAGTTAGTGAAAGCACCCAACTGTCTTCTGCTGCTCGCATTTCCCACGGCTTTTACTTCTCCTCCAGTTTTTAAACGCAGCATTATTGAAGTCTTTAGCATAAGTCCTGGAACACACTGTAATTCAATGGCTCTTTTTCTTGTCACTTTACGGTGCTAATATCATAGGACCTCAGTAGAAAAGGAGCTATTTTTAATTTTACTGTTGCAACGTCTCCTTATTAGACTTGGCCTAAGCAAGCACTTTCCATTTGACTCCTGCCCTAAGCTAACATCGACCTTTTACGCCGGTTTTTACTTCGCATCGGCCATTTTTCGCCGGCCTTTTGTTTACTGCGGTCCTAATTACCATCTTTTTTAATGACTTTTAGGAGTCTTATAGGCTTTGTTTTGTCTAATGAGCATGCAAACCGCCAAAGAAGAACATGATGGCCCTACATTATGACCCTTAATCAACAACTTAATGGTTTATATTTATGATAAGCTGATCTTCGCTAGGAAGCAACAATACCCAAAAACTCGAACTGACACAAACCAGTAAGCCAACCTGTTTCAAAATTCTTTTCTTTTTCATCGAAGGAAGAATTTTCAAGGAATTTACATCCACATCTCCAAATGAATCAAAGAAGAGTTAAATGATCGAATCTAATTCTAAAATCTAATTGCAAAAATTTTTCACTTTTGGGGGTAGGTTCTGGTTTTTAGAAAGTTTCTTTTGAGATGTTAAAGTTCGAAGCAATGTTTGACTCACTTCTCATTTTTTTTGCTTGTAGAACCACCCAAGTTTGTCTCGAAGTCTTCTAATTTGTTGGAGGTGAAGGAAGGTGATACAGTGACGCTGAATTGCGAAGCAATTGGGAAACCGACCCCTGAAATTCAATGGAGAGCTAAAGAATCCACGAAGGTGCTGGCTTCTGGTTTAGGGAAGAAGTCCTTTGTTGTCACTGCAAACAAAACACATCATGGTGCTTTTGAATGTTTGGCCTCAAATGTTGCCGGAAAAATATCACATACTACTTCCCTAATTGTAAATTGTAAGTAATATAGACTTTTTCGAAATCTTTAATGCAGCACCGAATTAGCATAATAGTGATAATGTACATATGTCATGATCACTCAATTCCCAGCCCTTCGTTAATGGTTGACAGGGCCTGCAGCCTCTGCAAAAATGTATTTCAGCTACCAGTCCGTCTACGCCATGGTCAATTAGACAAGATGTTATTTACTCTTTTAATGAAAATCATATTCCAACATTGATTTGTTTGAATTTAGCTACAATTAAGTTGAATTTTAAGCACTTGCATTGGAGCTTGATAATCGCATTAAGTGTGAAAGTCGTCGTTACTGTTAAAACCCGTCTTTATCTACACACAAAGCCTGTTCATGACCTTTATATACGGCGTTACTCTAGACTGATATTGACTGTTGTGTGACTGTGCCTGTGATATTGTGATATTGTAGTAAATGCTGCTTTTTAGACGTTCCTACTATCGATGTTGCCAAATCATCTGCAACTCTGTACTCCTTTGTTGATAACCCAAATCCGGTGACAATGGAATGTTTTGCCGACGGCAGACCAAAGCCAGAGTACTATTGGCAGAGTAATTTCGGGCTGAATGTTTCTAAAGAATCAACGTATACATTGGTGAAACCAGCCTCTGCGGAGCTCGGTGTTTCCTACAAATGCTATGCTTGGAACAAAGTCGGCCGCTCAAGGCCTCACAGCGTCAAGGTCGTCAAGTTAGGTAAGTGTTCTGCACCGGGCGTTTGTACAGTGTGAAACTCTGAAGGTGTTTGCTATATTTTGAACTGAAATGGATTGGCTTTCGCACATTCGTATATAAGCTTTATTAAATCAAATAGTTTACGCCTTTGGTAAGTAGATTGGTCAAGTCATTTTTTATTTTTTCTTATGATTTTCTTAAAAATGTCCCCAGGAGCCTTACCCTTTCTCTGGCCGCTCTCTAAACCTTTCATTACTTTTCTGTGCGGTTTGTTATCTTTCAATCAATTTTTATGTTATCTGTATCGTGCTTTTTTCTTGCCTTTTCCCTCATTTTCAGAAAGACCTCTTCATTAATGCTTCCTGCCTTTTCCTAGCCTGAACTTCCTTGTACAAAAAAGGATTTAAAAGCAGTTATATAGTGACATCAAGCGTAACTTAGAAAGTACACCTCATACTCTGTGTCAAGCATTATTTTAGGCTTTGCTAATCTCTTATGGACCCGGTCAGTTTTTTTACTCAGTCCGAGATTTAACACCACGTTTCTCCCTTGGCAGAGAGACCTGGTACGGTAGATGCAAAAATCACCAAAGTGACGGCAAAGACCCTCTCTGTACAATGGGTGTTGCCAAATGACACTGGTGGTGCTACCCTAGTTGGAGTGAGACTCCTTGCGTCAGGACCAGACAGATTTTTAAAAGAACTCAACTTCGGCCCTGAAGTAACAAATACGACACTCCAGAATCTTCAGCCATTCAGCGAGTATGGTTTTGAATTTATTGCCAAAAACCAAGTCTTAGAAAGCCTGCCTTTCAAAGTCAGAGGAAAAACAGCAGAAGCCGGTAAGTTTGATTTATCATTGCTTGGATTTATTATTATCTCTAGGCTCTGTAGGAGAAAATAATATTGTTCCTAGACCATAATTATTGTTCCGCTATACGCTCATTCCATTCACTACGTAAGATATAATTGATGATTTTTTAATATCCATGAACACTCCTTAACCGCAACCTTTCTCTTTGCTATAAGAAAGATATAATTTTATCTTTTATTATTGATAGTGCATAGATAAAGACATTGTGACTCTAGACTATCATTGTTTTATGTTTTTATTTCCCGGTTAATAATCAAAGCATCTTCTGCTATAGATTAAACCGGCTATTTACGTTAGTTAAGTTCTCAGTGCTATGGATCCGGTCACTTACTTCAGACCGGTCTTAGAATAGATACAATTTTTGAGGTGCGGGATTGCAAGCTAAGTTTCTATAGAGTTGCTGGATTTCTTGATTTTTATAGGGGTCTACCAGTGCCTGAATGTAGATCGCCAGTTTACGGATTGAAGAACTTTCAATCTTTTCTGTTAGAAGACTTTCTTAAAGACTCATTGCTAACAATGAGCCATTGCGCCACACGCAAACAACCCATAATGCATTTTGAGACAGTCTGAAATCAATTTTGGTTTATTCGTAGAAGTTTACTGCCATTATTTGGACCGTCGCCACGCTCGCAAAGGCCCATTGTTAGCAATGAGTCTTAAAGGCAAAACGTCTGTAAATACTATCAAGTCAATATTATTTGAACTAAACCAGGTCCCTGAGTTTTTATGTTTAAAAATAAAAATTTAAATGGACAAAATTTGTGTGCTGCAAAGATCCGCCAAGTTCCGAATCATAAAGAAATGATTTTATTTGAATTATATTCTTCATTTACAATGCAACCGTTTTACAGCTTTTATAAAGTTTTTCTTTATATTGTCAAATAATTATAATTTCCGTTTTTTATCAAAGCTCGTAGTAATTGAATTGCCGCTTTCTTTGTATGTTGCAGAATAACAGATGCTTTATCAATAGAAAATACGTTTTGGGTGTTAAAGATAACTTTTGCATCCCTATGGACACAATCGCCATGTTTACCTTCAATTGAAATGTTATTAATTTCATCAAACAGTTTTATTTCCGAAACATTGTCGTTACCTTAAGCATTCATCTGTATTACATTGTAAGGTTGATTGAATTCATTCTGTTTCTTCCCTTTGCAAGGTTTCAATCGATTCCATATGATATGGATTTTTGTTTTGGTTTTAGCTCCAAGTTCACCAGTAAAGTTTGGGTTTGCTGACGTTGATCCTAATACAGAGAGGCAATTGACTATCTTCTGGTCTCCGCCCTTGTCATCAAATGGAATCATTAGGTATTCTTTGTCTCCATAATTTTTTCAGTCAATTTCAATCATAATCAGCATCATAACCAGCACCATTATCATCGAAACAATTATCATCATCATGATCAACACTGTTTTTGCAGAAGATTTATCTTGTATCCGTTTTTCATATAAACAATTAAAAATGATTTCAATGCGCTTATTGCTATGTTACCCTTCAACCAATCCCCCCCCCCCCTCCCCACCTGCATTCAAGCTCAAAGGCTTGACTCTAGAGTCCATGGTTTATTCAACTAGATTTTTTTGTTAAGATTGCTAAATCCAAGATCTTTGTTTCTGTTCCACTAGCTCTAAATTACACTCTTTTTTACATGAGCACACTTTGCATAAGAATACCAAAGCTTGATTTTATAGTAGTTAACATAGAAAAATAAACGCTGAAGCAAGATGTACATTAAATTAGAAAAGGAGCCTCTGCAACAGTCATCTGGCTTTTATGAAAAAACATGTACATTGTTTTTCAAATTCCTAAGTTTATAGGCCTGGAATCATATTGAAAGTTTTTGACCATTCCAAAAATCCATGAATTGTTTTTAACTCGCGTTCAAGCCAATAGACTGGCAAGCAGTAGTTTATATTTCCCAAAGATTAAAACCACCACCCTGCGCAGAAAAATATTCTACCCTAAAGACAATCATTACATTTTATGTTCTCACATAAGAAATCGGATTCACCCATCTTTTATCAGGAATTATCAAGTCGCCTATGGCTCAGAATCAGGCTTTGACGTCACTAAATCTACGATAAAGAACACAACTAGTAATATAACCGAAATCGTGCTGACTGGCCTAATGCCCTTCCACATGTACTCCGCAAGGGTGCGCGCAGTTACTGTTGAACCAGGTCCTTGGACCAAGGCTCTTACGAAAAGGACGGCATATGAAGGTTTGTCTAGTTTGTTTCTCTCAAGATTTTAATTGTTTCTACCAAACTCTTAAAACTAGGATCATAGCACTGACAATTTTTTTTACGGGAACGTCTTTACGATATTTATTTGTTGTTATACCACCAGGCTTCCTGTGCCTATATTGCTCCATGGAGTAAGTCTATGATTACTCCCTTTGTGGAGAGCTGAGAAATATCTTCAAGCTAACTATGACTGCTGCAAGAGCGTAAATTTGACCTTAAATTCTGAGGTCCAACAAACTTTTCATTTGGCTATTGCTATGATGAAAACCTGTTGCCACGACGACTTTTCGGTAGCATCTTTTTAGTTATTCCTTTAGTATTTAGCATTTAAAGACGGAATCAGGCATATGTTCAGTAGAAAGATCTTCTACTAAATACAGCCTTAGTTTAATGTGAGAATAGACATGAACTTATTAATGTCATTTAATAAGGTGTGACCTATACAAGTAAAATGAAGATATCGCTCTTGTACGTCAAATGTCTTAAGTCTTAATGCTGTCTTATGATTTGTGACCAGATGTAGCTTCTCAGCAGCACGTGCTTTATCCTCGTTTTCTTTGATTAATTTTGCCCTGTATTTTCCCAGACCTCTCCTACTTATCAGGGTTTTCACCGTTCTTATCCCCCTTTGAATGGTATTTTCCGCCATTTTGTCCTTTTGGTGTTTATAACTTGATGTTAATGCCTAAGGATTTTCTCTTTCATTTCAGCCAGCCCCTCTCCTGCCCGTGTTTTTGTATCTATAGCCCGAATCATGGTCTAGCTATACTTATAAAAGGTTACGTCACATTAGATAGAATATATCAAATTTTGCACTATCACAAGCTCTATTGTTGCACTATCACAGGCTCCACCAACCATTGCAAATAAATCCTTTATGTTCAGGAGCCAGGTCTTAAAGGAGAACCTTGTCATTGGTATTTTTTGTTAATAAATCCGTTTGTGATTAATGTTTTTAAGATGAAAGCAATTAATGTTGAAATTCCCTCTGTCTCTTTTTCAGCACCCTCAGCTCCACGAAATCTTACTGTCTTGGAAATAAGTGCAAAGCTGATTCGATTAACGTGGCAGCCACCAAAAGATGTAAACGGCATGGTCAGCACTTCGGAGGCTGATTTTGAGTACAAAGAGCTTGGAAAATGGCATAAACGAAACGAATTGTTTGTAAAAAACCCACAGCTGCGCTCACGTGAGGTCGAGGTTCTTCCATTTACAGAATATCGGTTGCGTGTGAGAGAGGCCACTGGATTGGCGCGCAAATGGGGACCGTTTTCAGAAACATACTCGTTCACAACACCGGAAGGAGGTAAAGTCTTGCCAGCTTCTATACTTTTTTGGCATTTATTAAAAATGAAGAGTGATCGTCGATAAAGTCGATGGTTTTGAATTCCTTCACTTCAATTGCCTAACACTTTCCGGGTAGCTTTCATTCCTTGAGCATTTAAATTTGAAATTATGTTATACTGCTCAGAGTCGAAAGTTTCCTCCTTATTCCTGAAGTTTGTTGTACCAACTTTTTAGGATGCACTGTTAAGTGTTTATAATTTTTCTCTCACGTCTAATTATCTGATTGGAATGACTGGGGAAAATTCTGTGAGTAGTTTGCCTCACATTTAAAGTGTTGTAGAACTACTGCCTTTCGGTTTGTTATCGTTTGTTTCTTTCTGAATCTTCGATTTAAAAATTTTTCCCCGAAATTATTGTTTTCAAGCTTTTTTCATTCGTGGGCCGAATTCTTGGCCACACCCTTCTACGAAGCTTTCGAACCAACCAATCACCAGAAGCAATCAAAGTTTCTTCTGATAGCATATTATGTTGACAGTTTTTGTGGCAATTGCCTGCTATTACCAGACAGTGTTTATTGAGATCAAAATGCAAAGGCTGGCTGATTTTCTATGCGTAAATTATATAATTGCTTTCCCTCACTTTCCCACACTTTCCCTCTACGTGATTTTTTAAGCTAGCAAAGTCTGTCATTGTTCTGATTCAGTCAAATTTAAATTTGTTTCAAACTGCACTGATTACGTCATCTATTGTAGTGTCAAAGCGTAAGGTTGTTTAAAAAAATACAAAATTCGAGTACTAGTTGTTTTCACCTGCCCTTTCCGATCAAATTGGCATCTTAAAGTCGGCAAACTATTTAAAATTGCTCTTCTATGAAAAACACAACTAAGCTATTATTCGGTACTCTCTCTCGGTACTGGTATAGGGAAAACCAGGTTATAGCATTCCTAATGTATAGTTGAAGAAACAATACATGTTTACAAGCACGAGATGGCAGGTGTCATTTTGGCTGCCTTTCGTCTGTCCTGCTAATTGACTTTTTTCAATATTTTTCTATTTTAATTTCTAATATAAGCATTAATTTCAATAAAATTTTATGGAACCAAATCTTTGCAATGATTTTGATGTCTGAGTCCTAGCTAATGCGTCGAATAGAGAAAATTGTTGCTTAATTGAGAAAATTCCTTAGTTTCTTTCTGGAAATAAACATAGGCAATATGATTGAACTTCGAAAATTCATTTATAAATTCGATGTTAATTTGCCATTGTTGCTTGTCTGGTTAACTTAAAAGCTGACTGTGGGAAATAACAATTATGACCTTACATTTGTTTTTTACGACTTCATTTGGTAAGAAAATTCCGATTTTTTAACTATTTTTAACTTGACAGAAAAGCTGTTTCTAAAAATTCTATAAAATGCTTAATTGCAAAGGGAAGTCCACTTATTAAAGTCCGCCAGGACCCACTAAGTGATATCTGAATTTATTTAGTCCCAGGAGAAAGAAAGAGAATAGAGTCTTTAAGAAGGTTACAATAGTGTTGTGTTGCAAGCGTGATAGTGATTTCAAGTTGTTTCACACGTGAAGTTGTGTCTTTATAAATAGTCTGTACTGAAATTTTAAGTTCACACGTCGAAAGCTATTTTGCAGATAAGAGTACCTCCCACCCCCCCCTAAGGATATCAGAGCATCTGTACTGTAGTGGTGACTTTTCATTTTACTTGATGTCAAACTTATGTCTAGGTTTTCATTTTCTAGCTAGAGTTATTAGCTCTAGCAATCTTGTGTTAAGTTGTTGATGTTTTTTCTTTTCGTACTCTTTGTAAATTGATTTATGTTTGACATGCCGATGTTTATTCGCAAAATGCTAAACTGGCTAGTACTACTGTTGGAAAGACTCTTATAAGTAATTTTAATTAGCTACTAACTAAATGTTGTTATTTTAGGTTGAATGAAATGAATTAGAAAATAACCTCAGGTTATATATTGCATTGTTTGATTTTATGACGTTGCAGAAAATAACGTCGACATTGAGAATAACATTCCTGTTAAAGTCACTGGAATGACATAAGGGTGCCAGAAGGCAGCATTCCCTATGGGCTAGATCGTTTCTGATGACGCTAACAGTAATGCCATAGGGCTGATCAGGGGCGTAAAAGGATCTGCGAGGTGTAAGGAAAATCAAGAAGCCTATGTTCCCTGAAAAGCAGTTTTTCAGACCAGGGGGGAGGGGGGGGCTTCCATGCCTTGATGAATTGAAAATTCAATTGATCAATAAAAAACTTGATAAGATGGTTTATATCATAGGTAAATACGGATTTAGGTGACTGTTCTTTAAAAATTAGCAAGACGTTTGGACGGCTTAGTGGAAGAAATAGCCAAGAAAACTTTGATTTGATCCAGGGCAGTTTTGTAAATGTTTTGTAAAGTTTGCCAGATTTCTTTCTGTCGTTGTCTTGATTCTTTTCTTGGCGAGTATTTATTGACTCTGTCCATTTATGTAGTCTAGGCAATATGTGGTCGGTCCGTTGCTGGTACATTATCACAAGAATATAGCTCTAATGCCTTTTCAGAATTGTAAGGCTCACACTAAAGTATATTTTATTTTGTCATTAGTCCCATCTGTGCCAAAAGATGTCAAGATAACACACCGCACAGTGAGCTCCATATCGCTAAGCTGGCAACGCCCGGAAAGAAGCAACGGTATTATGACGCATTTCATGGTGTTCTATGAAAATTCAACTCGTAGATACGAAGAGAAAGTTGATTACCATCTCGCCAATGATACATTCAGTCATCAGATTTTGAACCTGCAACTGTCAACAAAATATACCTTAATGGTGGGTAGAACTTTTGTTGTTTTTTCTAATCGATAAGAAAAGAAATACCCAAGCTTGGCTTTTTGCTCACGATAATCTTCTTTACATTTATTTTTTTTACAATCTACCGACGAAATAAAAAGTGGCAATGTCCTTAAAGTATGTTAATATGAAGCATATGAGGTTTCACACAATGAATAAGGTCTCATTAGTTAGAATTTTATTCGACTCTAATTGATTCGACCCCCCCCCCCCCATTCTTAACATTGCTAATGCTGCATTGTTTACAGATTCAAGCATTTACAGCTGCTGGGGGTGGCGAACGCAGTGACCCCATTGAAACAGCGACGATTGCCCCTGTATCAGGTAAGCAATATGATTTACAAAGCATTTTGCCTTGAATCATGCCTCTCTCCCTGCCTTTGAAGTTTTTGCAGCCACTATGGAATCGCGTCACAACAAATTCTGTTGGGAACAGGATTGTGGAATTCTATGTTCTTGGTTTTTTTTTTATTTTTTTCATGTTGAAGCGGAGACATTAGGCTACTTCATTATCATTTTGCGATATTAATGTTTCTGCATGTAGTAACTATAAAAAATGTTGTTTGTTTATCGTTTCAGGGCCACGCCCACGTACAGATGATGAAATATCAGCTGGCCCAATCATCGGAGGAATTTTCTCTTTCCTCGTCATTCTGGTTCTCCTCATCATTCTCATTCTGTTCATTGCAAGGTAATTTGACGTGAATTTAGATTGTGCCAAATTCAATTAAGACCAAGTGTAATCGTGCAAGATAGTCTGGCCTTCCTATCTTGCAATACATACTGTCGCGAAATCCTTTACTGTAACCGTCTGTACTTTGATAATTAACGATATTTTAACAAGCGTGACGCTATACTGTGTCTTTAATGGACGTGACAAAATATACCTTTGCAATTCGCAATTCGTGCCTTTATAAAGAAGTTCAAAATATAAACACATAACTTTTTCGAAAGACATATCATGCTACACATTTGAGTGTAGATCACACCCATCTTGCCAAGGATGTAAAATTTCCTTTCCTCCCTTCACGAAATTACAAGTATAATATCGTTATCTCACTGCCCTGTGCTGTTGTGGTTAAAAATTAAAACGTTAATTGCCACATTACTTGAAAACAATCATCCAGGTAGTTTTCTCTGAGCCGTGGGAAAATAATATTGTGATGTTAAACACAAAACATTCTGCCTTACGTGTAACCAACCTTAGCAACAGTCAGGAATTGGTGTGAGAATTTGGTTTTTCTTGTTGAATTCTCTGTTAGGAACAATACATAAAATACATGCATAGATCTCGTTTATTTGGTTTCAAATTGAAATGTACGTGTTCGAAAACCATTCATTTACATATTTAAATGTAATCGATACAGAAATTATTTTTTATAACTCTGTTTACAAAATGCTAGTTACTCTGCATAAATTGTCAAACCTTCGTCTTACAGGAAGCAAAGAATTCAAAAGAAGGCAAATAATTCTGTGACGGAGCCTTTTGACGCCAGTCCGTCCCCGGAAAGGAGGCTGCTGTCTCCTTATGATGAAAAAGTTCCAGATCTTGTTTCTACGAATGGAAAAACGCCACTTCTAAAGCGTAAGTGCTTGTTCACTGCCCTTTAATTAAATTCAAATCAATGCCTTGTTCAAAAGTTTGTTTGTACAGAAAGAATATCATATTTTCAAAAGAATGATAAACCCTCTTTTTCTTATAAATGGGAGTTCATTTCCCCTGTTTTGAAGGAACGATTCCAAAAGTTCAAAGATTTGGTAAAAACATCAGTAGTGCAAAAAAATGGCCCAGAGGAAGGATCGATGAAAAGCGGATTATAAATAAGTTGTTTTCTAAAATGTGATGAAATATTTAGCGAAAGACTGATGTCCTTTTAGTTGTCTGCATAGTCTTCTATGTTTTTCGACTACTAAGAGCTTTTTAGAAATGTTTAGAAAAGTGTTTAATGTCAATTCATATTTTCCAGAAAACAGCATTGACGAAAAGAAGTCGCAAGGTCCTACTTTCATATCAAGTCGACCAATCAAAATTGGTGAATTGAAGGACGTTTGTGGCCAACTGCACGCTTCGAAGGACTCTGGTTTTGTCCAAGAGTTCAGGGTATGATTGTAATGTTTATTGCAGATTAAATCAAGGAGTTCCATGTCGCTTTGATATACATGATTTCGTAGTGTATACTCACCATTACTTTATTGTTTATTGATGTGCTGTCCATGAAAAGTGAGCTTCAGCACAATTCTTTTTGAGTAATGAATCAATTTCCCAATTTTTTCATCGTCAGTACCATAGTCCATTTTGACTTCCCTCCTGCCGTCCTTGCCTCGCATTGTTGCTGCCCAACTCTGTGACCACCCTGCAGTTGATTCGCCCTTGCTAACACAACCCGTTCCATCTTTCGCAGACGAATTAGGGTACCTTAAGCTCAGTTCAACTCATATTTCTATTCGGAAAAGACTGCAAAAAACAAAACAGTTGCTTACGGCTCGAAATACCCTTGGATAATACATGAATCATTTGAGCGATTTTAATCACCAAAGAACCATATCATTTCGCCTTTTACATATTCATTCAACCTTATTTTGTTTCTGGTGTTATGCTAAATTTTCCAGGAAGCCGGAAAAATCTTTTTAAGTGCATTATAATTGCTGATAGCTTCTTTTTACTAAGTATGGTTGTAAACACAGTGTGTTCTATTAAAGAACATTGTTCTGTTTAAGTCTAGTAGTCTCTGTTACTCATTTGTCCCTATTTTCATCCTTCCTTATTTCTACCTATTTTCTACCTTCCTTCTTCTTCTTCTAACACATTATCGAATTAGATGCATAGACCCACGTTTTTCATTTTAGAGCCACCGTTCTATTTTCTCTCCATTCTGTATACCCATTTTATTAAAACTACAGTGAAAGAAGCCTATCACCCTTAAAATTTTATCAAATGCATGTTTTGTTTATGATCGTAGAGTGTCAAATGCGAGGCCAATCTGACTAGTGACATAAGCGACCGGGCAGAGAATAAATGCAAGAATCGTTACCACAATATCGTCGCCTGTAAGTAAACTTTTGGATAGAAATAAAGCACTGTCATTTCAAAAAATTGATTGTGGACCCGTTTTGGGCCGGTTATTAGGCTGTCAGTGGCAGTGCATGTTTCTGTCTAATGCTCACACTTTCACCTTATCTGTCCACTTAATGAACTTCCCGAATTTTTTAATGTATATATGTCAGATATGTTAATTCTTATAGCATTAGATTCCCAATTGCATCCAAGCTAACATGCTCTTTTTTATATCGCTATTTGATAGATTAATTTAATCGTATGTTGATAAATGATATTTGATTAAGTTGTTGTGAACAACATAAAGTGTAATATTGAATACGGTTAACAATTCTAGAATGTGGGAAGTAAAGAAAATGTAATTGCAAGTCCCTAAGCATCACATATTTGCTTTTTATGCTTGTTATTTCCATTAATAAGCCAAGAAACTTTTGGTAAGCCAAGAAACTTTTGGTTTTTTGTCCATATTTTTGTAAAAGTGATGTGATCTAGTCTTTCTGAGTGTTTTTTTCACAGATGACCACAGTCGCGTGATCCTGAGCTACATCGAGAACATACCTGGCTCTGACTACATCAACGCAAATTATATCGATGTAAGCTTTGTTTTCCTTTCAAAGTTCTTTTTTGGTTGTTCTTAATCAATCATTTTCTATGTTTTTGATGATTTCTTATTTGATATATGCTTGATATATGCTTGGTATATGTTAGATTAGATCTACTGTTTTCATTTACTCTGGGAATAACACCAATTTGTGTGGGATGTTTTTGTCATCCAATAATTGAAACTCATAAGTTTTGAATTTGCGATGTTTCAGTATGTTAGTTGCGGTAGTCTAAAAGTATTCAATTTTGAATGCTGGGTTTGATTGTTAATATTTTCTTACTGGTTTCTGATATACAAGTTACTTTTTCAGGGTTTTGACAAGCGAAAGAAATTCATAGCTACACAAGGTATTTATTTCTCACTATATGATTTTTCCATCGTTCCTTATTTAGCCATTTTTTAATTAAATTCTGCAAAAAGGATTCCACTTGACAATCTGTTTTTTCTTCATTATTTATAGTAAAATTGCCTATGTACCAACCTCCAGACCAATCTAAAGCAGAATTGGTGAAAGTAGATCCTATTTACATGTTTACCGATTAAATCTGACTTTGTGTTTTGCATTTTAGGCCCAGTTACTGCTTCCTTCAATGACTTCTGGAGGATGGTATGGGAACAGAATTCGCACATCATTGTCATGGTGACAAATCTTATCGAAAAGTGCAGGGTACGTGTTCGCTTTGGGAATTTCGCCTGAAAACAGATAACCTTTCAATCGAACGGTCATGTTTGAATGTAAATCAACATAAAAAAAATTCTATTGGGACGTCTTGGCCTATAGAATTTTATACATGTCATCACCATGTTGCTTTCCCTTGCTTTTGACATAGCGCCCATTTTGTCATATCCAGTCTGAAGAAACTTCTACTTAGAAAGATTTATTATTAAATTCTTAAATGAATTTGAAAATGATGCAATCTCTTTAGAACGTGATGGCATTTGAATATGGGATCTTTGCACTAAAGCACTAGAATTCTAAGATCTACATCTAACCTAAGAATTATTTTATGCCTTTTAAAAATCATACATCATGCTCTGTGTCTAGTAATTTGCGAGCTAAAAGTCTGTTTATATTTTTTGCTTTGATTTGGCTGCTGTGTATGTGTTTTAATTGAATTATAGACCTTTGGAGCCTTTGTTGCTGTTTTTTGCTAAATTTATATATAGTTTATAAACATTATTATGTCAGTCATAAGCAGACGAGTGTTCTCAGGACTCAAGAATGATTGCATAAGAAGCCATTTTGACTTTACACTTCCCTATCAAGACTCCCTACCTTTGTATCAGACTACAGCGCTGCTGCAGTCACGGATTTAATTACACTTCTACTATTAACCTACTGCTTATTTATGTTTCAAAATGCTATTTACTTTCTACTGTAGATTAAATGCCAAAGGTACTGGCCCACGTATGATTCGGAACAGTATGGTAGCATCAGAGTCACCCGTGAGGAGGAGATCGAGTTAGCTGATTACGTCTTAAGGAAATTCTCGATTTCAATGGTAGGTCCATATTTTCCTTTATTTACATCAATTTGAACCAGTGGTTTGTATGAAATTTTACAACTGACAAAGGAAGCAGACAGATAATTACTGTAAGTTGGCATTGGACGAAGATTTTTTCAAGAAAACTGTTTCCAAGGAGGTGAAATATTTCTATTTTGAGCATATAAGTTTTATTGCTCTTTATCTCGACTGAGCTGAGCTAAAACATTTTTAGAATGTCTTGACGAAACGCTTCCTTAAAAAATGCCCAGTGTTAGTCAAAATTAAATTCATTTGAGTTACATAATGCGCTCTTTCTGTATCTTCCTATGTATTTCCTCTAAGAAACACATCAAAGTGTTCCTGTGACAATAAGGAACTTTTTTCTGTTTCAGGTTTCTGGAAAACAGAAGCACGAGCCGCGAATCGTGACGCAATACCAGTACACAGGCTGGCCTGATCATGGAGTCCCCCAGTACGCAACTGGCCTATTGCAGTTCGTAAGAAGAATCAAATCATTAATGCGGGAAGACTCAGGCCCAGTTATAGCCCACTGCAGGTTTGTTCATTATGCTTTGTTATGCGCATCTTGTGACGCTTTGCTGCAGTTTTGAGACCATCCTATCTAACAGTTTGTTTCTTGTATCTAACAATGTTGATTAACGGTAAATCCATTTTCAGTGCTGGTGTTGGGCGCACTGGAACGTACATAACCCTCGATGCAATGTTTGATCAAATGAGGAAAGAACAAATTGTTGATGTTCATGGCTTCGTAACTCATATACGAACGCAAAGAAACTACATGGTTCAGACTGAGGTATTTTACTGCTATTTTCGCAGATAAACCCAACTCCTGATGCTAGAAATGTCATGCAACACTTCAGCTAGTATTTAAAGCTAGTATCTTAAGTCTTCATAAGCAGTTGGAATGCAATTTCCTCATCAGTACTAATGATTTTACGCTTGCTCTCGCTTCCACTATATTTCATTTAGTTATACTTTTTCAAAATATGTTTCATGTAATGATATATACATAAATTGAAATTAGCCAGAATCTATTCAGTAGGTTGGTCGGAAAACGTATATGAAGTTTTGAGAATACGTATAGTTAGCAACACTAAATGGTGTGATGATAAAACTATACATCAAACTCAATTAGAGTTTTGCATTTCTGCCAATTATACAAAAACCTGTATTACCTTTTTCATTAGGGACAATATGCTTTTATATACGATGCTTTACTGGAAGCTGTTTTTTGTGGAAATACAGAGATCGCTGTTCGAGATCTGCCGATTCGAATCAAGGAGCTTGAAAAGATGAATCCAGACACTAACAAGACTTTCTTGCATGAAGAGTTTGAGGTAACTTGATCGGTTAAGAGAATTTTCTGCTATTTATCTTGGTAAAAAATGCTTTAGAGTGATTGAATAGTTATTTTTGAAGAAACACAGAGAAAGCATTTTGTGTTTGAATCGAGACTTTCTGGTTACTAATGTTTTCGCTGTAATGTCTTCATCAAGTATATGAAATCCAAATATTTGCTGTAAGATGAATACTTCATTTCAAGTAATTGCCATTTGAAAAGGGGGTCAAACTCCACCCAACCATCTGTATTTATCGTAACAAATGCCATTCATATCCCTCAAATGAAATTAATGCCATATCCCTCGGATGAAATTAATGCCATATCCCTCGGATGAAATTCTAGTAGTCTTAGAGGCAGCAACTTTGTATTTAAAAACGAACTTGAACTCACGAAGCACCAGAGAGATTTATTTTTTTGTAGCTAATCCGTAATGAAAGTCTGTTTTCTGTTTTTCTATGATTTTGCTTCATGTTGCAGCGATTGAGCTATAACTTAGAAGAGAATCACATTTATGAAGCTGGTATGCTAGAGGTGAATGCAAGCAAGAATCGTTTCCCAGAAATAATACCTAGTAAGTAAATTGTTCGGTCAACTCTTGTAAAGAAACAATTTTTAATGGTTTGTTTACAAGGCCTTATAGATGAACAGCATTTTTGAGCGCCACGTGAAATTGTTCTACAATTTGTGAGTTTATGTCAATATTCTAAATTGAAATGCTTGTGAAAGGTAGACCTATACATGCATTTGTGCTTACAGCTTTCAATGAAGAGTTTTGTAAGAATTTATGAGGTCGTCATCAGCCTTTGAAAAATAGCAGGTTAACGAAGAATTAGGAATCAAACTCTACTCTATTTCGAAGAGTTTTAAATCTACACTTTAAGTTATATAAAATGACAGTAATGCCGCGTTAATTTTATTCATGAAACACTTCTGGCGGTAAGCGTTCTCTTTATAACCCCATAAGTATTTTGTTGCTTTATAATTTATTGCTCTCTCAATGTACACAACATACTTTACTTATGTGCTTAGCTTTTACCAATGATGTTTTACTATATTCTTAGTCGAATCAACACGATTGCGATTGTGGCCGTATCCGAATGTCGCTGGATCAGATTACATTAACGCGAACATTGTGGATGTAAGTTGATGTTGAATTTTGCTCACTTCTACAGCTCAAGAAACCAGTGGTATGATGATACTGGTATTTGCATAGCGTCTCGTCAAAGCACACAACGAGTAGTGATATGATGACACTCAATTTCATCTGTCTACAAAATTCCACTGCCTTTTTAGCTATACTTAGATGGCAATCGTGAAACAAACGTCAATTTCTCTTTGTTTCTCCGTTGTACTTTAATTGTTTGTCCCAATCCGAACATTGTTTGTCTGTTAAACTTGATGTTATTTTTACAGAGACTTGATGTTGTGTTCGACTTTGTAGGCCTGACAAGTATTCTTTGTTTGTAAGCTGAGTGAGCGTGATTCTTACTGGAAAATTTACTTGCTTTCAGCCATTACAGACTTGGAGAGTGATTGGCGCGGGCAGTGGGACCACGCCTTTTTTGCCTCGTTTCAGTGATTTGTAGCAAGTTAACTTTCCTTAGGAAGTTTGATCTTCCCCTACCCAGCATTTTTAAATCCATTTTTAGAAAAAATATGTAGACCATATTTCCAGAATATTTTCAGTAATTACCCCCCCCCTTCCCCCATAACACCCCTTGGCACCGCCACTGCTTGCTTTCACACAAACGAACAATAAGAACCAGCACTGTCGTTTCTATCCACAGGGATACCAGCACAGAGAGGCATTCATTCTCACGCAAGCCCCAATGGAGAATACAGTAGAAGATTTTTGGAGAATGGTTTGGGAGTATGAGGTGTTTTCAATTGTCATGTTGTCAAGCCCAGAAGAGAGTGACTCGGTAGGATTTTGATGCCATAGCTCAGTATCATCGTCCGTTTAATATTGTCATCTGATGTTTGTTAGAAATAGAATAAAAGACACAGGATTTTGAATTCTGTGGATGGCTGCTAATTAGATTCCCTATTCATCCCATTTGTACACAGCGTAGCCAATTTCAGCTCTCTCAATAAAAGATTGTTGGAAAAGATCGGTTACAAACATAACACTGATGTGTACAATAACTGAAAGTCGTCTACGAAGGAGCAAAACGGAAGCCACATCATTCATCTTTCTCCCAATCGGCGCCTTGCTCTTTCTAAGCTAGCTGAATCCACTTAGCAAATTAAGTCATCTCAGACAAAAGTCATAAAGGTTGATACTCTCGAAATTCAATATACTAAGCTTCAAGGAACGCTCTACATGACATAATTATTATAACGACAAGAGTTCTAAGAAAAAGTCTCTTCCATCAGTGCTAGGATATAGAAAAACATCACATATCATATTGATCGCTCTTTCCTCCGGAGCCTTCAAACTATGAATTTGGTACTCCTTTCGAAATGAAGTTTACAACTTTTGGCTAAAGCAAACAAAGATCACTTGAATTTTAGTACATACTTCACAAATTTATTGAAATTTAACTAGATTTCGTAACGCTTCTTCTACTTCTTGTTTAATATGTCCTTTCTGAGGGAGTTTCCTGTTTGTTTAATGATAGAAGTTTGTTGTAATTGAACTTGATTTGAAGATGCATTTTTTCTTGCAGTCCCATTGCTTTCCATACTGGCCTATCGATTCTGAGCCTGCTAATATCGGGTTATTGTTAGTGCAAATTGCTGCTGAAGAGAGAAAGAGTGGTTATGTTAAGAGGGACTTCAGAGTCACAAACTCAAAGGTAGGCAAGCGAAATTAGCAGTCATTCCATAATGAATTTGCTATATGTTTTTTCATGACGTCTCCATCGCCACTATGCAATTAGATAAAGGAAAACAAATGTAATGCACCGTACAACAAGTCTTTAGCTTAAGATAGAATAGCCAGTATTCTTTATTACATGTAATGTAGCTATGGAACCTGTAAATATTGGGTAATTCGTAGTCTGATAATTGAGGCATAAAAACAGCCGCCGAAATACAGGTTCAATAGTATCCTGATGATTGCCTGCCGGGTAAAATATGGAGTTAAACCAGCTTGCTCTACGAGACATCTTGCTCTCGTATACACCAGAACTTTTACAGCTCTGCCTATACGACATTGATCACTCAATGGCAAAGCAGCAAAAGAGCTATCTTTGTTTAGATGAAGGAGAGTGCTTCAAACCTTGCCCAGCCTATTTAATTCATTTGTCAAAAAAACTGTGTTTTGATTTTAGAGTGGGGAAACTCGGATTATCACTCATTTCATGTTCTACGACTGGCCCTTCGATTCATGTCCTAAAGACTCAATAGAAACTTTGGAGCTGATCAACCAGCTACAAAAAACACAAATGATGACTGGAAATGGTTCGATTGCTGTCCACTGCAGGTACTTTAGTTATCATCACAACTTTGCTATTGGCTAACCCCTCGCTTGTACGTTTAAGCAACCGTGCAGCTGTGTTTAAAACAGTGCTTGTCAAGTGGTATTACGTATTGGCCATATTTGTGTCTTAAGATATATCTACCTATCGAACTTTGAAATCAACGTCAATACAGACACTTTCTGGATGTGTGTATCAAAATTTTGTCAGAGGATTCTGACCCCCACCCACATAAAAGCTATTTGTATTCATAGGATGCACCATGGAGCAAATGAAATCCAATAGCTTGCATTAGCAAACATAAGCTACATGTAATCCTTTTTTTGATCAGCTTTTTATGGCTAATCATCCTGATATTTGTCGATCTGTCTACAGCGATGGCTGCGGCCGAAGTGGAACATTATGTGCGATAATGTTTTGCATTGAAAGACTGAAGTTAGAGGGCGTCGTGGATGTGTTTCAGACTGTGCGATTGATGAGAACCCAACGACCTCACGTGATTAGATCCATGGTAAGCAGCTGCCTTTCTAATTCTTAATGTTTTGGCATGAAAAGAATTTCTCAGTCGCCAGCCTTGCAACTCATTCACCTTTAATGAGCTTTGTAGTAGTCTTTAGTAAGAAAAGAAAAATTATACAAACAATGGCAAGTTGCTGTAAAGAAAAGTCCCAGAAATCCCCAAAATAACTTACCTTTTATTCAAAACCAGCATTTCATAGGCCCCCATTCGCATATGAATATAGAAAAAATGTGATGTTTGAAGAAATTTCACTTCTTGGTGTAATCTTGAAACATGTTTTATTTCAAAATTTGCACAAATTTGAGAACTTCAGTATACCTGGGCCTGCAATATTTTGGGGGTAACGTGTTTGGCGCAGTGAATGGCGCAAAACATACAATGCCTACCAAAAGTACTTGAAACACCCAATATATGCATTGCATTTTTTAACTTTCATCCCTTTTCCGAAAAAAATTGCAACTTCCGCCCCCTCCCCCTAGAACAATGTTACTGGTTTGGGCAAAAATCATAAGAGAAACGCAAAAGAAGGTAATTTCCAATCCCCATACCCGTTTTATAGTCAACCAACATTGTTCCGTGGGGGAGAGGAGGATGGCTGAATTTGATCCTTCAAACTAACTTCAGTGTTCCAAGACATTTGGCAGGCGTTGTATGTAATTCCTCTAGAGAACAAGTGCTGGTTTTCGCATTTCCATCATGCCAATAAATTGCCTTATTTTATATCTGATGTATTTTTTTCATTTTCAGGAAAATTATTTATTTTGTTACAAGGCAATCAAGAACTTCATTGATAAATTCAGCAATTATGAAAATTTCAAGTAAACTTGATTGTTCAGAGCTGGAAAACCTAGAAACTGCATTAAGTTGGTATTCGAAAGTAGATTGACCCAGCAACAATATGGCATCAGAGACTGCTAAATATGAACTTAGTGTATATACTTCTCAAGATGTTCCCAATGCACAGTTTGTTGAATTTTTGTCCGGCAAGAAGGGCTAGTAGATCCCTGAGCGACTGATCAATCGATAGGCAGACTTGAGAGTTTAAGTGAACTTCGTCTTTGTTGAATGAGTTTTAGTTATTGTCAAGCTTTTTTCTTGATATTTAGAACGGATCTAAGCTATTTATTAACCTATTTGTCTCTTTTGTACTGGAACGAAAGCAACGGAACTCATAAGAAATATCTTACCACTCTGTAAAGTTTTATCACGGTGTAGGAATGCTTGTTGATAGGCAGATTTATGTGTTGCTGTATGTTGCCATGGGCGTTTGTTCTTTTTACCTAGGATTCTCTAGATAAGCCCTGATTACCCAGGATTTTCTAGAAAGTTGTGCCCAGATTACCCAGGATTCTCTAGAAAGTTATGCCCAGATTATCCAGGATTCTCTAGGAAGATATGCCCAGATTACCCAGGATTCTCTAGGAAGATGTGCCCAGATTACCCAGGATTCTCTAGAAAGATATGCCCAGATTACCCAGGATTATCTAGTAAGATATGCCCAGATTACCCAGGATTATCTAGGAAGATGTGCCCAGATTACCCAGGATTCTCTAGGAAGATATGCTCAGATCTCAAACTACACCGGAAAGTGCAGAATAGGAAGGAAGTTTCGAAAGTTTAAAAAAAGGAGTCTTAAGAGGAAAGTTTGATAGTTCTGATCCGATTTTAGGTCACAATAGGCGTTATGAAAATTTTCAAGGCAATGAATCTCATAAAATGTCGAAAATTCTAAAAAAATTTCATTGAATGTTCTGAAGAGGAGACTTGCGGAGTGAGACTGGAAAATACCGCGTTTCAACAAGCGAGCAACAATGGCTTGTATATGTATATAACTTTCAGGCAGGACCCTACAGACTGATGAAGAACTTAAGCCTGTTAATTTTCTTAAATGGAAAATCCTTCATTATTCCTAGTATCTTAGTGTTGTTTTCGACAAAGTTTATTTTTCGTATTTTAAGTGTTTTGGCTTCTTTTTATTTGTTTTAGTTTAAAGTCTTTTCTTCATATAGGATGATTTCTCTTTGTCATAAAAAATCTTTGCTTAGTGTATATTAATTCGCAATATGGTCGTCGTCTGGATTTCTTATCACGTGTAAGGGATCCAAAGCGTTCCAAAGACCTTTTGTGACTTGCATTCGAGTCAAAACGTCATCCTTGCTTGCATATGCGACAAGACAGGAATGGCATCTAACAAAGAAAATTTTCAATCCTCAAGGCAAGAATCATTTGAGCTTGTATTACCTGTTAACTAAATATATACGAAGAAAAGATAAATTTGGCATACTTTAACTGTGACAGTTTCTGTTAGATAAAACCAGTATTTCTTGTCTGGCTCATTTTTATTCTTATTCTTGAAATTAAGCATTGAGGCATGAATTCACTGATGGAGAATAGGCCCTTTTTCATGAAATTTTTTATTGAGATTAACTATGCTTGAAGAACCTTGGGAATGATAACCAAACTTGCAGGGAAATATCCTAGTTTGACTTAGAATCATTTTTTAAAATAACTAGTAATTGCTGCGTGAGAATGTAGCCACACCAGGATGTACTACTAGTTAAGTTAATTTTCAATATGTTTTATCTCTATTTTAATTATTTTCGAGATAATGAGCACGTCATCAATTAAACTTGTCGTATTCTTGATTAGTTTCTTTTTTCACTACCGAAGGAACGTTTTTATCTTAGCGAAGTGGTGATGTAGTTTGTTGTAAGATATATTTTGTCAAAACGTGCAACTCTTGCCCTATTTAAAACTTATTGTAGGATAATAGAGTCAGATTAAATTAGTGTACAATTTATTTTGATTCTTTAGTGAGCCACGTATATTATTTTTCTTTTGTCCTCTCCTTAACTTATTTCTTCTTGTATTCGTCTTTAAGGCGTAGGCTGTTTGATTTTCAAAGGCAGCAAACATTGAACTTTGAAGTTAAGCCCCAGCCAAACACTCTCACTATTTCACTTAGCATTGTCCAACTCCACCATTCATGTTCAGTAAATTTTGAGACCATCTGGCCATCTTGTTTAGCCAATGAACATACGGTGAATCAAAATTTAAGATTAATTTGTTTCATTTAAAAATTGTTCGGTGAATATTATCTAAACTGATCAATGTTGGGACCGTTTGGCAACCCTTCTCAAAAATGCTCATGGCATACCTTCGTACTAGCAACATTGTATGTATACAAATGGGCTTTTCGTTCCACGTTTGTTGGGCTAGATGCTGGATAAAGATAAGTGTTTTGAAGTTTCAAGCGGAGAAAAGGGAAAATTTTAGCCCCCAGTGTCCATCACCAACGCAAGTTCATGAATCTGCCGGGTCCGGGAGGAAACAGGGTATTGAGGCAGCAAGGGTTAACGTGTAGACTCGACCTAGCACAAAGAAATCTTTGCCTGAAACGAAGTGAAAAGATGGAGTGACAACATCGGGGCTTTAGGTACCCACTACATCGTGATCTCATCACGTTCAGTGCCAGCACAGAATAGTCATTTCTAGTCTCGGAGGTGCCAGTCATGGGATGCCCCGTCATCACAGCGAGACTGCGAAGCGCCAAAAACAAATTTCAAAATGGCCGGCGTCGATAGCTGGGAGAAGACTTTAAGAAACATTTTAACGGAAACAGAGGCGAATATTTCAAGTTACAAGGCAAGTATGAAACTGCAACACCATCATAATATTTAAGATCTTTGATAACGTTTGTGTTTACCGCGTGACTGAAGGAAATACATATATGAATCGCGTGAAACTATGATGGCGTCCATGGTTATGTTTTGCTCACTCACTCGGACACAGAACTGTGTGCTGGACTTCTTTTTGCACAGAATCTTTACGTCTACTTTCATTGCATACACCCGTCATTAAATTTCAATAAATAGCCATGTTACACATCAATGACTCTTAAAAAAGCAATAATAGAAATTGACACAAGAGTTAGCATTGTCAATTTTTATCTTCGTTTAAGCCAAAAATGAATCATTAAATTGGAACTTTCACGTTAAAATTAGTCTGTGCCAAAATTTTCATATTTTTGAACAGTCAGACAGTAAATAACACCGATTACCAAATGTAGTTTTTCATGTACATTTTACTGGAATTTAATGCTGCAGTAACAACATTGACAATGCTGCAGCAAATTCCGACCAAGTCTTTGTTAAAGCTGTTAGGAGTAAAATAGACATGGGACAGGATGATCTAATTTATTACCATGCACAAAGTTTTCAAAGTTTGAGTAGATTTTGGTTTACAGAAAGTATTCTCATCTGGTTGGCTGTCCCTCGTTCTTATTTTCAGGAATTATGAAAAATGTTTATCTTAGCTTATCACCACTAATGAGGTTACTAACGTTTTTCTCTGAAATGTATAGCCAAAAGTTACATACTGTATTTTGATGGTAACTAGTGTCAGCTGCATAAAATTTTTATCTGTGCAATTTTCATGGACATGAAAAAGACCCCCTGCGCATCTTTCAAAGATTCCAATCTGGTAAACAGTGAGATGCAAGTTTGATCAACCTGAATCCAAAAATTATGGTTTGAATACAGATGAACTCCTTACACTCAAGAGGGTCTCTCTTAGTAGATAAAAGGAAAAGGAACTGTATAAAAGAGCATTCATCAGGCCTGGTCTCAAGACTTTCAGCAAGAGAGCCGCAAAGAGCCCTCCTAGTAATTTCCAGACTAGCTGTTTGTATTCAAATAAAAACAGAAAAATTGATTTCAAGAGGAGCAATTTGCTTTTTAGAGCAATTTAGGAGAACAATCTGTAGCTCCCATCTGACATTTGAGAAGCACCTGGAGTAGAGCAAGAGCTAAATGGCTTATTCTCAAATGGCCAGGCCTGCTGAGGGGATGCTAAGTTTGTGTGCATTGTTGTTACAGATAAAATGAAAGGTGGAAATGAAGAGAATAGAATAAAGGACCTGATTACAGGGCCAAATTAAGTCTAGTAGTAGCACAGTCATGGCATTGGAAAGGTATTTTCAAGAGTTGAAAATGACTAGATGACCAATGAAAAAAAGTAATTTTGTTTGTTGTCACAAGGATACTTTTCAAAGAGAGTTTTGAATTATCACTTAATTAGCTTTTAGCAACAACAAAATGCAAAGGGAGGAAATGCTATGCAATTTGTTGTTGTTTCTTTCACTTTTTCCAATTTATGCTTTATTTTTTGCATTATGTAGAAAATATATTGAGGATATCTTGTCCAATAATTTGCTGAAATAATGAATCATTTGTCTTTTTATTGTTTACACTTCAAATCATAGAGAAATATGAGCCCAAGATTTGAAAGCACTCCATTTTCTCAAAGATATTCTAATCCTGGAACAAGAGAAGGTATGTTTGCAAAATGAACTTCAAAGCTATCATTTTGAAATTCAAAGCTATCAACTCAAAATGAGTGCATATTTACAGTTTCTTTATCATTGTATTCAATTTGCTGAATGTATTTATTATTGATATATTTATGCTCATTTTTAAAATCACACCCATATTTTTCTAATTAGCAATTCCACCTGGGATATCAAGCATTTCTTTATCAATAATCTTCCCTTAGGGTTATCAGCACAATTTTCTGCAAGTCCTGCAGGCTATAATCAACGAAAGCAAGTATTTCCAGATAGAATGAAACTGCAATCTGGTCAGTATGAGAGCAGTTCTTCCTTGGTTTTATCAATGTCAAACAGAGTTGAGCAGCTTGAGCAAGTAAGATAAACTTACCAATATGATAAAATTCATGGTTACATACACTATCCTAGCTATCAATTTGATGTAGATTGGTTTCAGCTATATTTGTGTTTTTTTTCAATAGCAACAGCTAACTTTAGAGACTTGCCAGTTCTGTTCCAATGCATTTTAAAACTCTAATACTAGTAAGATGCTGGTTCCCTGTCACATCTTACTACTAGTAAGATTCTGGTTACTTGTAGCCACAAGGATTTTGTTGATATTAGCCAGTGATATTGTAAGTATGTGTTTGGATATATTTATGATTGTAGAAAATTTGCATAGAATGTCTTGTTTTCACATTGGGGCTATACAATGCAGAGGTGATGATAATGTTTGAAAAATATAAATTTTCTTTATTTTCAGTTAACAAATTCCCTAAACAACACAGTTTTATCGCTACAATATGAAAATAAGGTACAAAATGAAGAGGTGAAACGACTCAAAGGTAATCAATCTATTGTTATAGAGTAAATAGATATTTAATAATTCTGATTTTCTAGTAAGTGTTTTCTTTCCTTTTATCAGAAGAAAAAGGAACTTGAATAAGGTAGCTTTAGTAGGCCTGGTCATGATATTTTTAGCAGAGAAGCTGTAAACTGTGATTTCCAGACTAGCTGTTTATAAATAAGAAAAGAAAAAAAGAAAAATCGATTTAAAGAGCAATTCAGGAGAGCATTTTGTTTTAAAGAGCAATTCAGGAGAAAAATCCATATGCTCCCCTCTGGCAATTGAGGAGGGCCTGGAAGGGAGCAAGAGCTTTGGCTCTCCTCAATTCAGTGGTCGCTTTTGTTTGCCTTTCAGATGAACTAAAGCATCTAACAAAAAGACTTCATGAAAAAGGTGTCGATGTTGCAACGGAGAAAAAATTGAAAATGGTATTTTGAAACTTGATACTTTTGCCTCGCTATTCAGTTATCACCAGTTTAATCCTCTATCTTGCTTTCATTCCTTTTTTTGCAGATGAAGGTTTAGTACTGAAAATACCAGGGGGTATTACTCCTAATTGGAGAAGTGTCTTTTGAGATGAGCATATACCCGATTCTGTTGGCACAGAAGCACCATGGCCTTGGATACCTGTGACCAAGGACCGAGATACCGAGAGGCCGGGGGCCTTGACCCCCCCAAAATTCCTAAGTAGCACAAGTAAAATACTTTTATTATGTGAAATATGGCTATTGTTACACTTATTTATTAGGGCTGCCCCCCTCCCCGAAACAAAAAGTTGTATCTCGATCTTTGCTTGTGACACTTAACGTCGAAGCAGATTTCGTAATAAATAACTGATCTGTCAGAATTGATACAAGAGATGGATGAAAAACATCGATAATTACCATCACTGAACAGGATAAAGTTTCATAGTGTCCAACTTTAATGCAAGAATAAAACATCGGAAATTGTACATGTTGGGAGAGCTTTGTATCCAGGTGTACCTGAATGTGACGTACAATAAGAATGAAGCGTTTTATTGGTTTCTTTCATTCTGACCAATCTGCGACCGCTTATCTCTCGTGTTAGATTCTATATGGAAGGTTAGGTGGTGCTTACTAGTTTAGCATAGGCGGACTGCCCTCTAGGCTGTTTATTGCTGTTCAATCACATCATTTTAATCATATCCTGAGTACTACTGAAAAATCAGTTTTGCCTTTCAGTGGCAGAGAGAAACTAGATCAGAGCTCGACACAATACGAAGCTTAATCAAAACGAAAGCAAAAAGTGATGATTACAATACTCTCAATGATGTCACTCTCCTTTCATTGTCAAAAGAAATTTCCGATAGGTACGTGGCTTGGTGATTTTTTATTGAACTCGTAGCAAGTCTCCTACATGATTAAGTATTCTGGAAAGTGATGTATGAATTAATGAAGTATGAATTAAGTAAACCATCTGTTAGATATGTTACGTAAATATAAATTATTTGTTTTGCTTCACTGGCCAGAATTGTTGATCAAAGTGATCTGTCAAAGGATATGCCTTCCTTCCCGATTCCTTTTATCAAATTTTTATCAACATTTTTATCAATTGATAAAAACACATTTTTATCAAACAACGAGTTTTGAAGACAGTTTTTGCAGTCTTGGAGGGATTTTTTCAAAGAATAAGGTGCTTTAAATCATTATTTGTCGTTTCCTTTTGTATAGTAAAAGACTACTTCAGGAAGAAACAGACATGCTCAGAAGGGAAACTGATAATCTAAGAACGCGCATTCGTGAGTATTTTCAGCCATATTTGCGCCCTTTCCAATGAAGATTTTATTCTGATAGTTATTATAACTAAGGGATCTTTTTGCAAATTCGTCGTAAAAGCTAAACAGAATAAATATTGATCTAAAATTTTGTCGTAGGCGGAACGAGTGCAACTTTAACCCAGACCCCTGGATGACGTAAATCTACTGGATGTAACCTCTCTTGTGGTATTATGACAGTTGCTTTGATAGATATTAGGAAATGGGATACACACATCTTAAACCATAAATAAATTTGTGTATTGTTTTAGTGAAACTGGAAAACGAGGTTGCCGGTGTTGTTGGTGAATCAAAAGATCTTGGAATGCGTCAGCTTCGTCTAGAGAAAGTAGGTTTTACACATCTTTTTGTTGTAATTTTCATCACTTGCCTGATTTGCCCTCTTTTTTCATTAGACATCCCTCTTCTGGCATGTCGTTACATTTCCTCTTTATAAATGACTGTAAGTACTCTTCCAACGTTGCCAAAAGATCTTTGATGTAAGCTCAACTAAACCCAACAGCATTTGCTATTCAGATTTTGTGAAAACTCCTTTAATATCGTTTGATGCTCTGTAATGCTTTTTGATTAAGAATTACTTTCTTTTCCCAATGCACAAAGGTGTAGACACTTTTCAACTGCTTCTACCTGTAAGGATATACCTGATATCCTGCTTGTTTCCCGTTCGAAAAATTCCACATTATTGTATTTCTGCAGCTTGTACACGCAGATCAAATTGTAGACCCTGAAGATTAATTGCGTTTCTAGGGTGGATATAAACTGCGTTTCTAGAGTGCAATATTCAGTAAATCTGAGGCCCCTTTCATTATTCGAAGAGTCTCTTGTAATGATGCTGATTTTTGATCCTGTACTGCTAGGGTACTATAACAAGTGGAAGATGCTCGCTAACGATTTCATCTCCTTACTTTTGATGCAGGATGTGTCTTCTGTGAATGATCAGTACAGAATGCAGTCACGGTCTTTCTCGAAGATTGACAAAGAATACACGATCATCCAGAAGGAAATTGATCGCGTGACGTAGGTCCTTTCAATCAATGCTTTTTTGACTGCTCATTTCGGGGGTCTGGCTTTACGTAACACGTTATTTGTTGGTTCGACTTCTTTCGTTTTATCTACTCTCGGCCGCGTGCAGGGTGTTGCACTGGTTGAGCAGGATATAGGAAATTCAAGAACATTACACACTTTTTGTAATCATCCTTGAGGGGGCCAACATCATTATTTAGCCCCCCTCTAAAGGAAACTCAAACCTAAACCAGATAGAGTACGTTTGTGCAGGGTGTCTTACTTGAAATTTTTCTCTCTTACTGTGGACTATTTTATAAAAGAAGGCAGTATAAGAAAAATTAGGCCAAAATTTTTTAAAGGTAAACAATTATGTTGGAAGTATTGGCAGACGAAGATAGGTTAAAATGATTAAAAACCAAAATAACAATTGTTACAAAGTTATATTTTTGTTACAGATTATATTTTTGTACAAGTCAAATGTATTAGATGTTTTCCTATCGTTTGCATTGCTCGAAGTTAGGATGGCTAGACAAGCCAAGTAGCAAAGTAAGCTAAGGGACATTAATTGTCAAGAAACCCTTTAATTGGAGGCTTTTAATACGTTAGCCTTCCTTATTCTTCTGTCGAAAACATCCTCTGTCTTATTTTGAAAGTTTTAATTATAGTCACGAGATGGAGAAGATTTATCGAGACTTGAATAGCATTGGCAACCCAAAACATCAGAATCACTCGGAGGAGAGAGGACACAAGCGAAGTAGGAACAGTAAGTTTGATTTTAGAAGAACTTTCTGATTCCTTCTTGTTTTGTCTTTCTAAATCGTATTGAAATTGATCAGGGTGAGCATGATTCAACTGATGGATCAGGGTACGTTGAAATGGATGAAACGTCTCTATAGAAATCAGTCCTAAAGGACTTGATGTTACAAGACGCTGCATCAATGGCTGATTACCTCAAATCGATTGACATGCAAAAGTTGATTGAGATAATTAGTGTGGCATTAGAGCAGGTTTCGCTGGACCCAATTCGACGTTCATGAAAAAAACCGTTGCCTATTGGTGAAGATTTTGTCTCCATGGAGACAGATATGATGGAAAATGCTGATTTTGTTGCGGTGCTCAAGAATGAGCCTGGATATGAACATTTTAATTATCAAAGAATAGTTGATCTAATTGCAAGATGGATTGGAAAAATTGTGTCAGAAGAAGAGGTTTAGGTGAAGTGGTGAAGCCATTAATGCGCTTGGCAAATGGCTCACATTGCTGGCAACCAGTGGCATCCCTTGCAAACACTTCCATCCTGATCCAGTTGCGGTAAACGACCGCCAGTGTTAAAACCTGTGATTAATATGGCTTAAACTTTGTTACTGACTGAGCTTTAATAGCATTTTTAAATTCAATTTTAGCAAAGAATTCAAAGCTCAAAAGTCCTAAAGATCCGGCGAAGAATTTTGCCCATGAAAATCGATATTCCGGCGAATTATTTGCAAACAGCCTTGATAACTTCTCAGATCTGTCAATACTGTCAACGGAGTTAGAAGATCTCAGTTTGAATACGTCACTGCAACTTTCAGATGAAGTAGATTCATTAGACCCTGAGGAATTTTAATGCTTTTGAATAAATTTTATCCTTCGATGTTTTTATCAAGTTAGCTACCGGTAATATATTTTGCGATTTTAGAAATCATTTTATGAGTTTCTTAAACATTCTCGTGGTAATTGATAATGTTCTGCATTTTTACAAAAAAATCTTAACTCAAGCCTCTGCCATTCTCATGAGGTGCTTCTAAGGTAAAAGAATAACTTCAGTCTGAAAAATTCATTTTACCAATCTTAATTGAATCCTTATGTCGGAATTGCTATATTGCGCCCCATTTCTTTGCTCTTGTTACTCAAAGTTTGGCCTAGGCCGGGAAAGCGGCAAAGAATTTGTGACGTATATTGGGGCCTTGAGTCATGTGGTTTTATCCACATAAACGGCCAAAAAGCTGTAGTTGACTACGATTTAAACGAAATGATTTCCCATTTGGTAGCTATGAGGAGCAAACAATGAAGCCAAGTGAAATATGTACAAAAAAGGTCAATTATTACGGTTCAGATCACTCCCCGCCCTCTGTGAGCTCTAAGTTTTATTATCATCGGTATGGCTAGGTCAAATAATCGCCATTGATTGAAGATCGCGGTTATGCGTTTTCTTGCTCCTCTGCTTGTGTTATACGCAGCACAATCCCAATACTATTGACTCTAAAATTAATGCTTTCAAGCCCAAAGGACGTGATGAACGAAATTCCAAAGCCAAACTACAATCATTATACTCATTTCTGAACCAACGATGCAAGGACACTGGATGGCCTAATTGCAAGTCAAACTTGACCTTACGTCGATATCTGAACCTAGCTACTATCAAATTGATACTTTATGGAGATATAAGCATAAATCCAGGTCCCAGTACTGTGAAATATCCTTGTCAGATCTGTAGAAAAGCAGTTAAGTGGAAGCAAAAAGGGAATGCTGGTATCATGACGTTTGCTTAAGTAAAAATGATTTCCAAAATTTATTATTTCCAAAAAGAAGAAAAGACATTGGCAAGAGGCAAAATATCTAACAAAGAGAGCGACTTTTCTAGATATAGATCTCGATATTTGCTGATGACTGCATACTTTACAAAAAGACGTGGATAATATTCAAAATGGTGCAAAGATAGGTTAACGAATCTTCATTTTGACAAATGTAAAACGCTTAAAGTGACAAGGAACAGATAGCCACAAGCTTAAACATATATTATTCAGAAGAAATATGAGCGATTGCCCACGTGACGAAAATGCGAACTGCTACATACATGTCAACAGTCTGGGACTCGCATACGATAAGAAATGTCAATAAAATCGAATCATAGAATAGAGATTAAAAATCTCTATTCTGTGATCGAATGAGGCTTAAGATCTGTAAAAATCTTGTTGAAATTCCTGTTTCCTGCTTCACTCGTGTAAACCTACATGGACGTCGTTCAGAGCAAGTCTTTGCCATCTCCTTTTGTAGAACAGATACCCTTAAATATTCTTTTATTCTAACAGGTGTAAAGATCTGGAATAGTTTAACACCAGAATGCAGTCTCCAGAGTCGGTCAATTTTGTATTTTTTCAACTATCATCAATAACTAACATATTAAATTCTAATCTCATATTTGAATTAAATTAAAGGGCAGAAATGGTTGCAATAATTGGTATCAGCAATCTTTATACTTGATCAATTCCCTTGATATGGTAAAATGAAGACATGTCAGTGATCCAGAGAGTTATTTACTAAACTATAGCCTGCGTCACGCAGGCTACTAAACTATTGCTAATAATGCCACCCAGTAGTGCCGTCTGTCAAATGTTTCGACAATGCTCCTTATGAAAGTTTGAAAGTGAATGTGCACCTGCATTTTTGGCTAAACTTGTTATTGCCTGGAGCAGCCTGAAGTATTGTCGTTAGTAGACTCCATTGTTTTGTTTAGATGTCGCCCATACAATTTCTATAGTATCGCCTCCCGTGAGGCGTCGTCTACGCGTGTTGAAAACATGTCTGATGGCCCTGTGAAACTGAGATTTGCTGCCAATCTATCGTTCCTTTTCCAAGACATAGCCTGTTTGCCAGAGAGGTATATTGCTGCAAAGAGAGCAGGTATATTCGACTTTGCATCTTTTAGAGTATAGATTTTTTTAGATCATTAGATATGCAGAGGTGTTTGATGTCGGCCTCCTGTTTACCGATTTCCACCGGTAGGCCGATTCTAACTCCTACAAGGTCATACGAAAATAAACAGGCATTTAGTAAAACTGCATACAAAAAACTGTTTCACAACTGAGAAAACTGAAAAGCCTCAAAGCACTGAGGCCTAAAAGAAAAAGACTAGCTGTAGCCATCAAGAAAACTCTGAAATGTCAAAGTGGGAGTCAGCAAAATATGATTAAATTTTTAGAGAATTAATGTTGGAAAGATGAATGAAAAAGGATCCTGCACAAGCTTCATATTATGTGGGCCGATAAGCTTTGGATATATTATAAACTTTCTGCTGATAAATGGGCATATATTAAATGCTCAAATCTTTACGATTTCCTCAGAAATTTCTCGAAACTTAAATGAAGTTAATTAGAATTCAAACTGCAATGTATTCGGTAATTTTCATTTTGAAAACTCGGTATTATGGTAATGTCAAAATATCCTTGTGAAATTATGGTAATAGGAAAATTTTCTTACAGAATCATGGCATTTGAAACACCCCAAAGACCCCTCCTCAGGATATTAATGCCAAAATTCATTTGATTAGGTCTATGATGCAGCATATCGTGGATTACCCAGACAGCGCTTCATATTAGCATAAAAAGATATGCTTTGCATTAAAACAGGATTAAACTGCTTCATAGTTTTGAAGATTTTGATAGAGAAACATGCATTTTAATTTTTGAAGAATGAGAGCGGAGAATGATTATTATTCAACAGAAATCTTAGTGCTCTCCCTTGTACATTCAACTTCTTGATGATTTTGCAGATGAAAAATGCTGCACCAAGGGGCAGCAATTGAAGTTTGACTGACTAAAACATTGAACAAGTATTTTCCTTTCTTCAAAACCATTTAATTATCTTATAGTCCTATAAAAGTCCTATATCTTCAAAACCAAGAAATAGTTGCTACCAATTCAAAAACCAGAATATGGAAAAATACATTCTAGTATCAGCAGGCAGGGTCACTGCAAGGTTTCAGGGCCTAGGGCCAAATCCTGATGTGGAGGCTCCTGCAAGCAAAGCCAGCGAAAAATTTTGTGACCACGCCCTTCAGATTAGCTTAAAACACTTTTAATGTAATCGTTTAAAGCTTTTCACTATTTTCTAGGCATATTTGTCTGTTTTAGTAATTCCGTTCTTAAAACTGAATTCTTTACTTCAGATCCCATAGACCCAGAGGCCCTGAGACAATCTGCTTCCTCTGCCCCCTTGACCACCTTAACAATCTTATCATCCTGAAAAAACCTTTACCATGTTCACATGATGAAAAACCCTCATATTGATTATCTCACACTAGCCACCACTGTCAGGCAACAGTCTTGTGTACTAAAAGTATGTGAATTAGGGCTATCAGGCTAAGTGGCTATTCTATAATATTTTGTCACATTTATAGTATATAGTTTTATGTCTTTCTTAAATGTGTGCATCACACATCTAAAAAAGAGCTTGCAAACAGAATAAACTTTAAGAACAAAATTTAAAGCTGGTAAAGCTATAGCGCTAAGAAGATCTAGAAGCTCATTATAATGATCTTTATTAATTATTACTGACCCTATTGATTTCAGATCTATATTGCATTTGAAAAAGATAAAAAGATGGCTTATAATCAAGTTTCAATTACAATCTTATTCTTTAATTTAAGATGTGTCCCAAAGAGATGACATTTCCTTTAGAAATGAGTATTGAGCAAAATGTAGGCTATTCAGGATTATGTGCCTCACATGATTAAAAATAATCATCTTCTGTTTATATATATTTTCCCAAATGTTTTGTTGCCAACATAAACACCATACCACAGGGAGCATGGAAATACCTTGGAAGCCTAGCATCCATAACATTGAACATAAAGATTCAAAGTTGACATATTAAGAATGATTATGGTTTATTCAAATTACAATTGACAATGATGCAAATAACAAATTTAGAAATTCTACAATGCAAATTATTACAAAAAAAAACTGTATTGGCACATTAAGAAAAGGCACATTACACGAGAGAAGATTGTCAGCTCCATATATTGGGCACTGTGTCCCATAATATTTACCCTTCAATTGAACTTGTATGGAAACAGTATTTTTGCTGTCAATTATATATCATGACTGACTGACTGACTTAATGTGAACCCCTCAATGGGGGCGACTTTTGACGATGGATCTCTACAATTCTCTATCTGTTATAGATGTTCTTATCTTTGATTTGCTCTTATATCTTGCTTGATGACATCACTGTACTTAATCATCGATCTTCCTGTCTTCCTTTTCCTATGTTTCGAGGACCAGAGTACAAGTTTTGACGCTGCTTCTTCTTCATGCCTCAACAGATGACTGACAAACTTTCCTCTTTGTTCTCTGTTCTTGATGCTTAAGATACAAGTCTTAATTTCTTTGACATTTGACCGCCTTTGACCTTTCTGATCATTCTAGTATATACATCATAAACTATGGTTTATAATTGATACTTCTCTGTTAAGGGTTCAGTGGTGTTGAATGTGCAGATCCATATTCAGTGGCTATCAATGTATTAGTTGAGGCAAAGGAAAATGCTAAAGTTGAGCAGGTTCTGTTAAATTCATTCAAAGGTATGCACATGCCAGTCTTCCTTCTTGTAAAACCTCTAAAAAAATTAAGTTTTAGAAGCAGCTTGTTTTCTCTCAAGCTTATCTTTTATGTGGCTGTTTAGATATTTTCATATTTCTTAGAAAAAAATCATTGTAAAACTTCTGATAGTATATATTTTAATATGTAGTATGCAGTCATTATGAAAATGCTGATGATAGTTAAAAGTGGAGTTCTGTAAAATATATCTATTGAACACAAGTTTGTTTGTATGTTATATGATATTAAGATACTTATGAATCTTACCACTTGTTTCAAAAGTTTGTCATTTAGCACAAATGGTCAATAATATTTGATAATTAAGGCAAAATTTTTATTTGCAGGTGATACATCAGGTCTGGCAGCAGTTCCAAATCGGCAAGATGAGTTTCAACAATGCCTTGAACTCTCAATTCAGTACTGCACCGCACTAAAGTGTAAACGGTTAGTAAATTTAAAACAATTTTAATTATAAGTTTACTTGTCTTTCCAAAATTATGCTCAACAACTACAAAGAAGTCCTTGTAGACTTGCTTGCTTGTCACAGTTCCATTGCCAATTTGCTGATAAGAAACCTAGTTTAGTCACCAATTACACATCATTTGAACAGTTTAGCATTTCACAACTTTTGGAAATGTTAAATATTCTAAGTTTAAATGTCAACTGTCTGTACATAATGAATAGTCATTTTATTCATTTCCTTGTAACTTGAAAAGATGTATTTGTTTCTAAATTGAAAATTCAGTCAGGTTGTAGCATATGGCATTGAAGAAGGTGGTGGGTTGGCCCCAGGCCTCTCCAGAAAAAAACAATGCGGGCTATAAAAGCCCTTGCCAGTTTGGCTGCCTGAGCAATTTAGCCCCTGCAGAACTGTTGTTAATTTTTATATATTTGAGTATTTACAAAGGCAAAGATACATTTACTTGCCAATTCTTTAAACACTATTTGCCTTAAGAAGGCATTTTTGTGTGTATTACTAGACCTTTAGATTTTGTATTACTACTCCTTGAAACAAGACAAAAGAGAAACACAACTTTTTTGTAATATGGCAAAGTTTTGTTAGGCTTTGTCAGTCAAATGTGACTTTTTTGGGAATGCCTAGTTTATATCATGACTTGAACGTATTTTTTCATATTTGACAGCGTAGTGTAACGTTTCTCATTTCAATTATTTGTAGCATTAATCACGCTATATGTTATTCCTTTTGTGCGAACACATTTCCTATTCCATTGCAAGTTTAGCAGATAACACATAGACCTGTGAGACCTCTTTCTCTTTATTTACTAACACCCTGGTATTTAGCAGTAAGTAGTACAAACATTGGGAAACGAAACTGCGCAGAATAAATGAGAATGTTGGTTTGAAAAACTGGGCTGGCGGCAAAAAGCCCTCACAAACTTATTTTGTGTGGGGTTTGCACAGGCCAGGCTATAGCCCTCATCTCCAGGAAAGGCCTAGTTGGCCCTCCAATGTATAACAAACATGTCCTTATAATTTGTCTAAAATTCAAGTGAAGATATCCAAGGATAGTCACTAATACATGCAAAGAAAGTTCTACACTCTAAAAAAGTATATGAAAAGTTTTTTCATAAGCTAGAAATATGCATTCCTGCCTTGTTAATTATGTTGGATTCATTGTTCTACCAATTCAGTTCTATTGTACTCTCTACTGTTTCTCCTTTCTCAAATGCTTGAGACTCATGCAAAGTGCTTCTGCCTTGTTACTAGGTCTAAATATATATGTAGCCCAGTTCCTGAAGAGAATTGGTGTTCCTGAAAAGAAGAGGATTTAAACACCCCAAAATCTTAGCCATATACAGCATCTAGGGGGTCAAGATTGTTTGAAAAATGATAGTTTGCATCGTTTTTGTTGGTTTTTAATCATTGTGGTTTGTTTGGGTCATATTGGATGGTTTTGCCTGGTTTAGGGTTGTTTTTGTTGGTTTTTTTATGGTTTTGGGTGGTTTGGCTGCTTTGTTTTTTTTTTGGGTTGCTTCATGTAATGTTCTGTATGTTTTTCCCTTTGCAACACAATTTAATTATCACTGGGAAGCATTTTCTTACACCAGTTCCTCAAAATAATCATTTAACAGACTGGTACACTTTGTCAACAATTAATTTCCTTGACAGTCTTCACATTCCTTCTGGTGTATATCCTGAAGGAGACAATGAGGAGAAAGAAAGCCTTTGGAGAGAAACATTTATCCAAAATCTTCGATATGCATCACAGCGTGTTGCTCTGGTAATCTATATAAAATTCCAATTGAATTTACTTGATATGGCTAAGATTCTTACATTTGTCGTGTTAAAGTGAAGGTTTATAACCACCACTCCTTAACTTGCAAATACTCTTCCTGTTGTGGTGCCCTTATCTTACAAATCTTGAGTTGGACTTGCCAATCCTTTGATCAGTGATTCAAGTTCTAAAGAAACCTTTTAACCAGAAGCTGAAAATGTCTTTATTTATTAAATGAGGCAAAACATTTAAAATTATATATAAAGTTTATCAAAGAAGTATTAGCAGGACATCAAAAAGATTCTTTACTCCCTCAGAACAGCAGATTTGAGGCAAAGCTACTTTCTAACCACTAAAAACCTCTTAGAACCCAATCTCCTTCTAGTAAAGCATCAATGTATCATTGCTCAATGCAAACATTTTGTGAAGATAACATTGATATACAAGTATTTTTGTTTTTATAAACCAGTAATAGGCCACACTTTTTTGTTGGTTGCAAATGAGTTCAATTAGACGAGATAACAAAAAATAAACAAAACAAGCCATATGTAATATTTCCTTTCATGTATTCTTTTTTATTCTATATTTCAGAGGTTTAGACTTTTTTAGTTTCTTATTTGTTTATTTTTAATTGCATTAATGTTATTTATAAAACATTACTTTTGATGTTGATAGATTGTTCAATTGTTTAAACTGACCTGATGCTCTTCTCTAATTTCAGGATAACATAACCATTTTGATTGAGCCAATTTCAAACATTCACAATTATTTCCTAAGCCAGACTGATCAAGGTATGAGCCGTAAGCATTTTTATGAACTGTAAAGATCATAATAATCTGATAATTGTAATTTTATAGTGTTATGAAATTTGTCAAGTTCCTGGATTCAGCCTTGTATTTAGTTGTCACCAGTTGAAACGCTACGATTTTCTCAACTATTTAGTTTTACTTTTGAAAATCTTTAAAGCCATGTGTACATCTGTTAAATTTTTAAGCCTGTAAATGTTCAATCCATATATAAAACCAGGGATAAATTTCTTGCTAGTTTCTACTTTTTATGAAGCCCATTATATTTTTGAAAATGTGTAAATGAAATTATTTTGACAATTACGTTGAAGTTTCAAAGTTATAATGAAATGTTACAGCTAAATGTGGGTAGTTGAAAGTTTTTTACTTCTTCTTGTTACGACTTAAATATTTTTTAGCTATTGAAATTATAAAAGAACTGAATTGTGACAATGTAAAGCTGTTACTGGTAAGAGATGTATTTGCATAAATTTTCATTGTATATCTACTTTAGAATTATTTCAGGCAAGTCAAAATACTTATTCTAAGGCATATTTCTTTATTAATGATTATATAGCATTGCATTGTTCTGTAAATTTCCAAATCAAATTAATAAACTCATAACATGCACTGATTATCTTCAGCTAATTTTTTATGTTATAAAATATCCTGAAGCTTTTCCCAGGCTTTCCGGTTGATCGATAATAAAAATACCTTGGATCCTAAATTAGTTTGCTCCATTTTTCTGAATCCTTTTTCATGGTTAAAAGTTATTAAACAATGTCATTGATTTTAACCTGCTTTTGCAGAAATTTTGAAATTATGTTTTTACTTGACTATCTGAGAACAAGCAAAAGTTTTTTCCTCAATATGTAAGTTTGCAATATAGTAATAAAAAATTTGCAGTAAATGGTCTTGCGCAACCGGCATGCTTTGCGAAAATATTTTCAAAACCGGCGTACTATTGTACTGCTTGAAACTACCAAATACGGTCCATTTCTTCTCACATAACTAACAGCGATTGCAAAGCATGCTGGTTGCACAAAAGCCTTTAAAGGAGAACTGACACGCAAAAATAACTTTGGCTTATTCGATGCAAAATTTGTCGCTGATTTCAAATCTGGAAAAAGTTTTCTTCTTAGATTCGCCGTTTTTCTGATATTTGCACTTTTATCCGTCAAATACGTCACAGCCAGGACTCGGGAATTTCCCGAAGCGGAAACAAGATTATCGCCAGGAGTTGTTAAAATTCTCGGTTGACGTCACAAGTGACATGTTAACAATGCCGTTGTAAAGGCTTTCACCGCAACGGTGAAAATACAAGTGAAGTTTCGTGTTTTATTGAAAAAAGTCCGCGGTGAAAAGACAAAAAATTGTCAGGCATTTCATTTATAAGTATATAGAGGCTAGAAAATCCTAGCTACATGTCTGCTAAGACGCTTATATCCACATAAAATTTATTTTCATGCCATGATATCTTCGAACCAGCATGCTTTGAAACATTGAAAGAACCTCTAAGCTTGTGAAAAAAGGAGTCGACTTTGTTTGAAAACTGATACCGTTTCTTCAAAGTTTTTATTTTTACAATTACAAAAAAATCGCAACATGGGGGGTGGGGGTTGAAGCAGTAGCCAAAAGACAAACGAAATCTAGTGGAGACAGCGGTAAAAGCGATCCTGCAACCTGCTTTGGGTGCAGAAATATGAATTCAAGAAAAAACCTTGGTTGATGGGAGCTGCGAGTGTGACTAAATAATAATTTCACTGAACTTGATTATTGTATTTTAACAGAGGTTGAGATACTAGGGAATAACCTAGTCTTGCAAAAAGCCCATCCCCCACCCAAGTCAAAATTGCTTGCAAAAGAATATAATGCGCCAGTTGATATTCCTATGACAGCTAAACAGCATTTTCTTCGACTAAGAAATCAAGTTCTTTGACTAAGAGCTAAGAGCCTATTTCGTAAATCCAGATCTTTCGACTGCCAGGTAACTTATCAGTTCCCGAAACCCTTCACGCCGGGTGAAAATGGCATAAAATCCGCACAAGTCGACTTTTAACCCGCCTTTACTATTCAATATCACTATACAGTTAACGCGTTTAAAACATTGAAAAACAATCATAGAATGTTACATTAACAATTAATAACTTGCAGTTCATCATGGGCATTTTAGCCAATTTAGGCCATACAGACAAAGCAGTCTGGCCAAAGACGCCTCAATCTGAAATAAAATTCTAGTTTTACGATACCTGATCTCATTTAGATTGTAGCAATAGCATTATTTTTAATAGAAATTCCATATCAGTTTGTACTTCCAGTCTGTTCTTTGTTTACAATATCGTCACTGTTGAGCCATGGGACGACTGTCTGCCCAAGCTGCAGCGCTGGTTGGTAGCAAAAACTCAGACGGCTGAAACTCTCCATTTGTTTCGAAATCAGTGTAATAAAACTCCGATTCAGAGTCCCAAACTATTGAAAAAGTCAATTATGTGTCAAAAATACAAAATTAGCTCCTTTCACATGCACAAAATAAACATTTGTCCGCAGCATTTTGTTAAAGGTTTCTATAGAGAAACACAATACGTGCTGAGAACATGTCACTTGTGACGTCAAAGATGATCGTCCACTCGTGACGATTTTCGCCTCGAGTCTCAAGTTGTCGGAACAATTGTCGTTTCTCAACTTAAAACGCCTGTATTTCAAAAACGGTAACTGTGATTTAAAAACTTTTTTCGATCCTGGAATTTGCTTGTCACAAACTACCGTTTTAGCCAAACTTAATTTTGCGTGTCAGTTCTCCTTTAAATGATATTTCTTTCAATTTTGACAACCGAAGGGGGGATGTGAACAAGGACAAAGCTTGAGGTGTATAATTTTGAATCAAAACTGCCTAGATTGTTCTAGTTCACTTTTATATTGAACCATTTTAATTTTATAGGATATGAAGATGATTACTATGATTTTGTTTACTATTCAAAGCCCTGTTTATTGACACATCACATTGTCTGTCAAATGTCATCCTTGTCGTGCCCATCCTTATTTGATTTACAAATTGGATCTTTTTGTCTGGAAAAGTCTTATCGGTATTTCAGGACTTGTACCATCATCAGCGGACGCACGGAGACATCACAAACACGTTATCCAACTATTTACCATACATAGGCATGTTGTATTTCCTTTTATACTATTATACTATTTATACTATTTGATTTTAGCTATGTTTAAGGGAATTTTAAAATGATTTGTTGACAATTCTAACAACTATTCTGATGTTGCTAAAAACCTGAAATTTTTGTATTAGACGATTCCATCAGGCAATCATATCCTATTATTGTGTATTAACAAAAGCCAAGTTAACAAACTAAAATGAAAACCTGAGCTGTTTAAGAAACTTTATTGTGAAAGCAGTTTTTTTTGTAATTGCCGTTTCGACGAATTAAGAGGCGATTAATGTCCACATGAGCTGTAGATTCCGTGACTGATAGCAAAAACAGATTCTAGAAAAGTTATCAACCTTCCTCTGGCCAAGAAAATCTAATTATTATTAAACCTTCATCAGTTTTTATGGGTTTAGAATCGGCATGGTTAGGAAATTGGGGATACACAGCTAGTCTTTTCCCCCTCTCCTTAGAACACCGTTTTTTCAAAACATTTATAAAAAATTGTAGCTTGTTTTTAATTAAAGATGTTTTTTGAGACAGATGTAAAGTCATTTCGTTTGCTTAAATTACATGCTTTTTTCAATTATTAACAAAATCGGGTCAAAATTTGAATATATAAATAATAAATGATCAATGCCTAAATTTTACAGTGAATAGCAGTTCTGCGAGCACTGTATTTTGAAAACAAAAAGATAATATGATTTATTCAACTTTCTCAAGTTTCCAAGTCACCTTAATTTCTTTGTGTTTAAAACCTTCTGGCCAAAAATTTCAATATCTTTCTTTAACTCTATAACAAGTATAGTTTCAAATTATAATTGTCTTATTTCATAAGAATATTGGCTGACAGACACGTGATGAGCATATTTGTTTAAGGTAACTGAACATGCTGTAATCCACACATTCCTTTGATAGGGCTGTAAAGAGTCGTAGACCGTTGTATTATTTGCAATCGTCATTATAAAGAGAAATTGGTTCTTCTTCATAGCATGGTGAAGAACCAATTTGTTTAGTGTTTAATCAGTCGTTTGATCTTAGCTCATCCACAATCTTGAGGTTTTATCTGATTTTGCTCCTTCTTACCTCCTCTACTTAAGTGTATAACAGTGAATATGGCTTGTTCGTTGTGCTTCTAAGCTTTCCGCCCTCACTTTTATGTGCTCCAATATGACGTTATACAAAGTTTAGAAGTAGCTATTACTAGGTAGTAGAAATGTTTTGTTATTCCTGGTGACTCAGCATCAGATAATACCTGAACTGAAACTTTTCATTCCACTTTCTAGGACACATACAAATCAGCCAGGTGCCTGACCGGAACGAACCGGATAGTAACGGGGAAATAAATTACACTTTTGTGTTTAATCATCTGCTAAGAATTGGATATTCCGGTTGGATTGGATGTGAATATGTTCCGCAAGGTAAATTACACGGTTCTCAAACCCATCTCCTATGGTTGGACTTATTATAATTCTTCTGATAAACGCATGCCATTGGTCAAGTGTCATATGATTCCTAAGGCACCTAACTATGTTTTGACACGATTCATCTCATAAATTTAACAACTCCATATTGAACAATGAAGTCAATATTGGCAAGTAATAAAGTTTTCTCTTTGGTTTTAGAAAGCAATGTCAATCTCCTTCAACTATTCCTTGTCAACTGATTTGCCAGTAAATTAAGTTATTTCGTCTTTATCTAAATATGCACGTTCTACGTTTTTTACTTATTTCGTTTCATATTTTACATTTCATTTAAGTACTTTGGATTGAGCTGCCCTTCATTATCAGCTGTTTTTAAAGGGGCCGTAACTATCAAATTAAACAATAACATTAAAAATCTGCATAGCTATCTTCTGAAAGCTAATAAAAACTGCTTTTAAAGTCAAATGCAAGCAATTTAAAATTTAGTTCTTAATGCTTCTTAATGAAAGCTTTGAAGTCACCTAGATGGATGTCTGTTTGGACCAAGCTGAAAAAAAAGCCAAAAAAACAACAACAAAAAACAAAAATGACCGGTTTAGTCATTAGCCGACTTGTTAACGGAAAGCCTCCAGAGCATATGTCGGTAATATGCAGACTTCGACAGGGGTGGCGCTAGAGACAAACCTTCAAGGTGCCGAAGTTTATATTCTCCGTAACTGCCGACACTGGATGTGTCAAATTGCCGACAGAAAAAAAAATCGATTTGCCCCATATAGCCGGCAGGGCCGTCGCGAGGCAAGCCTCGTTGGGGGGGGGGGGGCTGTGGAATGCAAATTTACCTGATTAAAAAATTATTGCCTGAAACTTTTTAGCTAGTGTCACAAACCTCTGCAATACATTTTGCCAATCTAATGCTGTATGATAATAACCGACTTTCCTAATAGTCTTGTCAAATCTCTATATCGGGACGGGCAAAATATATAGTTACTACCTGAGGCGGCACCATGGTTGCCGCCGAAGGGGCAGGAAATTTTCGAATTATGATGCTTCTAGTTCCCTGGAAAATGCATTCTTTTAAGCAAATTTCACTAAAGCAATCCTCCTAATCCTATTGAAAATTATTGTCTTTTTGCAAAACTTTTTTACAGCAGATAAAAACAACAATTTCGCCGTGGTCTTGAAAAATACCAGGTTGCCAGTTACTTTTAAATTTAGATACCTCTCTCCATCTTAGCATGCCTTATGAATGTTAAGAAAAATCTGGAGCTCATAGTGAATTGCAGTTGATGCTTCTACTGAGAAACTTCAGGAGAAATGGACACGAGGCACAATTTTACCTAAGATTGCTTGAACCTTTATAGATTTTATGACAGGAAGGTCTCTGAAATACCTAAAGCGTTTCTTCCACCGAGCGGATTTTACCTGAAATTTCCTATTGAGATACTATTGGGGTGGGTGTGACAACCCCCCAGTCGCGACGCCCCTGAGCAGCACCGATATAGAGCATTTTTCCAAGAGCAAGCAAGCATATAGAGCAAGAAATAGAGCATTTTTCCAAAATCGTTTGTTGTCCCCACTTTCCAACCTATGTCGGAGTCCACGAGATTTTCTCGGCAATTTGTGCCTTGTAAGAAACTTAATGCGCAAATATTGCCTATTTTTGAATATTTCTTCCTATCTATGTTGGAAGAAGTTAATCGATGATTTTCTCTAAACCATTTGTTTGTCGCAAGCTATGCGGTGAACAATGCTATTGAAAAATAGTTGATGAAAAAGGACAAGAAGTGCTTTTTGAAAAATTTATTACGCAAAATGTGCTCATGATCGAAATGTTTTCATTGGCAATAATAATGTCTTGAAACGAAAAGAGAATCCTTTAAGAAGAAAATTCATTAAAGACTTTATTTATTACAGCGTGATTTTGCTGTTGTTAGGGTAAATTTCCTTTAAACGGTCCAAAACATGGTCCAAATCAAGCATCTCTGCACGTTTCGCATGAATTGGCATTAGCATGAGCAGCAACAGGGATTTCAACCAAAGGAGCACGATGGTATTGTGGGTCATGCGAAGGAGCACCATGAAATCAAGTCACAGCTTTCACGGAAGCGAAAGGATATAATGCCACTATGATAGTAAAATTGCCAAAGAAAAGCCATTGAGAAAACCATTAACCAGCCAGTGCAGTTTTCTCCTCGATTATTTATGTCATTCAAACAACATGTAAACCGGGTGACATCCATCAAGTGCCGACGGTATTGAGAAAGCAAAAATTGATTGGCTGCCGACGGGGGGGCTAACAAAAATTAGGGGGGCTAAAGCCCCCCCTTGCCCCCCCCCCCCCATGCCGCCACTCCTGGACTTCGAATGCATCATTTTTGAGTTTTTGGTGAACATGTTACACAATAACCGCCGAACAAGCCTTGAGAATTGCAGACTGTGGCTTTAGATGCTAGATTCACTATCATATTTTGTTTTCCTACCAATTTCATTGATAAGTGGTCCGCCTGGAGTGTCAAAGTCGCTGTCAGTTATGATTGCCTACAGCTCAGTTTTAAAAGTTTTTGTAACTGGCTGGGAGCCACAGCAGCCCCAAACAGCTGCTCGGGATTTTGTTCCTTTAGGGCTTGTGGCCTGAATCCTTCTGCTATAATTTTTCTTGCTTATATCATCCAACGCCCTCTAACGCTCCTGAACCTTCAGCCACACTTTCTGTTTAGCATTCTTTACCTTTGGTGAATCTATTTTTTTCACACAACTTGACCTTAAATCTTAAAACCCAAAAAAATTTCTTCTATTATCACACCCTAGAAGCCGATAAAATATCTTTGTTATTTCTTTTTTTTCTGACATGTTTTCACTATTGACAGTTGGTGCCAAAAAACCTTTTGACTTTGGTAATTTCTTTGGATTTTTTTGAGAGCAATACAGATCTACTAGAGCTTGTAGCCAGCTGTAACAGGATAGATTCGATTTAGAGGGGCAAAAGCTTTTGAATCTACTAAGATCATTGTGTCACGTTCCATGTAATTTTAAAAGATAATATTTTATATTGGTACTTTTAATTTTTAGAAGGCGGTCATAGTTACTGTATCGATACACTTAATGCTGTCTTCATTTTCACCTATAATTTTTAGACATGGAACCAGGTTTTTCTGCTTTAAAGCATACTGACCTGTACACCGTTACCTTATATCCTCTAATGAACCCACTAAGGAGTTGCTTCTTCGGAGCTCGCGTTTTTTACTGGCCTATTTTGATCTACACCTGGGTGTATTTATTTTCCAACTTTGGGATTTCGATCAATGTTCTGACGTTTTATTGAAACTGTTTGCTTTTTTCAAAGCCATGATTAGCTTTTTAAAATTTCTTTAAGTCGCATGAAGCAAAAAGCTAGTGTTGGTTAATCAAATCAACTTAAACTTTCTTAAATTGTGAAACGCTAGTCCTAATTTCAAGCTCATTATAACCAACCATTTACCGATTAGTCAGCGTCATGGCAATCCTCCTCACGGTCCCTTTTATAAACAAGAAACAGATTCACTTGAGTGTTGGAGACGCTCCTTTGAAGGGGTTGCTAATTATATTTTTCTTTTTCGGGGGGAATTGATTCGGGGGTTTATGGTATCTTAATACCAATTTGAGATCAATCACTCGCCGATGTTTCCCCATTACATTCACGTTGTTCATTATATTAGACTTCAAGCTATAATCTAAGCTCCACTTGAAAACAAAATCTAGCGTTTTTAAATTATTGGTCTTTTATTTATTTGTTCCAGTTCTAAGTTTTGGTTTTTTTCTCCCCAGATTCAAAAGGATTGGGCTGGATTGAGCCATATTTACAAAGGGATGATGATATGGAGCTGAGAGTAATAAAGTCATGAGACGATGCTCTCGATATCTAGAAATGCACATTGCAAATTGGTCTACTCCTTGCATTGACTTGGAATCGACGAAGCGTTCCTGGGATTCTTGAAGAAGAAAAATGTTTAGTAACTCGTAAATGATAATTGTATCGAGTTTATGAGTGGTGGTGATATCTTGATAAAATGAATGTATGTATTGTATTATTAACTAATGCACTTAATATTCAATTGAGAAATTCAAAGAATATTTAATAAAACACCTAATCTATTTTCATTTGCTTTTATTGCTGCTTAACGGCCTACACCAGTTGTTTACCTTACACCGAGAACGCTGAGAAAATCACCCACTTGTTCTAAAAGCGGAATCGTAGGTTAGTTGAGTTGCATCATAAGAACACATTTTATATTGTAAGCTCAATGTGTAATAACATTTCCTTCATCGCATGTATACCTGGCGTAAGCAGACGACAATCTAAAGTAAAACCAAAAGCAGGATGCAAATATAGCAAAAATCTTCCAAAGTTTCCATGATCCCACCGTCTGCTTTTCCACGAGAACTGCTTTTCAGGGGGGGGGGGGTGACAAAAACATTAATAAGTAAGAAGATAAATACCACGTAATAAGAGTGTTCGTTCATAGTTAGTTTTTGATTCTTCTCTAAAAGGTGGCAAGGGAGGGTGCCTGTTTGGCATCAGGTTCAAGTTGGTTCCAAATTTTAGGTCCACGAAAAGAAATGGCTCTCTGCCCATTGTTTGTTTTCCGTAAGGGTATCGAAGATCGGTATCGGTATTTCTCAGTTTTCTAACATTTCGAATCGAATTTTTTTCGAACAGGTTGGAAAGGTACTCTGGGACGAGCCCATTTAACGTCTTGTACATTATTGTAGCTGTTTCGCTTCTAATAATGTCATCTATAGTTGGCCAACCCAAACTGCGAATCAGTGGCATAGCAGGTGCATCAACTCTGCTTTTAACTCGATTCTGCAGCTTTTGCAACGATTGCAGTTTAGTCACCCCACAGCACCCCCATACCGAACAGCAGAATCGAAAATTGGGCTCGACGATACCCCAATTTACTCAACGTGTTTTGAGGTAAACATTTTCTGGAATGTTTCAAAAATCCGATTACACGAGAAACTTTGGTACGGAGACTGTTAGCGTGTTCCTCCCAATTTAAGCTTCTATCCATGATCACATCCAGATACTTTGTTCGGTCAGCTTTTTCAACTTCAGAGTCACTAATAAAAACCAGTGGATGATCAACTGTTTTATTTTTCAATTTTGGGCTGGGGGATGACATGATAAATCACAAGTTTCTGAAAACCCCTGCAGAGTTGCTTGCTTTTGCTGGACATATTACCTATAAGCTGCATCTAGATAAAAAATTATTTATTACTCCGTACAATAATATCATAGTCAATTTGACTATGGTACAGTCAATACAATTTATTTTCTTCCTCATATGATAGCGCGGGGAACATATGTTTCTACTGAGGAAACAGCCTCGTCTTAATGATTCCTGATTGATTTTTGGCGGGTAATCAAAGTTACTGCCACAACGATGCCACTGGGAGATATTTTGGAGGAAATTGATACTTTACGTGCTATATTTTGTCAGGATGGAGAGTTCTGCCTTCATTCTGATTTGGATTGTTTACGTGAGGCCAATGCTTATAGCATCAGCTTCTCAATTAATGTAAATGTTGATGTGGAAGCTGCATATTCTGCAAGCAGCGCTGCTGCAAGTTCCGTTGCGAAAAAAGAGCCTAAAACGGTGAACCTAGTTCTTTCCGTTTCGATTGATTGTAAGTATCCAGATGAGCTGGAAAGTATTTCAGTTACAAGCACAGATATGAAAAGAGCTGAGGTCGATACTTTGAAAGCGGGGCTTGTTCAATATATTGGCCGTTGTTTAAAAGGTCGTGGAGAACCAATGATATTGGATATTGTTCAATGGATGAAGGAAAATACAGAACGGTTTATTGTTAAAGACAAGGAAAGGATTCACAATATGCATCAACAGTCTTCGGGAGCAGAAGAACAAGGAAATCCCAATGTATCAAGCGAAAAATGTTTTGTTTTGAAACTTGATCACATGAGAGCCAAACAAAAGTACAAAAAGACCATATTAAGTTGGATGAATAAACTGAATCTTTATGGAAGATTGATTTTCTTTAAAAAATCAATTTGGATTGTTGTATATGGAAAACATGAGTCCATCAAGGAGTACATTAAGCTTCACAGATCACAAAATGTTGATGTGGACTCAAGTGGCAGACCATGCAAAGAGAGAATGATGAGCATTTTGCTTGAATTTGATTGCTCACTCTCCAACGACGAGTAAGTACAAATAATTATTTAAACCATCAGTCAGAGAAACCAGAGTATGAAGACTTGTTGAAAAGTGGCCTGTCTCTCTTTTGAAAAATGTAGCAATCTCTTTTGTTTTTCTCAGCAGGGGATTTAGGGGCTGTTGGTCCATTGTCCTTTATAATTTTGTGCTTTTTTCTTAGTTTCGGGCCCCTTTCTGGCTACCATAAGCATGGGGCAAGGGGCCACACCTAAAACCACTCCTTATTTTGCTATTATTTTGCCTTGGTGCTTTGCTCCTTCACCTACAACCCTTCAAGTATTTCTGCCATCAATCATTATTGTCACACTCTGCATCAACAATTCTGTATTAATCAACTGTTATTACTGGATAGCAGGTTGTCTCTCAGTATTCTAAATAACCTACATCTTAGATCACGCTTATAACTCCTCCAAAACACCTATCACTCAGGTTGATGCCATTATTAAGAATGAAATTTTAAGAATTCACCACATTTGCCACTTTCTTTCAACCTTGTTGTGTAATGTAAGAATATAACAACTAAAACATGGTAGAAATTTCTAGAGTGTTAGCATGGTTGTGTTGTTAGAACTCATGGCATTTTAAAACAAAAAATTACTGTTGCTGACGCATTTCTTTGATTTTAATTGACAATCACTGACAAAGCATTGTCTAGTCTACTTAAGTCTTAAAATGAACTAATTTATGTAAACATTGGAAGGAGGGGGCATTGTATAATTTTATGAAATTCTAGTGAAAGGTAGAGGGCAATAAACAATTGTATGAAAGTTTAGTGTAAGGCTTTTTACCTAGAGGTATTGAATGCTGAAAATCTCAACCTAGTAGTTTATTTTTTTGGTTTGGCACATCCCCAACATCTCTGAGTTTATGTGTCACCTTTGATTATTGATTTTGTTTACAGGCTTGATGGATTTAAAGTTATAGAGTGTGAAACATGGGATGAAGTTAGCAAGGCGTTCCAGGTCTTTGGCGTTGATCCTGAGAAGTTGTAAAAGGTGAGAATTATTCATTGAAAGTAATATAAACAAAAAGTGGATGTGAAGTTTTCATAATGGCAGAAGCATATTAAAGATGGTCAAAATGAGGCGAAGGGGCCAAGATATGTGAAGCAAGCCAGCTTGTGGGGGCCAAAGGAGTTTCCTGGGAATTTTTGCAACCACACCTTTGGAATGCTAGAAATGACTCTTTGAAAACTAACATGAAATCAACTATGCTATAGAGTTCTTAGGTGTGATGTCACAAAAAGTTATTTTTATAATTTTTGAATTTTGACCACATAACATAAAATAGCATTTTGGTTTGGTTCATGATGTTATGAGCAAAGACCAGATCCCAGTGGTTTGATGGGGAAAAGGCTGTGGTCAATTTGTAAACACTATTTATTAAATTATTAAATTTATTAAATGGCAGATAAAATCACAACTTTAAGGTTAACACCAATAACGCCAAACGGTAAACTGAAAATGTAGCCAAGTAAGAAACAGCTTACATATTTGAGTGGGCCATAAGCTGACATAAGCAATTTTTTGGCAGTACAGAGTAATAGGTCCAGGGAACGTACTTGAAAGTAGAAGGGCCAAAAAATTAAGGTCTTGAAAGGGCTTAGGAAAGGCTGCCACCATGGTTGACAGCAATAAATTTTCTAGAAAAAAACAAAAGATTTAGTAATTTGTACAGTCAGGATTTTATTTTGTAACATCTCATGTCAAATTCTTGGAATATAGTGCTTTTAGCAGAAAGGCTCTAGATTTGAAAAACAAATTCAAACTGGGCTGGTCATAATGAGTTTTAATATAATTTATAATTGCGTCTAGATTTTCTCTTTTATAGAAAGGATGGATTATCGTTACAATCAAACTTTGAAGTTTTCTTGATGATGCTTTTAAAGAAAAAATCTGCTCATTCCTTTTTCTCATTTCTCATATCCTCAAAAATTTTCCTTCCAACACTTTATTTTCCTTCAACAGCTGAATGCTCTCTAATTGTAACACTTTTTGAGAAAGTTTTCGTTAACAAATAGACCTTGTATGTCAAATTTAGGCCATAGAAAAAGCAAAATTACATTATTATGTGCTGGCACCAAGTTATTCTAGATCAGGTTTCTCGATAAGTTATTACGAATCAGTCATATATTTTTAGACAAAATTAGATCAGTGCAAGCAATCTAATTAAAAATGATCAATTCTGAAAATCCGCCATTTTGAGATAATTGCCACCAATATAAAATACAATGGTTAATAGACGCTTTTTATAGAATATTTACGAAATGTGAATAGGTATCTACTTGAAAACATCCAAAACCTGCAATTATTTGATATGAGCATAAGTCTATTTCAATGCCTACATTTTTGCTAAAATTCTGCCATTTTGCATCTGATCCGCCATTTTAAAATTCAAAATTCCCCAAATAAAATTTGATACTACAATGTCTAGCGACCCTAAAACTTTTTTTAGAACTTTGACTGGAAAATCTTTCCGATTTTCCTGGTTTGAGACCTGTCTATTAATTCCCCTATGCAATTTTAATTTTAGCCCCTATGTCTTCTGTGGTAAAGACATATCAACCAAACTAGAGCTAAGGGATATTTAAGGGATCACTACTTACTAGACAGTTTCTTTCAGAATGATATAGTATATTACAAAATGTGAATAGGTATAGTATATTTCTTTCCTCTTTTGCCTCAAAATTTATTTCTGCTTTGCAGAAAAGTGAGTGGCCTTGGCCCTGAATAAGGGTCCGATAGAACACGATGGAAAATACATACCCAGTTGAGGATGGAAATAGGCCAATCAGCAGGGACCGCGCACCAGTCTAAAATTGGAGGGGCTGAAATGGGTGTGCCCGAAAATTTTTTGAGGCCACGCCCTCTAGAACGCTGGAAAAGGCCTCTTTTAGAAAATACTTGCTTATTTTTTCTTAATCTTTATAAACAGCCTGGTTCAGAGAAGACATCGATAACTATGAAAATAGATAAAATTATCTTGAGGGTAATAAAACATCAAGCTAACCAAGGTAGAAAATACATCATATCATTAAACAAGATAAAACACCTATTAAAAGAACAAAAAAGGTTTCCAGTCAAGAAGAATTGCATAGGAGTAAGCTATCCAAAGTTTCGTAGAGAAAATCTTTTAAAAAAAATTCTAGCAAAGGGGAGGTATTAACCCCTACTAGCCCAATGGCTGCGCGGTGCCTGTCAATCAGAAAAGCGCAAGCACAAGACCGGCATAGTTGTCCAATCAGTGCTGCGTCCCTGTAGACTAGAGTCCGAGAGAGAAAACGAACTCCTTCTGTCTACAAAATGGCGGCTTTTTCGTTTGTATGTAGACCGATTCCAAAACTGCTAGATGAAAAGACGACCGGGCTCTGCCAATTATCTGCAACATTTCGTTATGTTGCAAAATCTAGATTGTCCTAAACGTGTTGTCCGATGACAGCAGAGTCACTATTTTTTACTGCGGTTTTAGACCTATACGATACGATCGAGGAGGCGGTTCTTTTCGAGGGACAGTTTGATATTGTCCACCTCGTAAAAGCCTTCAGGGCCCACGCCACCAGGGGGCCGGATGGGCCACGCCCCCCCCACTTTTTCGCGAAGCAAGTAGTTTTAAAGCTGCAGTAATGGGGAAAAAAGCCTTGGTCCCCTACTTTTGCTAGCCTTGGCCACCCACATTTAAACTCGTGGCGTAGGCCCTGCTTGTAGAAGCTTATTTGGTTCCAGACAATCAACCAGCAGTTAGGATCGGCTTATTAGAATCTGATCTTACTTTATTTCATCTTATTATATAACCCTAGCAGTTTAGCTGATCTTGCTTAAAAGACACTTTGTTTGGTGTATGAGTCACAGCATGAAGTTTGTTTTGAAACGGTCTGTCAAAAGTTGAGACCTTTTTTGTTTTTATACCACAGACAAATTTCAATAACGTCAAGCAGTTAATCTGGAAAGGTGATCAATTTGTTTGAAAGATATTGGTAGGGCCACTATTCGACCTCTGTTACATGATAAAAGACAATCATATATCTTGTTTTGACAGACCAGTTCTCTACTTTTTGGGGTATCGCGGGCTAACTATTTGTGAAACTTGTTAAAAATGGTTCTTCAAGGCACGGCTTTCAGTTTTTTGATATTCTGATATTTTGATATTCAACACAAACAATAAACAAGCCATATTTTCACTTCAATTTTAGCCTTATTTTGTGGGAGCTTTATTGGTTTTTGTGTACAAAGAATGAGTACACTATATTTAGCGATGTCAAGACAAAGTAAACAACAAACTCCCTTCCGAATGTTCTGCTTGCATTTCACTTCGTTTCTTGAATTTTCGATGATTGGTCTGTGAAAGTCAAAGAGATGTTGGTGAAAGTGCTCTAGGCGAGGGATTCTTCAATGCATGGCGTGCGCCTATGTGTGATGTCAGAGTTCTTTGTAGGCGGATTGTTCGCATTCTTTTCCTTGTATCCAATAGCAATCTTCTCAATAACTGGCCAAACATATCGGTTAATCTACCTTTTGTAAAACGATTGTTTACAAAATTCTCTAGCGACCATTTTATTGCTGAAACACTTGAAAACGACGTCAGATCACAGACGTGGGACGAAGCGAGTTGGTTTTGAAATTTCAAGGTGTACGAGAGGGATTACAGTTTTACAGAAGATCCATTTGCCTCTCCATCTACTCAGAAAGAGATCTTTTTCATGTTTCAAGTCTACCAAGGTGAGTTGGTCGATAATCAAAGATTTTATGGTGTTAATCTGCATATGATTACAATTGTGTTTACAATTTTCATGATATGATGCCTATTGTAAACCTTTTCACAAGTATTGAAAGAGTCAGATGTGAAATTTCCTTACAGGCAAAGCCTTGATTAGGCGGAATATGACAAAGATCTGCTCTATTCGTTTGTTTTGCCGGTAATGTTTACTTGGAATCTAAAAGTACCTCAATGATTCCCAATTATTCTTCTGCCATACCGTAAGTCCTTGAACGTGCGTTCCTCTTCGAATGAACACCCAACACCTGCTAAAGAGTCGAACTTTCAATAGAGATTTACAGCATTTCATTTTGGGGTGGGCGGTGCTACCTGGTGCCCTTTGGAGAAGTAACTTTCATGAAACAAATCATCCGTTCTTCTTATGCCAGCCACGGGGAGTACGGAGCCACCAATAAGATAATTGCATCCTTTGGAAGTTTTGATGTGGCAAATTTGTAAAATTCATAATTTTTTAAAACTTAATTGAAGAAAGAAAGACATGAGAGAATTCTTCACTGCAGAAAAACATCGGAACCTTTATTACAAATACTGTTTTTTATTACACAAGCAAAAGATATACTCTGTCATGAGATATATCCTTAAAAACAATGTTCTTACAGTCCTCCATTTTTTAGTATCTCAGCCTCTTGTTCTTCTTAATTTGTTCTTAACCTTTACTATAAAATTATTCTTATAAAAATGCCATCAACTATTTGCCATCAACACAACGGTAGTTTTGCAGCTTGCTGTATTGAAGGGATCTTGCAGAAAGGTCCCACACAAAGCGGAATGATGAAGCTGAGGCTTAGTGTAGGCCCGGTTGAATCTTTCTTTCGAGATCAATCACAAAAATATGCCCGTTAAACACAAAACGCCCTCTTTTTACTACTAGATTGTTTTTTATTTCGCCATCAGTATCTGCAGATATTAGACCTCATCCACCTCTTTCTACATTCAACGGATATAAGAATTTATAGCTCCATGCTCTTTTGTGACTTGTTTACTTTCATAAATTTGTTTGTTTGTTTAGGTAATCTTCTCAAATTTTAATAAAAAAGCAAGAAAACAAATAATTTTTTATCCATAATGAACAAGCTCCATGTTAATCTTATCATATCTAAATCCGTCTGTTCGCCGGAAACTTTGCGCAAACAGCTCAAGTTTGATTTTCAATAGATCTTGATTCCAGAAATGGCTCCAGAAATCTGAATGCGGCGATGGTCTTGATTTCTTTTTTTTTGACTTCTTATTATCTTGGTTTTCAATTAAAAATGGAAGATAACATAGGCACTCTTAGCCTACCCGCCTACTGGGTTTTCCATCTTAGATTAAAACTTACCTAAGTAATTACAATCAGGTACACTTACTTTTGACAGCTAAACATATGACGGCAATTTCCATAGCGACCAGTAGGCCTTTCTTTCTGCCGTCATGCATGGTAGTTCACACTTCGGGAAGGCGTGCTTTGATCCCCTAATTCGATCACGGTAATAACCTTGTTGTTTGAAGGGAATAATTTTTCCATATGGATTTTTCTTGACAAAGTAAAACATTATTCGTTCGACTGCTAACATTGAAAACTACTGTCAACACAAATATCGGCGATGAAAACAATAACTGCACGTCCAAACTTTTCTTTATCCTTGCTTGCTTGCTTTCTTCATCGAACTTTTGCAATGCGTGACGCAAGGATAATCGTTTCAGAATGCTGACATCAGCAGAGTTTGTTTTTGTCGCTGATTCGCAGACTCTACTGGGAGAGAAACACTAAATTTTCCATTCAACAAAATTCATATCTTGGAAGACCAGTTGAGTCTGCGTGCAGATTAAGGCACCCTTCGTTCAAGATAACTACAATTTTCAGTAGGATATATAAGACTTGGGTTGTTATCGGTTTTTAAAATCTTTATAAAACATCGAAATCATTGTAATAACCTCTGCATAAATTTCTCGCCCTTTCTCTTGAATTCTCTCTAAGCCCCATTTTTCATTTTGTTCTTCAATAAACCAATTTTGCATGTTTGTCATATGTTTCTTGACAATGCTATCAATATTTCTCGTTTCTATCGTTAAGGGATAGACGTTTGTGGGTTATTTTCTGTTCTGTTGATAGATATACATTATTCGAGAATAAAGAGTAATTAAATAGAGTCGGGAACTGCTAAACCACATTCTATTTGTTTCCGTGAGAAAATCAGGTTTGTTTTCAGTCTGAACGTGGGATGGGTTTAAAACGTCTGCAGCTACTAATGCTATAAAACTTTTTCATTAACTTTTCTTTGAAGTATTTCGTAAATATTGTGCTTTAAAAACTAGAAATAGCACAATCATAGGCCAGGGTATTCAGCTGTAGCCAATACTCATACAACATTGGTGAACGCCTTCGCTCTAGGCCCAACACTGCCTTGCAACCCAGCCCTCCCACACCGATCAGTGGCGATTCTACGAAGAGGCCAAGGGGGGCCACGGCCCCCCAGAAATTTTCTTTGCCCCTTGTTTTGCCCCCCAGTTTTTTCAAAAGTTACTGTTAAAAATCCAATGTTTTCTGCCGAAGCTGTTCAATCGTTTTTTCACTTGTTAGGGTTGCTCTCTTTATTTTTCTCAAATCGATCTTAATTGCATTTATTTAAGAAACTAGGGGCCCCCGATAAGCGTTTTGGTTTGTAACCGAGGTGGACATTTATGAAATTTTGGCTCCTTTCTGATAAGTTACCAAGCAAAAACCAAGTGTTACCAAGAGTTCTGTAGTTAGCTAGAAAAACTCATTCTTGACAATCATTTAAATTCTATATTTGCTATATATTATCGCGAAGATCCACCTTCTTGCGGTGGGGTGCGCAGGGTCAGCCCAATACCATCCCAGTATACCTTGGCAATATACTATTGCTTATCGAAATTGTATGACTTGAAATTCTGTGTAACAGAATGATTTGCTTGATCTCATGGAGGTTGGATATAAGACATAACTTCTATGGACAAATTTTACCAATCAACCTCACAAAGCTATTAGACTTTTATTTTTTAGAAGTTTAGTTCTTCTGTTGAAAACCATGATCATGATGCATTATTGTTAAACAGATAAAACTCAGTGGAGTAACAGAACAAAGTTACTTTTAGTCATATAACAAACGGTCCCGAACCTTTAGGGGCCCCCAGCAACAATTTTTCTTTGTTATTTTCCCTAGGGGACACAACTGCTTACACCACTAATAAAACTATTTGGCATAATGACAACAGCCTTGATAGAGCTGTACCAAGGACATACTTATCTAGGGGGCGCTAAAAATCGGTGCATTGTAGCTAGCTAATTTTGAGCCACCACGCCACTGCTTTACATTCTACTAGTTCCCAAAGTAATAGCTAGCGTTGGCTCCTATAACTGAAAGTTTGGCCCCCGGTAACCTACCCCCCCCCCAGATTTTTAAGGCTAGAATCGCCACTGACACCGATTGGTTATTTGAAGTAGCAAATTATTCGATAAGAGAATTGTAACACCTGTTGGTATAGTTTATTCATAAAATACAAACATTTTACCAGCATCGAGGGTTCGTTTGTTGGTTCGTGTGTTCGTTTTTTTCTCTTTTTTACACATTATCACATTTCCAGACTCAAAGCCTCTTCTTCTGACATTCCTCAGAGTTTAAAAGGTCAGAATAAGTGTACGAACGAACACAATTTAAATTAATACCCGGTTGTGAATCGAAATAGGTCAATCAGAAAAACGTAAGCACAAAAAAGCCGCTATTGTGTAGAGAGAAATGTTTGCTTTTTTCAAAGCCATTCTCCAGTTTGTTGAAAATAAAATAATAGTCGTGTTCCACGCAACTATGATACACAACGTGTACTCTATGCGGGTGAATTTAATTTCTTGTGCATTTCGTTTCAACTGTAAACGTTTTTTGTTTTTACTGGATGACTCATTTTGAAACTCCCTTCGTTTCTTTTAAAGGGTATGGACTTGTTCAGGAGGTTTTCGTTGCGAAATGCTGATGTTGAGATTGTCAAGAGAACCATCACAGAAGAACGCCCGAAGACGGGTCTTGGCCTAAACAAGAATAACAACAAAGAGGATATATTTGGATTGTTGTATAATGGGACTGAAAAGACTATAGACATAAATGAAAGTCTCAAAGAACAAGACGAAGATGACTTTGTTGTTATTGAGCTGATCGATGAAGAGGAACAGGAACTTGCAGATATAGATACAAATTCATGCGAGCATATAAATTCAAACTCAAGCAAGCAGATCCTTGTCTACCTTGCTAAGAAGAGAAGACTGTTCATCACGTGTCGCTCACGTGCTGTTACCCATTCTCCTTTGATTGAGAAACACTCCACTGGACGCACAGTCCTTTACCTTAGGCCTTATTACAGGCTTACAGTTTCTCCCACAGAACTTTGGTACATTAAGCATCGCAGTGCTATTTTCATTCGACCCGCAATTCGAAAAGGCAATCATAAACCGATCCATTATACTGAAAAGGTCGAGTTTGAGGATGGCATAGGTGCGGGAATTCCTTCCAAAAAGCAAGATTTGTCTGGCTATCAGCTGGTTTTCTCTAATGAAAAAACCAAGGAAGTTTCCAAACTTTCTGTATCTGGAGATTTCACGAAATCCTGCGAAGAGCGCCATTCAGGAGCACATGATGTGGGAGCAGCAAGTGGGCCCTTAAAGCGCTCCTACAGCATCGAGTTTTTGAATGAAGGTAAAGGTGCTGGTGATTCACTGTCCACTGAAAATGTGGCACGAAAGATCGAGCAGGGTGAAGTTAAAGAAATATTTAGTGACTCAATGGATTTAAGTTCGCAGTTCTCCCATAAAAGCAGTGACAGCATTTGCGAAAGCCCGTCTCTGAAGCGCTCGTACAGCGTCGAGTTCCTTAATGAAACAGATGATGGAGATAGGCCTTTCTCGTCCGAAGTTGTCCATTACAAAATCGAAAAAGGCGAAGGTGTTCTGGTTTATTCTGACATTGAAGTACCCACCAACGATACTGGGATGTCTGATAGTCGATCGATGGAGCTACAAGAGAAGACGAATTTGAAGCGCTCATACAGTATCGAGTTTTTAGATGAGGCCAATGACAGCAAGTCTGCTTTCACTTACGAAACTATTTCCAACAAGATTGAAAAGGGTGAAGGTAGATTGATTTACGACGATTCAGGTATTAGAGATGATATTGATATACACCCTGGCAAGAAAACAAAACGGAAGGCAGATAGGCTGAAGACCCTTGGAATTCAAATGGATATTAATGATGACGGAGGTTTAGTACCATTGAGCAGACAGTCCAAGGCATACAGCGTTGAGATACTTTGTGAAATGGAGGATAGAGCTGTGCCTATCATTACAGACGAACTTGAGTGCCAGCCTGTTTTCGATGATGAAATCATTGCAACGGAGGTGAATGCTGTGGAAGCAGAAGTTGACATGTTTGCAGAAAACGTCAATTTTTTCGAAACAGAGTCAGAGAATGATCCAAATGTTGAAAAACGAAGTTTTAACGTGAAATTTCTCGATGAAAAGCCTAATCTTGACTTAGATCTTGGACTGAATAAAACAAGCACCCCGTCCAAAATGCCTTTGCGCAGCCCGAAAAAGTCACCATTGCAAACAGTTCATGTTGGCCTTGAATTCGAGAAAAGAAACAAGTCTGAAAATGGCGAGGAAGAGTTGCTTGGCAATGAAGAAGATGAATACTTGATGTATGACGATTTCTTGAAGAGAAAGGAGGGCAACATGAGCCTTAATGGACACCACCGTATACCAAGCTTCAAGCTGAAGACAATAATTGTTAATATGGATACACACCATAAACGAAACCGGTCTTCTTTGCAGCACGATAAAAGATATCAATTAGAGTTCCAGGCTGAACGAGAAAGAAGAATTTCAATGCTGAAACAAGCTCGAAAAGCACGGCCTACAAGCTCCTCTTCATCGTTGAGGACCGTGTCAGTGGAAACAGACAAAGAAGAAGTTATCCATGATGTCGATGAGTTGAAGCCACCAGAGCTATTAAAAAAGAAGGCCTACAGTGTCGAATACCTGAATGAATGCGAAGGAGATAGATCAGTCTTCTATGAAGAGTTTGTTGATGACCAAGAGGAGCCGAAATGGGTCCTTGAATGTTGACATTTTTGTAATGAATTATGTAATCTTGAAATTTCTTACTGTAGGTTTTGTCTGCCACAGTGCGTGGTTATCAAGCTAGCAATTCGTGCTACATGTTTTAGAAAATAATTGCTTTTTATTGCTTGTTAAGGAAATTTGGAAATTAAGTTAACATATTCAAAGCATACCCAATGGAAAAATTAATCGTTGTCCTGACAGCAACTCAATTTATACCCCAGCAGTTCAATAAATTTTCAAATTTGCATTAATTTTCTGCTAAAGATAAAAAACATTACTTACAATTTTTCAGTGAAAAAACTATCAATCCCTCAAGCTCTGCAAAACTCTTCTTTTTCCGGCATTTCCCCTGATACATCCCCAGGGATTTGCTAGGCAGTTATAAAACGTATTGAACACTTGTTACCGTTGCTCCAAAGCAATAAAACGCAGATTCTTTCGTAGAGTAGAGAGTAGAAACATGCTTTAACAGCAATAGTATTTAGGTACATCGTTTTTTTTAATATGATTGCTTGTAGGTTTATATTAAGCTGTATATATAGGATTTAAGGAGCCCCAATTTTTAAGAATAATGTTTACTAAAGAAATATTTTTGTATCAATATTTAAATTTTTTATCTATTTTCGTTCTGTTACAGAGTGGTATGTTCGTCATCTCTAATTTCAGGTTCTTTTTGACAACCTAACTTTAAGGATGGGGGGTTATCCCTGCAACCGTAATGACATGTCTATTCTTAAGACAAGAATTTTTGCCCGTAACTGCTATTGTTAAAAGATTGTATAATTTTTTATTCCTATTTTGTCAAACATTGATCCTCCATAAATCTATCCTTACTACAGCACTGCTTCCGCTCCCCCAAGCTGGGGTACTTACACTCTTTTTTTATAAGAACCAGTAAATTAAAGTTCAAGCTGACTGTTCTTAATTTTTTCGAAAATCTGAGGCTGGATTGTTCTTCATTTGTTCTTTAACTAACAGGGTGTAAGCAGTGCAAGTGCTAGCTTTTTCGCTCTAGAGTGGTGTACAGGCCTAATTTGCCAACAAAGTGAATGAGACAGCCTTAATTTGCTGACAAATTTGAGTATTGACTGAAAAAGCACCCACACATCGCCAAAAATCCTCGATTTTTAGAAAAAACGTTATTCAAAATTGCATTTTGCAGAAACTCAGCCCCAGCTTGTTCTTATTTTGTTCTTAACTTTTGATCAATTTTGAGGCTCGTGTTCTTATAAAATTGTTCTTATAAAAAAAGAGTGTAATTTAAAAATGCTATGCTAAATTTGGGGCTCATAATCTTGGCCAGTTTTATCCAGGTTGTGAAAACTTCCGTAAGTGTCGCTTCAGTGCCCAACATTTTTTTATGACTATGATGTCTTAGCAGCTATGATAATCATTTTGTTCTATTATAATAACAGATAGCCAAAAATTCACTGAGACGCTCACCCTGTGGACATGCAGATCTAATATAATCAATGGATCAACCCCTGAGTTTTTTTTTCAAGAATGAGAAAAGAGGACTTTAAGTATAAGATGCCTGTTTATGCCCAGCTGTATTCGATTTTTAAGACGACAGAAAACTTAAAAGAAACAACTTTAAATTTTTCTTATTGGATTTTAAGACTTCTTATGGTAACAAAATTACTGTATTTCATAAGAATGTTATTTTTTCAAATAAAATTTGTTTTTCAGCAGAAGCTGTAGTCATGTTTGCTCCACTCCTAGATTGAACTATACGTTTCCTTGACAGGACCTAAACAAAATCCATAAAATTCCTTGAAAGCACATGGCTTTTTTTTCTATATCTCATTTGCTTTCTTAATTAGTTTATTTACAATTGGGCAGCACCCTTTTGGAAATAATTTCCTCCTGTCAGTCTTTGCCTACTGGATAGATAAATACATGGTGATATGGCTCTGACGAAGGCTTTGAAAGGCGAAACAGAAGAAACAACAAGACAGTTTGAATTCGAAGTATTCAAACATAATGTAAAATCTGTTCTCTTAAACTGTTACTTTGATCATAACCCTTTACTCCTCATTTCTTCAATCTACACTCATGCACAACATGTCACGTAATCAACAACACCCCACGATATAGAGCGGCTATACCTTTATTTCAGGTGTAGGGATAGAAATTGATGACAACCAAATTTTTGACCGAGATCTACCATTATGAGTCAATTAATGATTTTCACCAATTGTCTGACAAATTTAGCAAGATCGTCCTTGCCTCTCTCCCTTCAACTGTACAAAAGTTTATGTTTCTTGCTGTCTGAAGGCAACTTGAGTTCCGAAAACAACTCAGTCTGTATAAGCCCACCAAACTGTTACCAAAATGCTTCACCAGGCACTTTACGGTTTAGGTCCATACCCTCAACCTTTCATTTCTCTCAATTATGGGGCTGCATGCAAGACAAGCAACATCTGGCAATCTATCACAGCCAGCAGTAAAAACAAATCTTAAAGCAATGTCCATAATAAATCAAGGAGCTAAACTCTGGAATATTATGCCCTTGGAAATTAAACAGTCAAAAACAAAATATAACTTTGTGAAAGCCTTAAAAAATGGATTCAGGACCAATTTTGTCATCTTGAAACTCATTTTATAAGTGAATTCAGCGAGAAATCTGCCAGCTCTCAATTTATGAGCATTTAGATTTGATATTGGGTTTTGGCATCTTTTTTTCGTTTAGTTTAGTTCTTCGTTGTTTTCTTTTATTAATTTATAATTGTTAACCTTAACCTTTATCCAGAAATTTTGTCTTAATGTTTAAGTTTTTTTCTAATTTAATGTAATTTTATGCATGCAATATAATAGGGCAAAAAACTCGATAGCTCATCTGAGTTCTTTTTATTTGCCCTAAGCTATATCAATTATAAGTACCGTAAATCTTCGAATTGTCCCCCCCCCTCGAAAAAGCCCCCCCCCTCATGAATAAGCCCCCACCCTAGAACTACAAATTTCCAATAAGCCCCCATGCTACCGTTTATTCTCGAATTAACCCCCCGTATAAGCCCCCCCCTCGAATAAGCCCCCGTCAAAAAATATCAAAAATGAATAATTCCAGCACGACAGATGTTCAATAAGTCTTTTAACAAGATTCGTCTACGAAACAATTTGATATTTTAGGAAAAAAGCCTACTAGAAGTTGAACTAGCTTGGTGCCTAGGCCGTAATGTTGAAGAGTCCCAAGATAGTAATATTTCTCCAGAGGCAGGGGTTATGTGCTAATAGCCTATAATGTGTTGAAATTAATGACTCCATAATTTTCATCGTTCTCCGCTACCACAAAACAAGATTAAGAGACTGGGGACCCTATTTTGTGCTATAATTAAGACATCAATTGCCTCCATTTCTATGATTGCCTCCAAACACTGTGTATTGTATCTTTTAAAGACTCATTGCTAACAATGGGCCTTTGCGAGCGTGGCGACGATCCAAACAATGGCAGTAAACTTCTACTCTTGCGTAGCGCAATGGCTCATTGTTAGCAATGAGTCTTTAATGGCTCCCATAGCTTTTGAAATCAAACTTCTAAAAGCTTCTGATAGATATCAAGCATTCAATCCCCTAAATACGCCAGCTTTATTATTCTGTCTAAATAGTTCGGTTGATGCTTTTTTTATTTTCTACGGTTCCTTCACTTTGAAATGGAATAGACTTGATAGGTACTGTTGTCCCTACCGTTAATGATCGTGAGCCATGGAATCTGTTTTTGGGAGTAAACTGAATAAAATAGAGCAGAAAACTACAAATACGCCGTGCGTTCCTTCCATTGATCAATTAGTAAAATATTTAAGCTTTGTTCAGTCAACAAGGACCGTCTTGGAAAGAAACAAAGAAACTCCGTACGTGTTTTTCCGCAGTTTAGAAACTTTCTACCCCAACAAGAACCGTTGATCTGTATTTTCAGTATTTGCAAGACATTTTTCACAACCATATTGTGAATTTCGGAGAATAAGGCACTCTGTTCTGAAATTTAAATATTATAACAATTCATTTGCTTAAGTTTTTGCTCATTTGTTAGCAAGGCAAACTTCGAGAGCCGAAAAGCTGTATTTTGTTTGAATAACAACGTACGTAGCCCATTGAAAAAAGCTCCTTTTCCAAAGAACAGTTCTTTCAGTAGCCTCCTGGGCAACCTTTGTCGATCATTTATTGTTTCAAGTGCATTTACGACAGCAGTTTGTTCCAGTCCGGTGAATCATTTGTGTTTAAATTCAATACAGCAACAAAACCTTATATGTAAAACAACGCTTCATTAAAACATCGCCACGATAACATCCAGACAGCAAATTTCTACAAGAATTTCGATCCACATGCCCTCCAGTTTAATATTCTCCTTTGTCATCAATAGTCACAGAAAAGTGAAGGTGAGTTTTTTCTTCGACTATTATATATTTAGTAGAAATGTGTCAAGTGTGTCGTTAGTTAATACCTGATTTATTCATAACACTGGATTTATTTTTTATTAACATCAACATTGTCAGGTTTTATTTCAATATTATTACTTAGAATCTGTTGTAGTTCTTTTTATCAAGAGGACCTTTTACGCTGCTACAACAACCAACTTACGTCCCATTGGCTGCCTTGTCTCATCTCTATGACTTGTCAACTCTAGAGTTTGCCTAAAATCATAGTCAATTAAGCCCGAAAATTTGTCGGTTTGATTTGCAGAGGGTTGATGGCCTATGCAACCTCCTCAGCTCAGCTATTCCTTGAAGAGCGAACGTGAGAATCTTTCCTGTTTTAAAGGGGAAATTCCAAATTGCACACCATTTACCCCCTGGTAGCCCCGCCCCTTAATTGTGTGTATCTTCAAAGCAATAACAAGTAACTTTACCTGTTTAGCATATCAAATGGAGTGCCTTGTTGGTTTTCCATGCACACTGATTCAATGTCTTCGCGAGTCAAGATTTCGATTTATTGTGTCATTTAAAGAATATAATTGTCAGTAATTGGGAAGTGTTCCATTAAACTGTCAAAAAGGTGTTTCTTTAACACTTTGTCAGCGTGAAGAGAAAAATCTATCCCCGAAAAGAACAAAAAGAATTTTGTACTTTTCATTGCCATCCCTCTTTTAGAAGTCTGGTTGAAAGTACTTTCGAATGTTAGCCTTAAATTCATGGCCAGGGCATGGTCAGGACAGGGCATTTTCTTCGAGTATTTGAGCCCAAGCAAAAGGAACTCGGAGATATCACATTTAATTTTATGGTGGAGGGGCCAACCATTAAAGAAAAGTTTGGTTTGAAATTTTTATGAAAAAAGATCTTTAATTTCATTTCATTAAATTGTTTCTTCACGATACGTCAGTAAGTAAAACTAATACCCTTGCCCAAATTTAAAAATTCTAACAATTTAATGCTCTACGATATGCAGACGTTACTGTCCTTTACTAGTTCTCATGAAATGTGTAAGTCAGTATCTGTAGACTGATCGTATTGCAGTTAGTAATCAATGAGAGACAAATAATAAGGCCCCAAATTTGGCAAAACGTCTTTGTATTAAAAAGCTTGATGGGCGGAGTTGTTGGCAGAACCTAACTGTAAGTGCAGCATCATGGTAGCCTAAGTCCCAGACTCCCAACTTGGTAGTAGAGGGTCATGTAACCTTGGTGTAACCGAGACTGTTTTCCCAGGATCTCTGGGAAAATTGATTACCGTGAATCCTCGAATTGGCCCCCCTCTCAAAACCCCCTTCCTTTCGAATAAGCCCCCAACCTAGATCTACAAATTGTCAATACCCCCCACCCTCGAATGCCGTAAATTCTCGAATTGGACCCCTCAATTTGATGATTTTTGCCATCTGAGGTTGCCGATGGCGTTTATTGAATTACCACAAAAATTCATACTTTTGGTATATATTAATTTATTGAGTGCTCATAAATAAATTCCTACTAAAATAAACGAGGTCTTTGATAATTCGAGGATTTACGGTATGCGTAAAATATGCTGCATTCACATGACAAAAGTGAGCAATGGCGTATACAGATAGTAGTTTGCCGCGAGAGTTTACGCATTCAAATGGCGAAAAGAAACGAATGCACGTTCAAATTTGTATTTATTCATATTCAAAGTTAGACAATTTCACAATGACGCCTGAACAGTACCTGAAGATGAGTTTGTATCAAAACACACACTTTGTTACTGATAGAGTTAATTGGCATTAAATAATCAATTCTAAACATCTGAATTTCAAAATTTCAAACAACAAAAATAAGAGATAAGCGTTTATAGCTTAGAAATTAATAGTATGTCTGGAAATACCCTGGGTGCCAGACCTTCGCATTTCCTTTCCCCCGTTCTTCATCCTTTGACTCTCTGAGGCTCAGGCACCCAGGGTAGTCTGGAAAGTACATGGCCTCGCTCGACCCAAAATATATTCCAGTTTGGTAGGCAGCCTTGTCTGAAATGTTTCATCTTTAGTGATTTTCACTGTCTGCAGACTTGTGTTTATAATTAGAAGTCGTTTTCTGCTGTGTAAAGTCAAAGCGCCTTGTCTTCTTTTCTAATTCAGGCCGTTTCTTATGTACTCCGAGTACGACAGTCATATTTTTCTTCGTCGTATCCACCATGAGATCTTATCCCATACAAAAAATCCACCTCCACATTCTAAGTAGTAAATACTAGTCTTTTACTATGCAAAAACTGAACGTTATACTCGATGCAAATCTACTCGACAGATTTCCAAGTCCTTCGATTCCTGCTGTAGGGTAGATTCATCCCCATTCACTGCCTTTAATACAATCGCAATGAACACCCAATTTCTTTAATGCTACGTTTTGGTGGCTAAGGTCACAATGAAGTTCTCGATATTAAATAGCTGAGCAGCATCTACAAATCTTTCTTCCAATATATGGCTACTTCTTCTTGCATAATTACACAGATCAAGAATCCATCGATCCTCGTACGTGATTTTGTTCCCGGTTACACAGACCCTCTACTTTCGAGTTAGGGGTCTAGGGCATAGACCCATCGCAGCCACCCTCTTTATCTCTTTTAAAACAAAGGCTTGTTTGGATCTCATATTTTGCCTGCTTTATCTAGAGCTACTTTGATACTTCCCGGACTAGTTGCACAAGCTCATCATTAAAGATGGCCACGGCCTTCACTTTTGTTCAGTGCAATATTTGCAACGACTGCACTTTAGGGACCCACTCTTTTGTTCCCTGGTCGGAAGTTGAACTGAATGACAAATCTTCCTATCTAGCCTGGTGTCTGAAACAATCGAAAGTTCGAATCTCAGAAGCTCAGCCAGTTAAGGATTCACTCTCGCACAATTGCAGCTATACATCAGTTTCAAAATCAGTCTGGATGACTTCGCTCTTTGTTTTTTTAGCTGTCTTGGGGGCAACCGCCCTGAACCCCCGTTAATTCATCACAGATTGATTCATTTTGCTCCATATCCAGTTATGAACAAATGTCTGTTTCTTCATATCTTCGTTCTTACTGTTGCTCGTGTCATCGTTGCTAGATAGTAGCGATTCAATTCAACTTTCGACCAGGAAACAAAATAGTGGGTAGCTAAACTGCAGTCTAGCCCAAATTTTTTTTTACGATTGATAATTGTATTTTTGTACTCTCCATTTTTATGCCCTGTTTTGAAGAGATGAAAACGATCAAGCACTTCATAAATTCTATATTACATATCTTTAATAAGAAAAATAACCCCATTTGAAATCACAGTAACATAATTTTAGCAGTAAGCTCACAATATTTTCTTAAAGGATTTGAAATAACTATATTTGAGAAAGTCCGAACTTCATTACAAGCAGATTACCACTCTGAAAAACATTTACAACCGTACCGAAACCCTTTTCATCAATTCAGCTAGCCTTAATGAAAGTCTCTTTGAGAAGTCGCCAAGAAATGGCTTAATTCTTATCTTACCAGGAAAATTTCTGAAAGAAACCGCTGTGCCCTTTATAATGTGGTCACTAGAAGTAATATGGTCAAACATGTTTTGGAATTTGTTGTTTGGGAGAAGTTATTCCCCAATGGCGATTCGTGCTGTTATTTTATTAAATATTGACGTCACACTTTAGAACTCTATAAGCAGCAATTTTTTTGGGGGGGGGGGCTTTTTTCGTGTGCACATGCACAGTTTTAGTCGATGATATCATCTTAGCATTAGGAACGTTCCTATATTTTATGGAAATATGCAACAGTGAAACCGAATCAAATGACGAGGAAAATTTGGAGAAAGGGTGTCATGAGAAGAGTGAGAATGAAACTTTGGTTTGCATGTTGCAACTATGAATTGTAATAGTTTTGATTGAATGCTGTGAAGCGCCATAAGGTGTATATCCCCCCTCTAAAATCTTTGCCATGATGCGCATGTGCATATAGTCGACTTTTCTCATTGGTCCGGACAAATGAGTAGAAAAATAACCCTAAACAATAGGAATCTAGACTCGTCTACACCCAAAAATCTAGTTCACTTGAAAAGGTTCATTTTGGTAAATCATGTGTTATACAAAACACAATTTGTCCATCAATTTTTTTTTCTTTCTTTAACGATTCTTTAGCTGGTGTTTATTGTAAAGGAATGTCTAATTATTGGTCATCTTGAAAAATTTTACCCACAAGAAATTAATCGATCTACCATTCACATTGCAGGTGCGCGGCGAAGGGAGACAGCCACTTTAGCCAAACACAAGCAACCTCCCATAGGGTCAAAGCATTTCGGTTTGTGCCAAGAACAATTATTGAAAATGAGCTCTGAGTTTATTACCAAATTGAAAGACACAAACAAAAGTTTTAAGATTTCTTTTCGAGATGAAGAAAGCGAGTCGAAAGTTTCAAGGCTGACTTTTTCATCAGACTTTACGCGGTCATACGAAGAGTCATTTGAGGACGAAGATGACATCCTGATTGTTGATATTGACTACGGAGAGAAAAGCCAAGGTGCGCAGACGGTTAAAGAAGGTTGTGATTCACCGGAATCACTTTCTCGAAGTGGAAGCCTCAGCAACAGTTATAGCAAGCAACGGCCAAAGTTTGGCCTAAGAAGGTTCAAAAGTGTGGAGGAGGTCATCAGTGTATCGCCAAAGAGAAGAAGAGCAAAACAAGCCTTACACAAAACTGTCAGTGATTATGAAGTCAGGTACAAAGGTGTGAGAAAGGAATCCTCTTCTAAACTAACCTATTCCGCTGATTTCACACGATCGTATGAAGAAAGCCTTGAGGATGATAATGATTTGCTAATTGTAGATATCGATTATAGCCAGAGTAAAGCGCTAGAATCCAGTACTGAGGACAACATCTTTAGCATCTCTGATAATTTTGGCACACTAAATCGTGCACAGAACGAAAACTTGAGGATGTATAAGAGCCACGAGGACATCAGGCACGCACGCTTTAAAGCGAGGCGGGGATACGAAATAACATTCACTGACGAAAGTTCTCCAGATAGAAAAACGAGGTTGTCGTTATCTTCTGACCTTTCTGCCTCTGGGGAAGAGATCTTAGCCCCTTTAGCTTCTGCTGATATTGACACAAGTGCTAAGGAAGCTGGCTGTATTGCAGACGATGCATTTGAAAATGACGTTGTTGATTACAGTTTCGCAACAAGCACGCCACAGAAAGTCAAACCAATGTTGCAAGACGACCAAGCTTCCAATCCTACTGGATATGGAAATGGAAATGGATATGGAAACAGATCGACGAAATATGTATCGAATGATTCAGATTGGAATGCTGGGCAATCAAATTCTCAGTTCGTTTTTAATGCAGATGAGGCTCATTATGAATCAACAAGTAACAAGCAATCGACCATACTTAGCCTCGCATCCAGTCTTAAAAACGAAGCTCTATTGCTCGAGGACTCGCCTGACACCGTCAATTTGACCAATGATGTTGGCGAGAATGTGAACAGGGATTCTAGTTTTGACGAGTGTTCTGACAATGGGGTTGATATTAACAATGTTGCTGATTTTATGGATGAAAATGCAGAAAGTAGTTCCCAAATAATCGCATCAGTGCCTGGGAGGGAGATCGAAGTTTCGGAGGACGTAGAAGCATCCCAATTAACAAGAAAGGAAAGCGCTAGATTTGGTTTTATTGATTTGAACGAAATTGTCATTGATGACGTCAGTGCATCTGATAGAATGCAAGAGTATCCACACCTGAGAGGGGAAGATTCGAGTGAGGATTTACAGGAAAATAATGGTGACAGCGGAGCGCATAACATGTCTTCAAGGGCAAAAGCATATCTCTACGTCACCCTGCAAACAGAAGAAAAAGTTGAAGAGGCTGGAAATTTGGATGCCTATGTTGATGATGATAAAAAGTTTGGTGAAGAAGACAACAATGACTTGGTTGATATAGATTTTGAAACAGACAAGCACGGAGCGGCCCAGCTGAAGCCTGAAAGTCATTATGCAACCAGGTCTACAGAATCATTAGCCAAAGATCATGTGGATGCTGCAAGCAATTACAAGAACGCTATTGATTCAGATGCAGCAGAAGACAAGTACAGAGAAGAAGTTTATAGTGTGGGCACCATCGATGCTGCTGAAAGCGAAGGCGATGGAGAATATGGAGAGGATGCCGAAATAGACAAATACAGAGAAGAAGGTTATAGTGTGGGCACCATCGATGCTGCTGAAATCGAAGGCGAAAAAGCGGCTGGAGAAGATGCCGAAATAGACAAGTACAGAGAAGAAGTTTATAGTGTGGGCACCATCGATGCTGCTGAAATCGAAGGCGAAAAAGCGGCTGGAGAAGATGCCGAAATAGACAAGTACAGAGAAGAAGTTTATAGTGTGGGCACCATCGATGCTGCTGAAATCGAAGGCGAAAAAGCGGCTGGAGAAGATTCAGAAGAAGGCAGTATTGGGGAGGCAGATGATAATGGGGATAATGGGCTTGTAAGCGAGGTTTGTGATAAAAAAGAAGATTTTGCTGATGACCAAAGAAAAGGTGAAGAGCTTGTCATTTCGAATGGCAACATGCAGGAAAAGGCAAACGGGTATAATCAAATGAAGTGCGAAAAGTTTGATGATAGTTACCAAAAAGAAATCGCTGGAGAGAATGATAGAAGTACTGGGGGAGTGTTTCTGAGTGAAGAAAGGGAGGATGAAATGTCTTTTGTGTCTTCATCAAAGAAAGACATGTCTGCAAGTGACAGGAAGGATGAAGTACAAATGGAGGAGATCGAGTCTGCTAGCTGTAACATTGTCGATGAAGATCAGGATGTTCCAATTAAAGAAATTGTTTGTAAGACTGAAGAAGAAAAGTCCAACAGAATAGGTGATCAGCATTTATTGGATGAGCAGGGTTTCATTGACAGAAACGCAAATGATTTGATCAGCTGCTCCTCAAAAAGTTGCGGGAAGTTTTATCAAATTACAATCATTAAAGAAGATGAAGCGACGACCAGTGAAGGTTTGCTAGAACATGGTGTTCCTGGTAAAATTTCGCGAATACGGGCGCGCATAAGGAGATTATTTTCAAGAAATAAAGGAACTCAAGGTACAGGAAGTATCGAAAGAAGTGACAGTTCGGGAACAGAGAGTTCTGAAAATACTATTTGCGTATTTCCATTGCCGGTTTTGAGCGATGATATGGAAGTGCTGGATGGTGAAAATAGTGGTACGACTGATGTGAATGGTTTAACGGCCACTGAAAAAGGCGCGATTTATTTTGACACTGCAGAAGATAGCAACAGAGAGGCTGAATATTCAAAGAAAGACAAAAACGAGGCTGAGCCTAGAGACAAAGGTGTTTATCTAAATGGGGATTGTGTCAGGGCAGTTGAAAATGATGTGCCTGAACTGTATGAAGGAGAAGACATGATAGGAGGTGACGTAATAGGATTGCCATTCAGTTTGAATAAGGTTTATAGAATGAAAAGCAGGTACGAAGGCAAACAAATCCGTACGGAGACAATCAGAATCTTTTTGCAACATGAAAGAATCGTGTTTATTTAAAAATCTAAATCGGATTTTCTTCAATGTTTTGAGCAGCAGGATGATAGTATCATGCGGAGATTTGTTGTGGGAATTTTGAAAGAGCATTTTATGACCTGGGAACATTTTAGACTGCTTGTCTCATAAACATAAGTAAATTGTAGATCGTTAAATTTAATTGGGAATAATTGTGGGAAAGCCATACCCAGTTTGATAAAAATAGATGTTGTAAAATTAATTGATTTTCTGTCACTTCAAGGGTTACAGGGCGGTATTGAATTCTTTCTAGAGCTGTGGATTTTTGACGAATTTTCAACGCTGTACCCTATTCCCAAACAAAGAAATGTTGATTTGAACAATTTTTTAACATTCAGGTTTGGTCTCAACATTCAGTTTTCGACAAGCATTCTTCAAGGGGTGTTATGTCTGTTATTTGTAATAAACTGACCCTGATGTTATTTTTCAGTCAGGACCCACTAACGGTGTGTTCGAAAGCCTGTTGCGAACTTTCTGGTCCGTCGTCAATAGTATCTTTTCATTCATTTTAAGGTCATGTTGTCGTCCCTGTTTATTAGGAAAGCTAGCTTCCAGCTTAGGATTCTATTAGCCCATTGGGTTTTGGTTAAATTACATAATCGATTATATTGTCCTTATCTAGGGCCCAACAATTAGGGGGCGGAAAATTTAAGCCCCTTTTCATTTCAACAGATTATTTATCATACATCTTGTCCTATTTGCTCCTTTAGGCACCCCTTTATTATTATTATTACATTATTTGAAGTTGGTATTTACAGTAGCTAAATACAATAGCTAATTTAAACTATCTACAAAAGAAAAATTTACAGATTAATACTAATACTAAAATAAATTAAATATTTAAATAAATAAAACTTCAAAGGGGGTTTCCACTGATGTTGTTCTACCGACAATTTTTACATTGACAGTTATCACCCTTCCATTCTTTTATCGATATTTTGAATTTATCAACAGACAGTGAGTCTTTTATAGTATCAGGCAGGCTGTTTCAGAGGATGATGCCCCTGAAAGCTAACGAACTGGTGCCGTAGGATGTGGTTTTGGCTTTTGGCAGTTGTAATTTCAACTAATCCAGAATTTTATCTGCTTCTCCAGTTGTTACATTTGCTACCGTTTGCGGAGTTTCTCGTTATCAGTTGCAAAAAATAGAAGTAATCCTAATTCTTTGTAGTGTTTAATTTATGGCATTTGATAAGTAATTTTAACTTTTTAAGTTATTTATTGTAGCGAATTAGGTTTGGTAGTTTTAAGGTTTTGTACATTGGGGAGCAGGATACTCAACAATTTGAACGGCTCACGTAGAGTTGCACAAAGGATACCACCAGAAAAAAATTAGATTTTAGAAATCAAACGACTGTATTTTTGTTCAAAATATTGAGATTCTTTGTTGAGTAAATATCTTAGCTATGGTTGTTTTGTATGAATGCTGTGTTTATATAAGTCAGATATTTTAGATGTCATTTTAATCATTGATATTGTATTGAATAATTCCTTGTTTTATCAATACTGTAGCACGTAGAGAATATTTGTTGTGAACTTTAGCAAAGGAAAGTGGCTTTTAGGTTGAAAGCAAAAATTGCACGAAAAAGAATTAGGGCGAAATATCCAAGGTTTCTTTTCGTTATGTCCAGGGACACATTTTTGCATCTTTGGTTTATGAGGGGGGAGGAGGGCATCATTAGGCAATATTATTCTAAAAAAAAATTTACAAAGTAGCCAAATTCTCAAATTTTTTCTGTGATATCCTGCCCTAAGTCAGTGGCGGAAATTCATTTTTCAAGTGGGGGGGGGGCAATGAAATAATGAACTAACAGTAAATATAGTCATCGGAACGAAGCTCATGATTGGGAAGGGGGTTTGAAAGGACTGAAGGATCTTTTATTTCCAATGGAATACTGTGTTCTTAAAAAAGTTGACAAAAATGGAAATTTTACTTGGGTACTGTTTCCGTAGCAACTACCGTAGTAGAAGCTCTCTAGTACATCAAAACTTTTGTCGAGAAGAACCCTGAGTTTATAGGAGTTAGCTTCAGTAAAAATAGCAAAAAAGAATTAAGACAGAGTCAAGAATTTCTCTTTTAATTTTGTTGGAAGGGTCAAAATGGCTGCCACTTCAGAGACTCGCATGTTTGGGAGTTTCCCATTATTTCAGTAATATTTTAAACAAATTATTGATGTTCAATCGCACAAATACCAATGAAATTGGCAGGAGACCCATCTGCGCCAACAAATGCCCGGAAAATGTATTGCTGGACATTCTCAACTGTTGCGGGAGGGTGCTAGTACTATTTGAATATTATCTTATTAACATAATTCTTCCTAAACTATTGGGCATATAAACTGAGGCACTAAATAGATCTAGAGATCTGTATCTATGATAATAGATCTAGAGATTGTAGAAATGTAGATCTAGAAATGGATCTAGAAACTGAGCCCCCCCCCCCCTAAAAAATGATTTATTCTTTGTTATATTTCTTTAAGACACTTTGGAGCAGTATCTTCTAAGTCACTTCCAAACCAGTAAATGGCTTGAAAACTTATTTATGGATATCTAAAAGATGAAGTTTCAAGTTTTGTTTTTAATATATTTTCAGTTAACTATAATTGCATTCGGTTTCCTCGGAGCTCTTTTTTCGATCCCTGTTTTGTAATCACAAGTTGCCAAGCCACTTTAAGATACCTACATCTCGGTCCCTTAACATACCTTAGATGCGGATTTTTGACTGAAGATTTGGGATTAGGGTTTTGTTGTTTTCCAATGGGGCAAATGATTCAGCCCCGTCATTAGAGTCTTGCAAGAAATAACAACCCTTCGTGTGTGTCTAGGCCTTTTTGCTATTCTAGTACCATGTACACCGATAATGGGACAATGGTGCAAAAACCAAAACCATTTATCTGGTGCAAAAATTGGCCAGCACCTTGGGTTCGATTCAACGTGCCAGTTTAGGTAAAAATTAATAGGGAGATAATTTAGAAGTATAGTTACTTTTAGGGAAGTTTTGGTTTTGTTTTTGTTTAGATGTTCTTTAAGCCCGTTGAATTTGGAATATTGCACGAAAAGGATTTCTCCAGATTCCATTCACGTACCTATTTTATTCATTAGCATAATTTTTTCTGCAAATATTTGCAAAATCGTCCCTTAGATATAGATTAAAATCATAGGCACCCAGTACTTCTTTGCTTTTATGTAAAAAAATTTAAAATCTTTCTCGGCGTGACCTAACTCATTTAATTTATTAACACCCATTAGCTTCACAAAATGTTATCAAAAGTTGCGTAATTTTTTCTTATCAATTCCTTATTTATCTTTCGTAAAATCTTGTTAGTTTTCGCGATCACAAATATGCTGCATGATAAAATACCAGCATAAAGAAGGGAACGTCACATCGCCACATCGTTGTGATGCCGATTGATATTGCTCTCTCATTAAGTGTAATCATGTCAGAAGTGGATAATTAATTGCCTAGTGATGTGATTAAAGAATGTGCCGTGGGTTCCCTTTAGTAGTTCAACCCCGTTCTCTAGTCATAGAAAGTTTCACCTGTGTTTCCACAGAATAAATTCTTTGGTTTGCTCCTGAGGGAAACTTTCGTATGGGAAGGTTAATGTCTGCAAACTTCTCTTTCAGCGTACACAATGCGTATTGTTTTCATAATCGTTTAATTTATTGAATTCAAAGGAACACAGCTAACTATGGACACAGTCTGATGAACAATATGGCAGAGCTCTTTGTATTTCAACGCAACGAAACAACATAATTAACCTCGCTACATTGATATTACTGTTTGCAATCGTGATGTTCAGTGGAACACACAAGAGGAAGAGATGCGCGCTTGCAGCCTGTTTGCTAAACCATCGAATAAATTCAGGGTGAGTTGACATAAGCCAGTTACCTGTAGATTTTCATATTTAATTTCCTTTGAATTGGTAGCATAATCCCAAACACGATTGGCTGTGTTGACGTTGTAAAAAATCACTTCATTTGCCTTGGAGATGTTTACAAAGATGCGAGAAGCAATTTCGTTCTTCTGTGTTAGTTGATTTCTTGGTGTTGATTCGTAGATTAATGTTTTTGAAGTAAACAAATTAAAGAACATCCAAGAATTGTTGCTATGCAATTTAGAGATAAGCTGTAATCTTATGCATGCATGCGATGGAATGTTTACATGACTTACATCGCCTTTCCATGACAAGTCTTCAGAATAACTGAAGTCGACGTCGATGCCTATTCATGACGGTGGATGGTGAAAGTATATATGTTAACAGCTAAAAGATCAGTGTTGGATGGTGTTTACAATTGCTACCGGGGGCTCAGGGGCTCAGCACTCCCTGCTAAAATTATGAGAAATTTGTTTCGGGGTTTTTATAGAAATTCCCTCGTTTCGGGGTTTTTATAGAGAAGCCCAACTAGTCTTCCAACCCTGGCTACACCACTGCTTCTTATCGTCTTTACCCGTAAGTTAAAAACTAAATTTTAGAAATGGGCGTTTCCATCATATACCAGTGACACGAAGGGCGTGGCACCGAAATTAGTGTCTAACATCCCCCCCCCCAATCATTGTTGCTTAAATCCGCCTCTGCAGCCCCCCTCAACAACCCTGTATAAATTTGATTGGGGAAATTCCTTACTTGGCAATGAATTAACCCTTTATTTTGCTTTTGGTATTCCTTGAATGAGTAATTTATATTGGCCTTTAAAGGCAGTGTGTCGCGCTGTTCACTTTGTTCAATTTCGAGGGTCTTCGAAATTAGAGAAGTGTGATAAATTAGAACAACTCGCATCATTAAGCGTCCTTTGTTACGAAATGAAAACTCACTGAAATAGAATTGTTGCTCTTTGTTTCCATAAACCAATGAACGGCGCGACGTACGGCCCGTTCAAAATTTTGTGGCTCTGGTACCCAGGGTATCACAAAGCCACAAGCCTGACAGGCCCAGCTCTGTTCCTCGAGGTTAGAAATCGTTCTGCTCAGTCGATAGGCCAGCATCTTTTACTCATTTTTCGTCGCTTGTCACTAAAAACTTTAATGCTTTGGAAAATGTCGTATTTTAGGGTATATAATCGATATCCATACTATGTGCTGTTGAAACTGTTCCCCTGCATAACGTCGAATGAGATCAGCAAATATGATAAAAGTTTCAATAGTTACAAAGTTTCATTCACGGTCAAGCAGTTGATATTTGAAAGAATTATTTCCTTTAGTTTTTGTTGAGATGGTATTGAATTGGAGTATTTCATCCTCTTTACCAACACTTGATTATTACAAAACAAGATAGCATTTTGTTTTAATTCGTATGAGCGAATTTTCCATAACTGAAGGGCATACAAAGACTTGGATAAAAGGTTACAAAATGGATGAATTTATCTTGAGTGATTTCTTGGATTAATTAAAAGCGAGCTAGTTATTAAGCAACAAGCAAACCGGGGTCTCTACGGATAACAAGAGTGGGGCCCCCATTTGAAAAGTTTTAGCGTATTAAGATTATAAGAAAGAAACTGTATTTTTGAATGCAAATATTTAATATCTTACTGGATACAACATAAAATTATTCTCTAAGCATTTCAAAATCTGGGTCAGGATTAAAAGTGTCTTAGGAATTATCAATTTTTTGGGCGATAACGATTTCTAAGGAAAATAAGTCTTTCTCAAAATTGTGAATCTCTTTTATTCACGAATAATCCTACTTTTGCATTAATTCTTTAGTTTTTAATTAGAATCCTCAATGATGTTAGAATCTACTTTGTGGCTTTTTGTGTCCAAGCAACATTTTTTAGGAACAAAGCAGAACTGCAATAAACAACTGAACGAAGCACAGTAAAGAATACAGAATATATCGTTAACCCATCAAAGCAGTATGATTTCCATGCCAACTATCAATTAAAGAAGGATTTTATTGTCATTTTAGTCAGCATATAGAACCTTTTCTCCTCAACCTTCGTTATATGGGTGTCTTAGCAATACGTTTTCAGTACTCGTCAAGCCCGTAGCCAGGCCTGTTGAGCAGGGGTGGCAAACTCGCCATGTTCAGGAATTCAGGCAAAGTTTAAAGTGAAGTTATTTCTAAGTGGAAGCAATGTGAAATTTGTCTCAAGTCCTACATGGGTAACAAGATACCCCAATATACAATTTTACTTCCGCTAATATTAGCTTGACTCAAATTTTCACGACAATCCAATAAAGCAACAGAAAAGACATTGGCAAGATTGGACACAAAAGTTTTGGGGCTTGCAAACAGCCGGTATTCTCGTGCTACCCCATGCCACCCCGTGGCTACGGGCCTGGTACTCGTGTTTCCAAAATTTTGAGCATTTTAGATACTAGGTTGCTTATAACAAAACGAGTAACCAGTAACGAAAGTGTGTAAACTCTACCGACGCATGGGGGAAATGCTGTGAAAAGAGCAATACGTCCATCGCAGGAAATATCTAAAAAGTTACAGAAAAAGTATGAAAGAGCTATTTCAGTATTAACATGAGGAGGGGGGACTCAGCCTCCCCGATCTCCAAAATTTACAACCCTGGTTTCCCTGGAATAATGATGCTGATCGGATTGCGTCACGCATAGCTACGAGCTTATTCTACAAGATGTGTCCAGTCATGACATTTTTGTCACTATTGACTGGACTGGAACCCTTGACCACAGAAAAAGGAAATTTCCTATACTGTCTCTAATCTCTGATGCTGGTTTCCATAGACATTGAGTATTAAAGAAAAGCTATTTAGCCTCTACTGTTTCCTGGGGTCAGCGATGAAATAAGACTTTTCTTTGGAAACATCTTATGGTTACCCTAATCTTATATCACATATCCTGTGTTATTTGATGAACATTGCTCCGTAACTGAGCCAAGAAGCAGTGTTGTATGCAGGGGCGAAACTTCACTTTTTTCATTAGGGGGGTATGAAGCTTAGATGAAAGGGCGTGGCATGCTTGATGAAAGGGCGTGTCATACATGAACTTCATTTTTAGAGCACATCGCCTCAAGGGCTGAAATCATCGGGAAGCCCGAGAGAGGGTCTTTAGACTAAGGCTGTTTGTTTTAATTCAAAAAATATGCCTCTAGTTTTTCTGGTGACTATTTGTTTCCGAAAAGCAAGCATTTGTAAGGCCAGTCTTTTCTATAAAAGAAAAAAAAGTCTTCACTTTCTAAATCACCTAGCTGTTAAGAGAGCAATTCAAAAAAGGAGACTGAAGTAGGGTCTCAATTTTATCAAAGTGGAACACCAAAACAGCTACGCAGATTACATTGTTTCAACAAAAAAGAGCTTCAGTTGCATTTTCTGAGTTACTTTTTCAATTTTCGTTTGCCCCGGAAGCAATTTCAACATTTTTAGACACCCAAGCACGTATCTCTAAATTCACCATAACAAAATCCCTCAAGCAAAGAAAAGTTTTTTATTGGAGGTATTTTACAGGTACACCTATCATTAAAGCTCAATTTTTGTAATCATGGATAATGTTCAGAAATAGAATAAACTCGAAAGTTTTTTATAATTCATATCTTAACTACAATTTCTTGATAAATTTTATATTATTTCACGCTTGAACTGATTAAAACTTTCTGTTACTTGTTACGGTTATTCGAATTTTTTTAGTTAAAATACTTTGGCGTCTGTATGACCATTTGTAATTGTAACTCCTTATGAATTTATGATAAAAGTATCATACATTTGGAAAAGAAAGTATTCCGTATGTCAACAACGTAAACAACGTATTCCGAGGTGGTATATCCTTCATGCTTTGATTTATGATGCTTTTAAAACTGTCAGTGCTCCATGGGCTCCGAGGCAGAATGGAAAGGGGGGGGGGCGGGGGCTTGTCAAGGGAAAATTTAGA